GCCGTCCGCAGCCGTCCACGCAGTTCTCCGCACCCATTCCGCGTCCGCAGCCGTCCGCGCAGCCAAGGTCGCTCATCACCAGCGGCTTCTTCTCTCCACCCATTTCCAGCCACCCCCTTGCACCCACGCCGTCCGCAGCCGTCCGCGCAGTTCTCCGCACCCATTTGCCGTCCGCAGCCGTCCGGGCAGCCAAGGTCGCTCATCACCAGCGGCTTCTTCTCCCCATTTCCAGCCACCCCCTTGCACCCACGCCGTCCGCAGCCGTCCGCCGCAGTTCTCCGCACCCATTTGCCGTCCGCAGCCGTGACAGCGCAGCCAAGGGCGCTCATCACCAGGCGGCTTCTTCTCCCCACCCCTTTCCAGCCACTCCGTTGCAACCACGCGGTCCGCAGCCATCCGCGCAGTTCTCCGCACCCATTTGCCGTCCGCAGCCGTCCGCGCAGCCAAGGTCGCTCATCACCAGCGGCTTCTTCTCTCCACCCATTTCCAGCCACCCCCTTGCACCCACGCCGTCCGCAGCCGTCCGCGCAGTTCTCCGAACCCATTTGCCGTCCACAGCCGTCCGCGCAGCCAAGGTCGCTCATCACCAGCGGCTTCTTCTCCCCACCCATTTCCAGCCACTCCGTTGCACCCACGCCGTCCGCAGCCATCCGCGCAGTTCTCCGCACCCATTTGCCGTCCGCAGCCGTCCGCGCAGCCAAGGTCGCTCATCACCAGCGGCTTCTTCTCCCCACCCATTTCCAGCCACCCCCTTGCACCCACGCCGTCCGCAGCCGTCCGCGCAGTTCTCCGCACCCATTTGCCGTCCGCAGCCGTCCGCGCAGCCAAGGTCGCTCATCACCAGCGGCTTCTTCTCCCCACCCATTTCCAGCCACTCCCTTGCACCCAGGCCGTCCGCAGCCGTCCGCTCCATTCCTTTCCCTTCCTTTTCCATCCTTTTCCGTTCCTTTCCCATCCTTTCCCTTCCTTTCCCGTTCCTTTCTCATCCTTTCCCATCCTTTCCCTTCCTTTCCCATCCTTTCCCTTCCTTTCCCTTCCTTTCCCTTCCTTTCCCTTCCTTTCCCTTCCTTTCCCTTCCTTTCCCTTCCCTTTTCCTTCCTTTCCCATCCTTTCCCTTCCTTTCCCTTCCTTCCCTTCCTTCCCTTCCTTTCCCTTCCTTTCCCTTCCTTTCCCTTCCTTTCCCATCCTTTCCCTTCCTTTCCCTTCCTTTCCCTTCCTTTCCCTTCCTTTCCCTTCCTTTCCCTTCCTTTTTCCTTCCTTTTTCCTTCCTTTCCCTTCCTTCCTTCGTTTCCCTTCCTTTTTCCTTCGTTTCCCTTCCTTTCCCTTCCTTTCCCTTCCTGTCTTCCTTTCCCTTCCTGTCCCTTCCTTTCCCTTCCTTTCCCTTCCTTTCCCTTCCTTTCCCTTCCTTTCCCTTCCTTTCCCTTCCTTTCCTTTCCTTTCCCTTCCTTTCCTTTCCTTTCCTTTCCTTTCCCTTGCACCCACGCCGTCCGCACACCACCGTTCGAGCCAGGTCGCTCCCCCACGCGGTTAAACAACTAAACGAGAACCCAAGCATCGAAGATGCTTTTGGGAAAAAAAAACACAGTGTTTTGTTTGCATCACATTCCAATCCCAAGTAAAGTTTTTTTTCATGGGACCCCAAAATAGACGAAACCAATTACCCTCTGGTTATGACTAACATAGCCATGGGAAATGACCCATTTATAGATGGTTTACCTATTAAAAATTGTGATTTTCCATGGCTATGTTAAATAACCAGATGGTAGTTCAACCATACTTTTGTTTTTGCTTTGGATGCGTTTGTCTTTCGCAGGGGCAGGGATCAATACACCCAGCCTGTAAATGGGATGCTTACCTACCTTAAACCCCCGGTCACCAGCCAAACACATGGTTTCCTCCACCCAGAAGACGGTTTCATTCACATCAACCAAACAAAATTTCCAAAACTACCCAAAAAATGTGGTGATTCAAAAATGATGGTCCCTTATTTTTTGCCCGGGAACAACCAAGCGGATAATCCCTGCCTGCTGGTGCTTCACGAGCTTCATGTCTAAGCTCAAAGATCTGCCTAAGGCCACCTCAGGTGCTGGGAGATATTTTGTTCATAGCGAACATCGCCATTCAGAGCTACTTTGCGGTGCAGTTCCAGTTATATATATATATATTTCAACATAGTTATAGGATGTTATAGGGGTTATATTATATATATAATTATATATATATAAGTTATTTCCCAACTTATCATACTTGTTGGGGTTGGTCAATAGGCTTCCCTACTATGGATTATCATCATCCCCGATTTCATAACCAGGTAGTATAATCCCCTAGTTCATGACCAATCAACATAGAATTATCAGACGGCAAATCACAACCGGATGGGATATGTTTGTAAGATATAATATGTACCTCGTATATGTGTTGATTGAATATGGATGTTGGTCCACGGAAATACCAGATGGATAAATGAAAGTCTCATTGGGAGATGCTATTGGATTTGTTGGGGGGATACGGGATACAATGTGCATGTGATTGGGATATCATTATGGGACCTTCTATGATTATATGTCTTCACTCACATACTTTGTGAGATGCAAATGGGATAGATTCCCCCACCCAGGTGAGGGTCCTCACGTTTGGAACATTCAAGGTCAAAATGAAATTTGCTTCACCATGTTTCACCATCCACTGGTCTTTGATAGAAACGAACAACAGGGGATTCTAAATGATTCTAACCAACACTTTGATGTGGGATGCTGGAGAAGAAGCCGCTTCATCCAACTCGGAATATCAGATATACAGTAGCTGGGTGAAAACCAAATCACCGTATTCATGTAAATGCTGTTTAAATGTCTAATCATCTTACAGTAAACGATGTTGAACCAACATTGGAAACACCCGAAAGTTCAGGGTGAGATCCCCAGTGTCTTGTTAAAACTATATTTTTTCATGCTGAAATCTTGGTCGAATCGTGCTATATAAATCCGACAGTTGCTTATCATTTTGTTGGTTTAAACCACGATCAGAACCACCATGTGGTGTGAAATCATGTTCCCTCCAATCATAGGAAATCCAGCATTTGAGTTTCTTAATCTTTGCAACCCCGGTGAATGGGGATGATTTAACGCCTCAATTTAGACAGGTGGGCCGTGGGCGTAAAAATAAAATGTTTACAAAGTTGAAAGTATCAAAATCATTTCCAAAATCACAGTTTTTCCTACTTATCTTGGAGGGATGGGCCTAGAATACCCTCTGGTTATTTAACATAGCCATGGAAAATCACCATGTTTTATAGGTAAACCATCCTATAAATGGGCCATCTATACCATGGCTATGTTAGTCATAACCAGAGGGTAAATTCTCCCAACTAGCTAGGGGTACACCTTCTGGTAGCGAAAATCGCCAGTTTTTCCATGGAAATCAACTATCTGGGTAAATTATAATATTTCACTAACCTGAATCTTGCGGCCATTTGGGGATGATTTCCCTTACTAACCATGATTCCAGTGAGGGAGAACAGTGAGGTCGTTATAATTTACCCAGAACTATGATCTATCCCCATCTCTCCACATTTTTCCCAGGCTCCAGTTGTCTCCTGGGCCTCCCTGCGTTAACCACCGCATGGGGCGGACCGTTCTTGGCGTTTCCGGCGCCGCCGTTGAGTGCCACGAGGCCCGGGTGGTAGCTACTGGTGGCATGCAGGACCTGCAGCAAAGGAATGATGTTTGGAAGGGATCTATCATGCATCATATCATGTATCATATCATGTATCATCTCTCTTTGAACTAACTATATATACTATATATACATATATATATAGTGATGATAGTTAGGAATATTTGGTGATTAGTTTGTTTAACTATCTTCAGGTGAGTGAGAAAAACACATAGCTGGTTATAATAAATCATCCTTTTCCCAAAAAAATATTGGACATATCCCCAAACGAAAACCATGGGTTTAGACGGGGAATGGGATTGATGAGGTTCCTGGGCTTGATTTAGGTTGATTTTCGAATGTGAATCTACCCTCTGGTAAACGTTTACAGAAAACTATGGAAAATAACCATGCTATTAATGGGAAAATCCACTATAAATGGCCATTTTCAATAGCTATGTTAGTTTGAATCTACTGTAACTTGTTGATCACACGTGTGATCCCTTTTAGTTGGTGAAAAAACAACTGAAAAAACTTAGTCGCAACCCAATCATATCCGAATTTCGTGGATCCTTTCTGTTGCTACAAAAAGAGTCGTTCCCTACAAGGTGGTCCCCCCCAAGTTATAAATGGGTTATAATCCCATTAACTATAGATATATCACGTATAAACCATAGTTATTGGACTTATAAACCAACTTAGCTAACTATGGGGCACCACCCTGTATCACCATTTACTTGGCAAATCCCTAAAGTTGTTCCCCACTATCTAAATCATGGTAAATCACTAAAGTTATTCCATGTTATTCCCCATTATATTCCTTCCAAATTCCTACAGTTATTCCCTATTCTGCCTACTCCCCATGTAATCATCAACTTCTTCATACAAGTACTAACTATGATCACTATATAAGGATTATTACTTGCTAATCACCAAAAATTACTCATGTAATCATCGTGTTCTCTCCGCATTTTTCCCGATTTCCCAGGCGCCACCCAGCTGCGTCCAAGGCGCCAAGTCCACCGGCGCCGCGTCGCGCACGGCCACGTGCGCGAAGCGCAACTCCTTGGGTTCGTCCAGGTGACCAGGACCGCGGCCGCCCAGGTTGTTGAAGACCACCTGGGCGAACTGAGGTGGTTATAGATGTTGTATGAAATGATATCTATTAGATATTGGATATAATATGGTATCTGTTGATGATATTGGATATCTAGATATCTACTGGATATGATATCGGATACCCCCTGGTAATTTAACAGTTGGACCCTGAAAATGACCTATTTATAGTGGTTTCACTAGTCTGAACCAAGCCCGATGACTGCCAGGGTCTATGTTAATTTACTGGAGGGTATAACATATGAATTGTAAAGCTATGACATTAAGGATAACATATGACTATGGTAAGATATATGGTAATATATGGTAATATATATATATATAATGTTAATATGTGGTAAGAATATATCTAGAGATTGTATGATTATATTGTAATATATATATAGTATCATATGTGGTATAAACCTAGTTGGGAAAACATATTATGGAAATATATGGTAATAATATATCTATTATGGTATATATGTGGTATTAACCTATGATAGTTCCCAAATAATGTTTATCATTATAGTGGTTAATAGTAGTGTATTACAAACGCATTAGAAATTATAAATCTACTATTAAGGATAACATATAACTATGGTGGTAATATATATATATATATATACTGTATATATAATTATAGATATATATATATATATATGATCACATTGTGGTTATAATACTCTGACTTAAAGTATTGCAGCTTTCATGTGACATGTTTTTTCTGACATATTCTGCCATTTGCTCTGGCAAATTTCAGGTGACCTATGTTCTGACAAGTGTTTTCATCCGTGCCATGTGTTTTTATCGGTCTGGCAATTGGTGCGACTTCTGCCGCTGTTTTTCCCCAAACTTCCAACACCAACTTAGTATGTTGCATTTTTTAAAAACATATTGGTGATTTCTGTCAATCAGTGTAAACATGTGTTTCTAGTGTTGTAGAATAGTATACCCATAGGATCCATGGTGCTGCTATATATGGTGCTCCATGGATCCCATCAATATCTATACCCCAGTCATGTTAGCATATATACCAGCACCATGGATCCGTCATGGGATAGTATCCCTGACATTTTAACACTCAACAAACTGATGTCTGCACTGATGTCTGCGACGGAGACTTGGGACCTTTTGGGACCTTGGGACCTTGGGACGAACTAAGATGGTCTTCCACTTGTGATGCAACTGTTCAACTGCTTCGTGTTGACATCCACGATTGCATCACTCTTCACTATCAAAAATGATGCTATCTTGACACCACATATGCTGTAACTAGATTTGTGTGTGTGCTTTTGTCTCCCATTCATCAGCCATGTTTCATCATGTAATCAACCAATATTCCGTCCATGAACCTGATCACAAATCCAGTTCCAATCTATTCCGCCATGGCAAAATGTTCGTCCATCTCATCAAGGACCCTCATAGTAAAAGAATAGGTGCAGTACAGTCATTAAAACAAAACAAATTGGATTGTTAAAATTAGCTTCATCAAACATCGAAACATTCATTTGTACTTATCAAGTTTATTTCTATATTGACATCTGCATCATGAAAAAAGAAGCATCATCAGAGTCTTCACCAGCAAGAAACAACTTAGTTTCAGAACATAGAAAACTCACATCACCGTTGAAACATATTGAAACATTATTCAAGAACCTCTGCAGAGTGTCAGATTTTCGTTGGTTAAGAGGTGCTTTCTGTCTGAAGGGTTTGATGACCGAGGAGGATGTTAAATAATATGATTATGCGTCATCAACAAGACATATATTACAACTAATTATATAACATTTACACATGTCACTTCTGCCTATAAATTGGAAAATCATCATCGATTATATATTTGGGTCTGATTTTTTATTGGGGCAAAACTCCCAATTCCAATGGATTATATATATATATATATATCATGTTCATTCATTTTCCCTATGATTCAGTCTGGCAATTTGGGGCTATCCCAAGCCTCAGTTGAAGCCCGCACAGGCACAGGCACATTGCTTCGCCCAAGCATTAGCCAGGGTCCCAGAGACTCGGGCAAATCAAGAGCCTTGCAGAGGCACCCACCCGGATGGTATCCTGCTTGGTGTTTCTGGTGGACACCGGGGCATGCTACTATAGCTTATGACACGTTTTCAAAGGGTGGCTATGTATGATTTTGTATGATTTATTCACCAGAAAATATGAGAGTGTCATAGCTTTTGACCGTGAGCGACCCATCCTCAATTTGGATAAGCAACTGAAAAAATGGGACGAGAGTGGTGATTATGGCATCATCATCAACTATCTAATTTGATACCGTAATTCCATGTTATTTGTTCATGTTTCTTGTTTTTGGTTACAGTGTAAGCGACAAACTATGGATTACAATATCATTCTCAACAGACATGGGATTATTGTTCAAGGTGAAGTTTGTTCCAAACGAAAAAATGACATTGTATTTGCGAGCACATCCGAATTGGTAAGTTGCAAAACAATGGAGGTCAAAAACTTGGGTATTTCCTGCACAACTGAGTTGTCAATGGTTTTAGTATGGTAATTGCCCACTTGTGAACTGGGATGCACATCCAAGTAAGCGACTATACTGTATAAGTTTATGTCAAACAACAGCAACGGTCTGATGGTAAAGTGACCAACATTTTCATGGGACAATTAAAAAAAAACATGGAGAAAACCTGGGGTGATCAGTAACATACCCTCTGGTAAACATACAAAAAAACTATGGCAAATCACCATTTTCAATGGGAAAACTCACTATTTCTATGGCCATTTTCCAGTTCGCTATGCTATGACATAACCAGAGGGTAACATCGAACATCGGCGATGCCAGAGGGATTCTTGGTTCAATCCCCAGGACGTGAGGCTCCACATGGCTGGCTGCACGGCTGCACTTGCAGTGGAAGATATTGGAAAATAAGATCAATGGCCATGCAACAGGATCCGATTGATTGGAGGTACCTACCATATATTCTTGGCCTATTTTCCAGGCCTAAATTTCAGGGAATATCCCCAGAAAATATGGCCAGAAATATAGTACTAACGTACCTCCATTTTAGGATCCTGAAGATCTCCCATTGATAAGAAGTGCAGTGGTTCACCACAATCCAAACTCACCAAGAAATCCCTAGGTGAAATCTGACTTGATCGCAGGTCACCAGGTCGGCCCACCTCTGTGCTTGTGGTCGAAAGAAGGGTGGTGGTCGAAAGAAGTGTTGTGGCATGTGCGGCGCCTGGCCAACTACAAAGGAGTTGTAGCCTACTTGGAAGTGCAGTTCCATCCATTCGGGGAATGGTCCTACCTATGGTGACATGGTGAAATTGGGAATGGTTTATCATTGTTTTACCAACACTATGAGTAGATATATTTCACTATAATGATAGGGGATCATATCCCATGATTATATCCATGACCCCAATAGTGCCAACTGCACCCCCTTAGGTACCTAATTGATGTGGGTAAAATGGGGGTATATAGAGGTTGTCCCAACCGTAGGGTGAATAGCTACATGGATATATATATATATATGCCATTTCACTGCTATGTATTACAGGGGTTCTGTATTCTGTATGGTTATGTAATGTTATGTCATAATTCATGGGCGCTTGACGATGGAAAAATATCCATGAGTGCAATATCGAGGCATCATGGGATTCAACAAGCCAGATTGGCTGACCCCAAAGAATAGATGGTTTTTACTTTACTAAGCATTTGTTGTTGTTGTTGTTGTTGTTGTTAGGGAACATAATCGACAATTTAAGGAAAACACACTGAAAAAACCACCGTCAAAGAAGTCAGTGTGTTCCTGGACATGTCCAGGAAGTATCCACGTGAACATGCTAATTCCAGCGGTCAGGAGTGCTGTGTCCACATAAGGTGTTATTTGTTTTGATGTAAAACGCAATGTGAGTCTGTCATTGGAAACATATATAAGACTAAGATTTCAAGACGTATTTCTTCCTATCATGGATTTACGTTCACAACACTCATCTGCGAGGCTTTCTTGAGTAGCACGCAAACCTTTTTTTCAGTATCAATTTGGTTGTTTGTTTCCCTATCTCTGAAGACAGATTGGGATTACCAACCTACAGTACAATACTCTTCAAAACAAGTGGATAGTATATGCCCTCGCGTATGGCCTCAAATAAAACCATTCAACATCATTCAACTATCTTCATTCATATGTTGGGATTAAATCCGCTACAAGTTGTTGTTGGTTGATTAGACCCTTTCTAGATGATGATGTGATTTTTCTCATTTTGCTCAAATTCAAGTGGGTATAATTCCCATGATTAGTTTGAAGGACAGTACGGCACGGAACTTACCTAGCAGAAAACGGACCAGGGTGGATTCGAACCACCAAGGATTGGATGCCCGAGTCTGCTCAACGACCTCGGATCACAACATCCAATGGGCCTCTGGTCCTCCCTATCTGGGAACTAAACAGTTGCCATAAAATTACCATCCCCCCCCGGGGTCTCATACCCCCACCATCCCAGACCCTTCACAGCAGCCTTCACTCTTGCCGCGAAGGAGAATCACATTAATCAAAAACATGGGCAACGCATCTTCAACTAGAGTATGGCAATATAATAAAACACACACACATATATATATATATATATATATAAATTGCAGGTTTTTCATCACCATGAGTTTGGTTTATATAAACCCCAGGTGTTTCACCTTTTTTGATGGAAAAAACCATGGTCGCTGCCCGTTGGACGACCTGCAGGCAGCGGAGCAGCTGCAAGCACCGGCAGCGCCGGCGCCTGTGGCACCTCGGGCGAAAGGTGGGTTGGAGCTATGTCTGTATACATCAAGTATCTATTATAATATGTGTAAATATACATGTATGATTATGAAAATATGTGTGTGTGACATGTATATATATAATAATATATATATATTATTACATTTAATAAAATACATATATATATATATATATACATATATAATGCATATATATATATACATATATAATGCATATATATATATATACATATCATGCATATATATACATATCATGCATATATATATACATATTATACTTTATGTCATATTGGAGGTATACCCCTCATTATAACTGGATTATAACCATAGTAGTTAAGCAAATCTATACCAAGTGCAAGAAAGTATAAAGAACATCCAAGGCCCAAACAATGGTTGAGAATATTAAGTGATATGGGGGTATGAATATTTTGCAAACACCGCTGGGTATGGTATTAGAATGTATTAGAGCAGCTTTGTTGATGGTTGATGATTCTACCAAGCGGCAATCCGGTAATCAACGTTGTTTGGGGCAAGTTGAACAGCAAAAGTGAGTGACTTCAAGGCAAAATGTGGAGCAATTCAGCTTACTCAGTTCAGGTGTGGGTCAAATCCCTGCTCTCTGTTTTTCACGTCAAAATGCTGGAACATGGATCTTGATACTTCATTCCCCCCACCCGTTCAGAATGGAAAGAACAGATCTCGACTCATCCCAAAAATTCAATTTCGTCTTTCCAATCCCGCATTGTCCCATTGTTTCTCCATACGTTCCCGTTAAAGCGACCAGGATCGATCGACCAAGTGACGTCCACATCCGGTGACCACATGGAGATGAAGAAACTCCGGCCTTCGTTGAACTCCACCACAGCGCCTACGCCATGGGCACGCTGCGCCGCTGTGGAGCCGTCCCAAATCTGGGGATTGCTGGGATCTAAAAATAAATGTGGGCGATTCCAGAAAAGGTTTGGATGGTTTTTTGCTCAAGGGTGGATTTAAGATGATTTAAGTGTGTTTTGTGAAACGTGTCCATTTGACATTGTTGGACGCCTATGGCAGGTGGTAAGAATAATTTGTTGAAACAAATCGTGTTGGGGCAACCATTGGATCTAGATGGATTTCGGATTTAGGTGTACATGGCTGTGATAAATCCTGATCAGAAAACCTGCTCCCTACAAATCTCCAGATATGTTGGATATGTTGGATATCTTTCCCTCCAAATGAACATCAGTCGCGATCCAAAGTCAACCAGGATCATCCCCAGAATGAAGTTGACACCAGCCACAAGTCAAGCATAGAGTATGGTCTGATGTCTACCCTCTGGTGAACTAACATAGCAATGGAAAATCACCATTCTTAATGGGAAAATCCACTATAAATAGCCATTTTCCATTGCTATGTTAGTTCACCAGAGGGTACATATGTTTCTCATGTGCGCTATTTTGAACATGTTTGTCATTTCACTGAAGATCTTTTCACGTTACCTGATCTTCATTGAAGCAATCTCGTTGTTTCAATATATTATTGTTCTTAGGTTCCTAGCTTATTTTCCGATTTATCCCATGTTGGATGAATAAATCAGAATTCTTTGCTATGGCTTAATCTTTCCAACCAATTTGCCTACTTGGTGTGGATCAATCCAATTTTTTGGTGACTATTCCGACAATTGGCAGTGTGTCAAAACCTTGTACCCCCTGGTGAACATCAAAATAGCTGGTAAATAAAATGGTATTAATAGGTATTGATCCATACCCAATTGAGCTCAAAACTAATCAATAAAATCGTGGTTGAATTTCTCAACAATTGGGTGTGTCTGAACATGGGGTATATTCCTAGCCATCCCCAGTGAAATTGATGATCATCGCAGGGGTACCATACTATTTTCACAGAAACTCAATTCCAAACTCATTAAAGGTGGTGCCCCCCAGTTATAAATGGATATAAATGGTTTATAAATGTTTATAATGCCATTGACTAGTTCGATATAGTTCGATATATCACCAACAAAAACCATACTTATATATACTTATTATAAACTATGGGGCAGCACCCTGTTGTTCACCCCACCACCATGACACCATGACTTCGCCTGGCTTCGGCTGCGCGCGCAGGGTCAGGTGCACCTTCTGCACGTTCCAAAAGGTGAAGATCACTGGCGATGCGCCGCCCACGGGGGCACTCCAGTCCTGTGGTTTTTGGGTCATGGGAAACATGTTTTTTAATGGTGGTTTCATATGGGTTCCATGGGTATTTCATGGAGATATTTCATGGGATGTAAAATGATGTAAATGGAAATATCGATGGAAAACCAACTGTAGGGTTGCTCCCAACATCCCAGATACTCTTGGGGCAAAAATGAAGCCCGCAAAATGAGTGATGCCATGGGATATCCTTTAAAAAAAATGTGCTTTTTTATCGGGAACTTCGGGAAGATGATCCATTGAAAATGGGGGTATCATATCTGGTTCATTAATGGGCAATATTGATGGTAACATGATTGTTCCTTGTGGTGAGTTAGTTTTACAATGACTGGGGATCTAATCTAATGGAGACGTAGCGAAATCGAAATCCGAATATGAAGGAACACATATATATCGTTGAAACCAACGAACCATATTTTTGTGATCCGTAAGTTTCACCCACGTGATGGATCTCTTTTCAAATCATCTTGGTTTACACATTCTTTGAACTGCGACGTTCGACCAATGACTTGGGTCTCCAAATCCCGGGGCTTCACCCTTTATGGGTTTTGCTGACACCACCCATGACTAAAGCATCAATCTTAACCTAGGAATCCTAGGACTTGAATATGGTTACAGTACTTTGAAGTATACCCTTGAAATATGATGAAACGCAATTCAGAATCTGGTTTCATAATGACTGGGAGTCCCTTAAGATTTCTTGGTTCAATACAGTCGCAGTTTTTAGGCCATATTAATCCAGGTGTACTAATCTCATTTGCTTGCAAAACGACGTTAACCCTGCCTACAACAAGTTAACCCTCGTGTCATTTCACAGTTTGCGAACTGGAAAATCACCTTTTGTCATTAGGCAAATCATCTGTAGCTCCGCCTCGCCCAGCACAGAAGGAGTACTCCAGGTGTTGCTGCTAGGAAGCTTCACAGCCTAGAAGGTGACAAGGGGGTCCTTAATCATATAGTACTTATTTATGTTATCATTGTTATGTTATCATATTGTTGTTGTATCATTGTACATCTACTATGAATTTGTTTTGTTACTATGATTGTATTTATGTTATAGAGCATGATTACTTTAATAAATCTAATCTTAGTTATTGTATATTATGTGGTGTTTATGTTGTTCTATCATGGAAGATTCGAATAATTGAATCGATCAACAGATCCGACCGCGAAGAGCCAAGTTCAACCTGCCTCGCCTCGTGATTGCTATACGGTATATATTCCAACCAATAATGTCCATTAGGTAAAAATAGAGGGGCCGGTTTGGTATACCATCTATCATCATTTACCTGTTGTTAAAGGGGTAAATCTTCAAAGCCTTCCATTAATCAACCAAGCAATGGGAAAGCCGGACATCTATGAATTCCAACACCCAAATGCTGTTCTATTCTTCCTGGGTTTTAATCCTAACCCCATCTTCAATGATTAAAATCATCCCATCCACTAATTCTGGGATATCGGATCAGGGTCCATCTGAGTATTCTCTCAACCCCCATTCCATCATACTGCGCCATGTAGGGATTCCCAGTGAATGATGATCATCTCCAATTCATAATTGATTCCAACTCCCCACAATCACCAAGCATGATTTATCAACTAATATCGATTACATCCTCATGTTCTCGATGATGAAACCCCATCAACCATGGATTCAATAAGCAGCCAACAGGGGTCTTGAACGCAGCTGCGAAGTTTTTCCCACCTCAAAGTCCTCTGCCACCACGGTGTCAGGACTTGAGACACTGGACTCCTGGCTTTCTTCCCCACGATTTCAATGGATTATTCGAGAAATATCCCGATATTTCAATGGTCATTTAAAGTATTTTAAAGTTATACCCATGGGCCCATGTGTACCCATTTTCAGACAAACCCATATCAAATCAACGACGGTTGACCAGTTAGCTGGAAAAATGGGATGGTAAATAGCAAACAAAAAACTAAACAAAAATATGTTTTTTCGGATGGTTAAGAACAAAGGGATGGTCAAACAATGACCGTCAGCCAATTCCACTGAGTCAACTTCCTCCCAAACCTTGAAACCCCGTCTGATCCCCGCGTGCGACAAATGGTGTTTGAAGGGCGGGACGCTTCGAGAGATTCGAGACGCATCACTATTTGATGATCAGCAAATCATCCAAGCGACAAATTCAATATTCTGGTGTAAAATGATATGTTTTATATTGTTTTACTGTAATTAGTGTATCCAAGTATCATCAAATATCCCACTTACAAGGGCTTTTTTAACATGTTGTTTTGCTAATCAAGGTCCATAGAGTCCGTCGTGGATCTCCAAGAGACTCTCGGCGAGTCACCGAGTTGCCGGTTCCCTCTGGTAAACGTTTACAGTTTGCGAACTGGAAAATGGCCATAGAAATAGTGGATTTACCCATTGAAGATGGTGATGTTCCATATTTTTGTGTATGTTTACCAGAGGGTAGCAGCCTTCGCATGTTGCGCCCTGGAACGTGATCCTTGGACGTTTTCCGCAAGAAACCTTTGGTGTTTGGCTGTGACCGGCTGCAATTTCAAGCACAATGTCGCCCGCAAGAGTCACCAAGAATGACTCGACCTTGTTCGCCTTTGTGCGGTCCTTGGAGACAGACCTGCTGCTGTTCCAAGGGAACTTATCTGATCTGATCTACCCAACTGCAAGTTTGATATCACAGTGATGATCAAGGACGCCAAGAATCCATGGCAAAATCGTTCAAATGTTTTTTCTTAGTAGTTTACTAATCTTCCATGTATGGTATGTTTACCTTCATTTCGCCTACGGAATCACTCAATTTTTTCGCAAATAAGGGTGATTATACCATCCACCACTGATCAGGTAAAGCCATGCAATGGATGAGTCGCATCCAAAGGTGGAACCTCTTCGCTTATTTTCACGACTTTGCTGCTATGGTCAACTCTGCATGAGGGGCGCATCATGGGGTTCAGATTTTCCAAGTGCTTCACTTCAGCTGGGTCAGATTTGGAGCAAACAATTGGATCCTCCTGCCCTGTACAACCATCAATTCAGAGACAAATAGATAGATTTGATCACAGTATATTGAGATTTAATTCTATGTAGATCTCTATATCACATAATATATGAATAAATGTATGTTTATGTATATGTTAATTTATATACGAGATTGGACAGATTGATAGATGGATAAATCGATCATAGTCAGGCTGATCACACCCTTTCCCCCAATTTTCCCCAACATTGCCTCATCCTCAGTATCGCTGACTGACAGGTAGAGGCGACGAAGAGACAAGGGCCGGTCCTGACGTGGGCAGTCGCCATTTCAACATCAGCTCTTGCACTTCTTCAAGCCCATTACCAGTTTATAAATGGCTTATTGAGCGTTAGTAGTCACTAGTGGTTAATGGTGATTAATGATGAATTATAACCATCATTAATCACTATTAATCACTTAATTGACTTTAATGGTTTATTGACCATAGTCACTAATAGTGGTTAATGATGATCAATGATGATTAATGATGGTTATAACATGTTGATTGATATGGTTATGATGGTTATAACATGTTATACATTGGGTTATCATTGCATAAATGAGGTGGTCTCACTGACGTATCGCGGTTTTTTAGGGCCATAACTATATTCCCACAGGGTGGGGTACCCGCTTATCTTGGTTGGTTAACACTCAACTTAGCTACCAGCTACCATACATCAGCTATAAAATATCATGACATCCCAATTTTCTGTTGGTTAAATGCACATTTTTCTATGGTCTTTCCCTGGTTTTCCCATGGTTTTCCTATGGTTTCCCTGGCCACCCGCTTCCAGACCCTCAGCGGACCTCGGAACGGAACTCTACCAGTAACTTTAAAGTGCTGTTCATCGCTACCTGAGCATTTCTGTGGCGCGATGACATACGGTGGGTGGCTGCGACATCCTGATCATTAAAAACCCCAACTGCTGCAGGATTTCACCACAGTATTTTCATTAAGCACGTGGGGATTCAATAAACTACGTTTAAAGTTCATCTACTAACTAAGCTTAATAGTTCATCTGCAAAATAACAAGATGGTTCAATGAACTAGCTTAATATGAACTAATAATCAAACAATTTTCAAGCTACTAGCAAAACTGCAAGTTCCATCATCAAAAAATGAGGGCTTTAGCAAGGACCCAACCAGCCCAAATCAGGATTTTACTAGCAACAAATGGGATTCAAAGTGACATGTGGATGGTTGCGAAATCCTGCACCACCAATCGGATGCTTAAAACCCCAACAAAATAATGGGATGTGCAAACCACTGTTTTCAACTGATGCAGGATTTTGCAACCATCCACAGTATGTGCGTGTTTCGTTGCATTAATCATATTGGTCTTTGTTTCTAAAGCCCCAAAAATATGTTGCTTAATCCCAGTCAAATGTGGATTTTCACATCAATGGGGGATTCCTTCAGCAATTTGTCAGCTCGGTGGATTCTCTCGGTCCCAGGTGCATTGATAGAAGCGCTGTAGTGATGCCCCAGGAGCGCGTTGAGGCCGTTGGCGCTAGGATGATAGCTGCGGTCGGTGTCAAAGACCTGGGGCAGTGGGGCCGTTATGTTCGAAAAAACCTTTTGGGAGGTGCGGTTGGGGTTATGGATATAACTCTGGTAACCCCCAGAAGTTGGGACATAAATAACTGGGGTTTATGAATGGATATAACTCTGGTAACCCCCAGAAGTTGGGACATAAATAACTGGGGTTTATGAATGGATATAACTCTGGTAACCCCCAGAAGTTGGGACATAAATAACTAGGGTTTATGAATGGATATAACTCTGGTAACCCCCAGAAGATGGGACATAAATAACTGGGGTTTATGAATGGATATAACTCTGGTAACCCCCAGAAGTTGGGACATAAATAACTGGGGTTTATGAATGGATATAACTCTGGTAACCCCCAGAAGTTGGGACATAAATAACTGGGGTTTATGAATGGATATAACTCTGGTAACCCCCAGAAGTTGGGACATAAATAACTGGGGTTTATGAATGGATATAACTCTGGTAACCCCCAGAAGTTGGGACATAAATAACTAGGGTTTATGAATGGATATAACTCTGGTAACCCCCAGAAGATGGGACATAAATAACTGGGGTTTATGAATGGATATAACTCTGGTAACCCCGAGAAGTTGGGACATAAAATGAATGGATATAACTCTGGTAACCCCCAGAAGTTGGGACATAAATAACTAGGGTTTATGAATGGATATAACTCTGGTAATCCCCAGAAGTTGGGACATAAATAACTGGGGTTTATGAATGGATATAACTCTGGCAACCCCCAGAAGTTGGGACATAAATAACTGGGGTTTATGAATGGATATAACTCTGGTAACCCCCAGAAGTTGGGACATAAATAACTGGGGTTTATGAATGGATATAACTCTGGTAACCCCCAGAAGTTGGGACATAAATAACTGGGGTTTATGAATGGATATAACTCTGGTAACCCCCAGAAGATGGGACATAAATAACTAGGGTTTATGAATGGATATAACTCTGGTAACCCCCAGAAGATGGGACATAACTGTGGTTATATATGGAGATTTGATGGTTTGTATGGAAAAACCTGGGTGATTTTGTTGATGCTTCGGAATATGCATTTTCATGGCGATTTAAATGATCGATGAGAATCAGGGATTTTATGAACATAGGGATTGAAGATGATTGAAGTGATTGAAGCCTGAACTTGTAATGAATTATGGGCAATTGACAGGATATTGAACGATCATTTTTTTAAATAGCAAATAGGATATACACCAGACTTTGGCAAAGTGCCTGGGTTAAAAAAAAATCTAAGAAACATGCTGCTACAATCTCGACATGGGTAGATGCACCAAACAATGGAAAGGATTCACGGATGGTTTGACCTCTGAGATGAGGGTACATTGGGATATCATTGGGATATCATTGGGATATGAATAGTCCAGTGACATCCAGCTTGGCTGACATCCGAGTAGCAGTTGGATCCAACTATATTCCATAACCACTTGGGAGGTGCCGTTGGGGTTAATGGATAGAACTATGGTAATAATCCGCATAAGTTGGGACATAAGCCCTATGACTATAGTTATGTATATATATATATATGTATCCACTTATAACCCAGAACTGCACCTAATGATATGTTCAAATTGTTGTTGATATGTTTGACAAGTTCCTCATTCTTTTTGGCTCACTGGCAATGCCAAGCCCGGCCAACCCATGCCAACCCCCTGAATTTCAGTAGCCCTGCATGCCCTGCATCACGCCCAAATCATCATGATTCATCTCCATCAACAAAATCTATGCAACAAACCAGCTCAGGATTGCGAATAAAAAAGGGGCTAGGAAAGCCTAAGGAAAGCCCACTAGCCCACTCTAACAGACCCATCAGGTTTCACGACTTTTCACGGTGAGCATGAAATGATGGTTTTCTGTTGCCCGATTTAGCCCGAGAAAGATGCATTTTCAGCTCCAATTTTTCATGGGAGATTAAGGACCAAAAATAATTAAGGTCAGGTGAATAAATGAAGCTATATTTAACTATCATTATCATTTGCAAGGTCAAAATGCTTCGGACAGAATTTCACAGCTGCATACCTTGACCTATGAAACAAAGTTTTTTTTGCAAGGCATCTTGTCCTGGTGTCGAGAAACAAGCAAAGGAAGCCAGCGTTAAATTGGATGACGCCTCAGGTTGTTAAACAATAATTATATAGAATTACCATATATATACTTATACATACATATATAGAACTGAACCAAAACAATAGATAATTATATAAATATATAATTATGTGAATATAATCCCCTACTAGATTAAGTCGGGGGGTTGGGTGCCCCCATTTTATAGTACTAAAACGGGGGCACCCATCCCCCCCCCGGAGTGGGACCTCTATAAAATGGAAACACCCAGGGTCACAAAACAGGTGCACCTCTATAAGATAAGAAATTCATTTGAAAAAGCACATATTTACAGCTACAAATTTACTGCAAAACCCTCCATCACTATAAAATGGGAGGCCCCAACGTACCCTGGAGCCTAGCTTTAAAATGAAGGAACTAGCCAACTTTTTACTATAGAATGGGAACCCCCAACCCCCTGTATATAGCTTCAATTTTACAACATCCAAAAATGAATGGTTTCTTGAGGGGTTGGGTGCTCTGATTTTATAGAGATTACATGCCCTTCCTGGTAGGATTTTCTGGGGGTTGGGGGTTTCCATTTTATAGTGCCGCAGCCTTCCCACATCCTCCCACCATCATCACCCCAAAGACACCACATTTTTCTTTAGCCCGGGACGTCCCAAAGCCAAGGGATGCTGACACAAAGACAAAAACTTATTTTCTGGTAGTTTTCCATTGGTCCCATGCTGTCCCATGTCCCAAAAGCCAAGGGATGTCGACAAAAAGATTCCAAGCTTGGTATTTTTTGGTATCGACAAAAATTGGTATTTTGGGACAGTTGCGTATTTTGGGGCAAGCTGGAAAAAGTTTTCCATTTTATAGTGGTCCCATGTTGTCATGTCCCGAAGCCAAGGGATGTCGACAAAAAGACTCCAAACTGGGTGTTTTGTGGTATCGGCAGAGCTGGGTATTTTGGGGCCACAGTGTATTTTGGGGTAGGATGGAGAAAGTTTTCCATTTTATAGTGGTCCCATGCTGTCAGGGATGTCAAATTTGAAAACTCCAAGCTGTGTATTTTGGGGTGTCGACAGAGCTGGGTATTTTGGGGCCGCTGGGTTTTTTGGGGTAGGCTGGAGAAAGTTTTCTATTTTATAGCGGTCTCATGTCCAAAAGCCAAGGCCTGTCGACAAAAAGACTCCAAGCTGGGTATTTTGTTGTATCGACAGAGCTAGGTATTTTTTAGGGCAGCTGGGTATTTTTTTGGGTGGGATGGAGATAGTTTTCCATTTTATAGTGGTCCCATGCTGTCCTATGTCCCAAAAGCCAAGGGATGTCGACAAAAAGACTCCAAGCTGGGTATTTTGTTGTGTCGACAGAGTTGGGTATTTTTGTGGCAGCTTGGTATTTTAGGGTAGGATGGAGAAAGTTTTCCATTTTATAGTGGTCCCATGCTGTCCCATGTCCCAAAGCCAAAGGATTTCTCCAAGCTCGGCATTTAGGGGTATCGACAAAGCTGTGTATTTTGGGCCAGCTGGGTATTTTGGGGTAGGATGGAGAAAGCTGGCTTTGTCTGTCCACTCTATTCCATTCTATTCCATTCTCTTCCATTCTTACATTTCTCTGGTTTGGGAACACTCCCCCAGGTTCCCATTGCCATCCATGCTATAGCAGGAAACGGCACGCGAAGACTGAGCAATGCAACTACAACCCATGATCACTATAAAATGGAGGCTACCAACCCCCAAAAGGAATGATTTCCTGAAACCTCCTGACTCTATAGAATGGGAACACCCAACCCCCATACATGAGTGTCATGCCAAAAAGGGGATCACTATAAAATGAAATTTAATATTATAACATCAAAATCCTCCTGCCCCCCTGGGATCACTATAACATGAAAGTCCCACCCCCCCTGGAAAAAAAACATCGCTAAATTTTGTCTAAAAAAATGGTTTAGTGGGACCCCGGGGTCCCCCATTTTAGAGAGGGTTGTTCCAAAGGGGATTGAATATATATATATATAATTAAACCAAATCATCCAAATCACCATGACCCGGCTCACTGCTGGTAACAAACAATTAAAAAACGAACAGTCCATTGCACAAAAACATCAAAAAACCTTTCTATCTGGACAATGCTGCGGGCCCGGGCTTTCCATTTCTTCAGGACACTTTCGGACACTCAAACAGTACACTGCCAGCTCAGAGGTGTCTAAAGTATTCTAAAGCGGTTGTTGGAACCCAAATCAACTTGAAACACATGCAATACCAACCTGGTCCAGTATGGTTGCCACCCTTCCACCGAGCTGCTACATCTATAGGCCTTCCCTGCTGAAAACAGGCGGCATGATACTGCATGACCTGCCACACCAGGCACCAGTCCATTGAGATCCTGGTTACGACTTTTCCTTGGAGTTTCCTGTCGGAGTTCATGTCCTCTGAAAAATATTAGTCAATGGGAAGGATTATCCCGTATATTATGGAAAATAAAAAATGCTTGAAACCACCAACCAGTATAGCGTACATATCATAGACATTTAGAAGCAGATTTCTGAAACAGAAAAAAATCAGTGGTATTTTTGGTCAAGAATCCTGGCCATGAGGTGATTTTTTTCAACCAGCCACGAAATACCAAAGCCGCCCCTCTGCATGTTCAATCTGGAAATCGATCCAAGTCTTGAGCTTTCCCAACAATGTCCAATCCGTTCCGATTCCCTCTTTAGACACCCTCCTTTAGTCAAACATGGCAATTGGCTATTTTCTAAAAGTGTGGTTTATAGTTTATAGCTAGGAAAATCCTCTATGAATCGTGGATGTTCCAGCCATGTTTGATGACACCCCTCCGGGTCGTCCACGGTTCAGCAGAAACACATGCCAGAAAGGCAGGAGGGTCCGAGTGTACAGGGCCAAGACCACCCAGATTGTTGTACATCACCTGACAGCTGAAGTACCCGCGTGGTTGCTTGGGAGTGGTGCCCCCCAGTGATGTTTGTTGGTTTACAACCCCTAGAAAAAGTATAGGTATATCATGGTATATCTACCAGAATCTACCATAAACCCAAGTTATTGGAGTTATGTTCACCAACTTAGCTAGCGAACTGGGGCACCACCTTGTAGGTACTTGGGAGTCAATCCCAGGTGGTAAGTGGTGAAAATCATCTAAAAAATGTGGGTTTCTTAACATGGGGAATCCCTCAAACATCCCAAACCTATTGGTTTCAATACTAAATTGTTTCAATGACTTGGATGATAACTGGGGGTACCCCACTATCTTAGGAAACCTCCATATAGATGGGGTATATCCAATAACTGCATATGGTCATATGGTTATTGAGTGCATTAGCCACTTAGCAACTGAGATGCTTTTCCAAGTGCTATTGGCATCAATGCGTATCTCGGTATCTCAGCTCATCTTGGAGGATTTCACTGATTTGACCCAATCAATGGCAGATTTTTCATCATTGACGACAAGGGTCAGTACGAACATCATCTACAAATGATTGTTCTTTTTGTTGGTAGTCTTAAATTCCAGAGAGTATGTTTGTCATTCAACGAATAGTTCCCAAGATTGTTTTTATTTTTTCGAACCATTCCTATCATTCCTGAATATTCAATATATGGCTTCGTCTGAAAATAGTGTATATACCCCCATATCTATTGGATTACAATCATGCTCCCTAGTCAAATAGCAACTTAGAGGTACCCTCTGGTAATTTAACGTAGCTATGGAAAATCACAATTTTTAATGGGAAAACTCACTATAAATGGCCATTTTCAATAGCTACGTTAAATTACCAGAGGGTACACACCCTTATCATATTGCCCAAACGTAGTCCATACCATCCGATCTTTGGGCTTGCAGCCCCATGTTTTGTCGGTGCCGGCCCGTGGCCAATCGGCTGGAGAACGGAAAATCATCGTTTAGCTGGTGAAGTACTGTCTGGCAAACTAGCAGTTTGCTATTGAACATGCCCAGTCGAAATAGTTGATTTACCCATAAAAAAAATTACTTTACTTCGTGTGATCCCCACCATGACATTTATACATGTTCTTACTGGCACATCTTCTGGCATTCTATCTGACATATCTTGTGACATTCTATTTGGCATTCTATCTGGCATATCTTCTGGCATATCTTCTGGCATCCTATCTGGCAAATCTTCTGGCATTCTATCTGGCATATCTTCTGGCATTCTATCTGACATATCTTCTGGCATTCTATCTGGCATTCTATCTGGCATATCTTCTGGCATATATTCTGACATATCTTCTGGCATTCTATCTGGCATTCTATCTGGCATTCTATCTGGCATTCTATCTGGCTATCTTCTGAAATATCTTCTGGCATATCTATCTGGCATATCTTCTGGCATATTTTCTGGCATTCTACCTGGCAAATCTTCTGGCACTCTATCTGACATTTTATCTTCCTACACGAGGTCCGGCAGGGAACACTGGGCGTGGATGGTCGTGGTTGAGGTCCGGCAGGGAACGCTGGGCGTGGATGGTCGTGGTTGAGGTCCGGCCGGGAACACTGGGCGTGGATGGTCGTGGTTGAGGTCCGGCAGGGAACACTGGGCGTGGATGGTCGTGGTTGAGGTCCGGCAGCGAACACTGTGGATCGCGGGTCGCAGTTGGACGAGGAGGACGAGGAGGACAACGAGACGAGGAGGACAACGAGAGGAGGAGGACAACGAGAGGAGGAGGACGACGAGAGGAGGAGGAGAGGAGGAGGAGGAGCAGGCAACTTAGATAAAATCTAACAACCCTCACCTGGCAGGTGGGGAAAAAACATTTAAACACCTGATATTTTCCACAGTTAAAGGTTTACCATAGGCTATATCCCCATGTTTTCATGACGCAACAGATTTAGCTGTATGAGACACTAGCCTAGCCTAGCCATCCATGGTCCGAGCCCAGCGACGTTGTGTGGACTCAGCATCATCTTGGTGCCAAAACTCGAAGGAAAAAAGGCCTCCAAGTCCTGGGCCCAGCGGTGTTTACTCTTGGGGGGATGTGATTCTTCCCCAAAAGAAAATATACTGGTTGGTGGTAAAACAACCTACCATTGTGGTTAAAACAAATAACTGTTAATAATGGTTAATGATGATGGTTAATGATGATTAATAATCTGGTTGGTGGTTGAGCCACCTAGCCCATTCCGAAAAATGATGGAGTGAGTTCGTCAGTTGGGATGATGAAATTCCCAACTTAATGGAAAGATAAAATTCATGTTCCAAACCACCAACCAGAACACCATGAAAAACCAAGCTGGTTGGAGTGTCCGATGGCGACCATGATGCCACAACAAGTAGACAGGGGCCTGCTGCACCTAGACGCAGGCACCGTGTCAATGGATTGGTTTCGACGATGAAAAATCTATGGTTGAAACAAGTTGAAACCACAGTTTTGACCCCCAAAATGTAGGAGTCAAAGGGGGGGCTCCTGTAAATGTTCGTTGAAACCAAAGGTAGGACTTCTATATAGCACAACTTATAGATTTGTTGGACGAAACTCCCCAAAGTTGCAAAATGTGGGGTTTCTCCCCGCCAGGATGTCTGGGTGGCAAAATTGGGTCAAAATGTTCCAATTTCCCACCCCAATGGCAGGGATGTAACTTTTCTGTACCTGCAATTGGTTGGGGCACCCCTGCGCTGAGCACTTCCAGGCAAGTTGCAAAGCCATTGGACTCAGACATGCCTGGAAGGTGTCGCGGTGTCGCGGTGTTTTGGAAGATGGGAGCAACTTTGGGTTTTACGAAAAAAAATATGGGAGAACTCTAAAATTGTGGATTGTTTTGACCATCATGTATTTATATATATAATCCCTTCCTCCTAATACTAAACGTCCCCCTAATACTAAAAACAGGCATCCATCTCCAATTTCCGAAAATTTCAGTTTGGCCAATTTGACTTTTAATTGAGCCCCTTTAAAAAACAATTTAAAAATCAACCTACCATTTGTGGGTTCTCCCCCCTAATACTAAAAACTAGTTCACCCCGGGGTGTTTAGTATTAGGGGGGCCTAGTCCCAATCCCTCACTCCAAGCTGCCTAGCTACTCTAGCAATTAGGGGTAAGCTTCTAACTGCCATTTTTGGCAATATTTTAATTGCGCTATATAAGGAAATTTAATTGATTTTGAGATCGGAAAAAATAGTTTTTAGTATTAAGGGTTTTAATTTAGTATTAGGGGTAAGCTTCGAACTGCCATTTTTGGCAATATTTTAATTGCGTTATATAAAGAAATTTAATTGATTTTGAGATCGGAAAAAATAGTTTTTAGTATTAAGGGTTTTAATTTAGTATTAGGGGTAAGCTTCGAACTGCCATTTTTGGCAATATTTTAATTGCGTTATATAAGGAAATTTAATTGATTTTGAGATCGGAAAAAATAGTTTTTAGTATTAAGGGTTTTAATTTAGTATTAGGGGTAAGCTTCGAACTGCCATTTTTGGCAATATTTTAATTGCGTTATATAAGGAAATTTAATTGATTTTGAGATCGGAAAAAATAGTTTTTAGTATTAAGGGTTTTAATTTAGTATTAGGGGTAAGCTTCGAACTGCCATTTTTGGCAATATTTTAATTGCGTTATATAAAGAAATTTAATTGATTTTGAGATCGGAAAAAATAGTTTTTAGTATTAAGGGTTTTAATTTAGTATTAGGGGTAAGCTTCGAACTGCCATTTTTGGCAATATTTTAATTGCGTTATATAAGGAAATTTAATTAATTAATTAACATGACTTCGATTTGGTTCCCTAATAATAAATACCCCCCTAATACTAAAAACTACCTGCCGTGTTTTGTATTAGGGGGGGGGGGGGGGGGGGTTTAGTATTAGGAGGAAGGGATTATATATAAAGTGATGAGAAATTGCAATTGTGGGATGACCGCCGTTTTCAGACAAAGTGGGACTTGGGCTAATCGTAATTATAGTATAATCGTATTAAGTATTAACCTCCATCAATCTCAGACATTGGGATTGTTTTGTCGCAAAATCTGCTTTCGATTATTGTTTTCATTTTTGGGATACAATGTATCAGGAATAGGGAATGATATTGTGAAGGTATGATGGGACTTGGATTGAATTTCAGTGGATGGTTTCGCTGCGAAAATCCAACTGAAAAAAAAAAGTTTTTGCTAACAACTCAGAGTGTGAGGTCCTGCATCTTTTTGTGGATGTTTAAAGGTATCATGTTCACTGGTTAATGTTCAACAACAATTAAGCAGAGGAAATTACAAGTACTTTTGATTATGTGTAATATATGTTCTTATAAGTTCCGGCATCTTTCTGTATGTTGTTCAACGTATCATTCTCAAATTTCTCACATACCTGTCACAAAATCTATGTTTCCGCTGGTGAATTGACAACTTTTACGCATTTTACCATTGATAGCAAAAGATCAAAGTACATTAAAGTACATTAATCTGGGTAAATTATAATAATTCACTAACCTGAAACTTGCGGCCCCTCCTTTCCTTGTTTTGAGTGCCCACCCCCAGCTGCTAAGGTGAGCACTTTGTCCTTGAAGCTCCGCCATTTTGGCGGGTAAACCTCAGTGATACCCTTCTCGCTATTCTGCACTCCGACCCGGGCGTTGAGCCAGTTCGGCAGCGTCATTGACTGTGCCGTTGATGCCAGGGTGGATAGTCCAGATGGACTCATCTTCGGCAAGGCCAGAGCCTGGCTCAGAGCTTGACCAGCTTCATCAGCTCCTTGGCTGCTTCGAGGCTTTCGCCTTTCAACTCGCGGAGCCCCACGACGTTTGCTGATTCAGCTGATGCAAGCGGCAGTGACGCCCGCCTGTTCTGCAACGCTTCGCGTTCTGCTCGGCCCTGGTCGTTGCGTGATGCAAGACGACCAGGACCCTTGCCGCCCTTGCCTCTTCCTCCTCCTTTCCCAGGAGGCTTGGTGACACTCGGAGGCCCCGGCCCCGGTAGGGCAGAATCAGCTTGATCCGGCTCCGGAGTATTCCGGAGTAATGTCCAAGGCACCAAGAAAATCAGGGCCAAATATGCCTTGTCCTCCCAGCTCGGCTGGGCCTTTCCCCTGAAGAAAAGTTGATAGAATAGATGTGGATCTCGGTTGGATTCAGCCTGAGTTGCGGCTTTTATTGGTATCCACATGGGGATCCCCCTAAAACTTGCGGCCATTTTGGGATGATTCCCCGAATCTAACCATCATTTCCAGTGAGGGAGAACAGTGAGGTCGTTATAGTTTACCCAGATAAATGGTGGTACCCCAATAGCTGGATGGTTTATTTCATGGAAAGTCCCATGAAACAACAGATGATATATCAGTTTAAAGTCATTAATAGATATTGATAGTATCTAACCAGCTAACCAGTCGCTTGAGACCCAGTTCTCATGTTCCCTGGGTCTCCATCGTCTCCGTCGTCTCCGTGTCCCGCCTGGGCTTGGCGTGCTCTGCGTCCGTCGCGCCAGCGCCACCATGCGCGGGGAAGGCGGCGCCAGCGGCGCCAGCGTCACAGGGTCCGGTTGAGGTAGGGGTTCAGGCGCCTGGGGTGCTTTTGGGGCGCCAAAATCAGTAGAGAGCTATGATAATAGCTACTAGTATGGTAATTGCCATATACCATAAGGTAATAAACCACCATAAGTTGGATATAACTGATGCAAGCCCTATAATTATGATGTCTATCCCAGTAATAGCCTCCAATGAGTGGATAGCCATGGTAACGGCTTTGATAAGAATAGCTATGGTAATGGATAGCAGGATAGCAATGATAACCCATAAGTTGATGATATAAGCCCTATAATTATGATCTCTATCTCATACATGTTTATCCGATGGAACTTTATCCATAGCAACCCCCCAAGGATGGATTTTAGCACTGTATCACTACTTTTATCACCGGATTTCTGTAAACTTATGTGTTTTTTGTTTTCCGGGTGGTTCTGTATCTATTGATTTATCTATCTAGGTTTGTCTGCTTCAATGGGGCACCCCATTCCACTAGATTCTTTGTGAGTCATCATGGAAGTCTCACATTTGATGGCCATTTCATTGGTGATATATCACATTTTAAGACAAATCGACAAACCCAAATATCATCTAATATCATATATATATACATATTATACTGGTTGGTGGTTGAGCCTACCCCTCTGAAACATATGAGTCCGTCAATTGGAATGATGAAATTCCCAATATATGGGAAAATAAAACATGTTTGAAACCACCAACCATATATTATATATATATACTCATCTATAGTTATGTAAAGTAGACATGTGTCTTCTTTAAAGGGGTAATCTTAATGAGATATGTCCACAACCCGTGGGGATGGAACATGCTGGCAACAGGATGGTGAGTTTTGCAAGAGGATCATGTCCATGAGCTTTCTTCGATGGGCTGGGATTAGCTCAAATTTTCTGTTGGAAAAACTAACATATGTTCCACACCCCAAAAAAGATAGAACAGAAAAAAAGAAACTAACATTAAGTGGCAAATTATATACTTTTCTATCTTTTTGGGGGTTACTATAAGGGTAGAATCCATGGATTGGTTGAAGGGAAAACATGCAGGAAACATCAGGAAACCTTAATGGGATTACCATCAAATATAGGGCCTTCCTGCAGATTTCTTCATCATCCAATTCTGGACAACCAAGTATAACCATCAATCAACTGGGGTACTACATGCTAGAATGTGAGGTTAATGTGAGAGTATAGATACCAACAAAACATGGGGAGATATATGTAATGATATGTATATCTATATATATATACATTGTAATAATTAAGGGCATATTCATATATGATAGTATATGATAGTTATCTTGATCTCGCAAGAAAAAATGTCCCAGTCCATTAACCTCAGAAGTTCGGCTTTTTGGAGTGGGATGGTTCCCCCAATCCTAAGCATCATTCCAGTCACGTCATAGTCACAATGAACTTGTTGCAATTCATCCAAATATGTGTATATATATGTATATCATTGTATATCCATGTATATGTATATAATTACGGTAACTGAAATTAAATATACGAACTTTTGAATATACGAATAGGTATTTTAGACTACCTCCGGGAAAGCTTTCCTTGGCCCGCCCGGCCATTTAAACATATGGAATCCCATTAATTTAAACATACGGTAACTACATTTAAATATGCGAACTGGTATTTCATACTACCTCTGGGGCCTCGCGGTCTGGCCCGGCCCCCACATACTTAAATGTCGTTAACGTATATATATATATATATATTTGTTTTTTCCCCTCCAAGAAGGAGCTTAGATTCTCATCAATGGCTACCCAGAACCAAAAGAACTCTTAGGCCCCAAAAATTTGGAAGATTGACCAGGCTTAGTGCGAACATCAGTTATTAATGGCTTAACCACTTATTTCAATTGGTGATTTGCTTAGTATGGTCATGCCAACTTAATGGTTAATGTTTATCATGGTTGACTTGGTGAGAGATCTGATGAGTAATAGGTTTAATGTACAACTCAGAGATTATTTTGTTGCAAATTTAGATTCCAGAATTCATATACCCTTAAGAATAGTCCTTTGATAACCTGTTGCCTTTGGATCCAAGCCCAGTCACAAACCTGTCACTAGAAATAAATATGCTAGGCTGATCCCCACAAACAAAAAAAAACATTATCCAACAATCATTCATGAATAGTGAACATATAATATTAATAATCAACTAATAATCAATTAATATCCATATATTTCCATATTATTGATGGTTTTATTTTTGAATGAACACGTTTGAATCATTCTTTATCTACCTGGTAACCTCGAAAATCGGGCTTTCTTTGCCTCCAAATCTGGGGACTGCAGGGTGATGAAGAAACTTCTCCCAGCAAGGAGACTTCCCATGGCATTACCTGCCGGTGGCAACGGATGCAAGAAAATTACTGTTAATATACTGTTAAGAATGGTTGAGCCACCTACCATTGTGGTTAAAACAAACTGTTAATAATGGTTAATGATGATGGTTAATGATGATTAATAATAATCTGGTTGGTGGTTGAGCCCTACCCCTCTGAAAAATGATGGAGTGAGTACCAGTTGGGATGATGATTCTTCCCGAATATGATGGGAAAGTCATAGAATTCCATGGTTCCAGTCACCACCAAGCAGTATAAAATATGGATTGGTTTTGTTGTTTTTTTTTTACCGGAAAGCCCCATATGTATCATGGGAACATCTTCCTGATCGAGAAATGGGGAGAACTGAGAGATTTACCCTCTTGTAAACGTTTACAGTTTGCGAACTTGAAAATGGCCCATTTATAGTTGATATAGCCATTAAAAACGCATGGTGATTTTTCAGTTCGTTATGTAAACGTTTACCAGAGGGTAGCACAGTTCTTTGCTAGAGTTAGGATTGATGGGCGCTCGGATTGACTAAGCAAAAATGGACTTGAGGGATTTAAGTGACTGTTGATGATTGTCATTAACACCCAAATATCAACCTAACTGGTCAGTAACCAGACATACCCTTTATATAAATTGTGGTGTTTTTTGGTTGTCTCTCCAAATTACCAAGCATCAATCCTCAGTCCAGTGATCACTGATCATAGAAGTGGTCAAGGATGGTCAGGGGCCCAGCCCATTGCACTACCACACTGGTCCATTTAAGCGTTACATTGGATGTACCTAGCATATGCAGGGCTCCAGATTCAGAGACTCTCCTGACCAAAACTAGAATTCCACCCAGCATCAGCCAAACCAATGAGAATTCCCCCTGGAAATAGTTCCAAAAGCCACTGAAAATGTCAAGAAAACGTGTGTACACTAGCCACAAATGATCATGTCTCGGCTCATAATCGGCTGATCTTGGCTCCCTGCAACCAAAAAAAAACATGTAAACAAAATTGGTTAGATGCCTCCCCATTTGTATCAAATGATCAGTTACTCTATTCAACCATTGGCATAAACAAATAAACTCCTTCCTCCACATTAGAAGTTCCTAAAGCTGCGGTCCTCCCACGCCACTGGATAAAATCACACGAGTAATCAGTGTAGAATCATTGGTTTTACGCCGCTAAGTCACTACTCATCATCACCATCAAGTAAAAGTTCAGTTTTCGAAGGTCAGTGACAGTGAGTTGTCCAACATGTTCACTGTTCACGGGTGATTCCATGAAATCACTAACCATTTTCTGCTGAAATTGTTGGTTGGTAATGGTATGTGCATCGTCATGGATTATGCTTACAAAAACTCGATCACTCAAGTTCCCTGTTCTTGCTGGTGAAATGACCCATGAATCCTAACTTCAAAAGAGAATTGTTGAAATAACTTGTGCCCACAAGTCGCAACATTTCTTCATTCAAGCATGTAAAATAATAATTTGATACGCATGTTGGTCAGTTTTAAACCATCCTTGTTTCAGTTGCGTCTGCCCAAACATGGGGTACAGATATGTATGTATATATATATATTATACATACATATAATACATACATATAATACACACATATAATATCATATAATCATACATATATATATATATACATACACCAAATAAATGCACTTTCATATATGTTCATGATCTTTCATGTAACATGTGTATAGAAACCATTGAGCATGGCATAGTATGTTTCGGATTCCCCAACATTCTTCAGTCCCAAGCATGGATCATTCGCGCAGCCACCTTTCTACATTGTTGTGGTTTTGTCTTGTATATCCCATATCCCATATTATACCTTTGCTTCATCATAACCCATTATATTCTGTTCTATTCCCATATGTTTTTGGTTTTTCAATCCATCTCCATGTTTGGATATGTACACCCTTCCGTAATCAAAGATGGCCAGCTGGAAAATCCCGGAACTATATAAATGCATGTTTTAATGGGAAAATCATCGAACTACATGAGAATTTTCCAGCAAGCCGTATTTGACTACCCGAGGGTAGCATCGTTAGGGATTGTTAAAAGTGATTCTGAATCTCATAAGCATTCATCATAATACTCTCCCCCAGAAAGTCAGGTAGTATCACTTATAGCCACAAATAAAATAATCATCAACCAACAAGGGTTAAGCGTCGCAGCCACTGATCTGGTTATCTTACCCCATAAAATCCGATTAAGTCCATCAATATCACATGATATCCCTATGACATTCCCCAACCGGGCTTGAAAAAGTCGCAGCCACTGCTCCGGTCAGCCTGGGTCAAGTCATCACTACCATTCTGTCATTCTGTGGATAAGAATGTCCTTATGTCACTTATGTCATTGTCCAATTCTCATCCGGTTTTGATTCCCATACTAAAAAATAATCATTCGATCAATCATTCCATCAATCATTCCCTGGTTGGTGGTATACCTACCCCCTGGAAAAATAAAAAATATCTTTGTCAGATTGGATCATCATCCCAACTATTGGGGAAAATAAAAGCCATGTTCGAAACCACCAGCCAGCCATCATTCCCACTACATCGGCTGGCTCAGATCATGTCTCCCCGCCTCCCGCTTGCTTGGCGCTGAGCTTCAACGTCACCTCTGTCGTCTGATGGAAGAAGAAGCTGGGCGCCGGGCCCTTAGGCACTGAGAAGACCTCAAACGTGCGCGACCGCGCGACCGGTGGCGGAATGAGCTGAGGGCGGGGGACTTAACATGGTTTAGCCAGTTAAAATGGTGGTAAACCCTGAGGAAAATGATGGGAACATGCTGATTTAGAGGTGATTGATGATAGGTAAGTTGGGTTACCATTCCAATAACTGGGCTTTTTTTGGTAAATTAATATGTGAATGGCGGACAGAATTACTCGTTCATGCCATGATGCCAGGTGCAAATTAGGGTCGTCCCTTATCATTATCGGTAGTGAGGATTTCTTCCTTCATAGATTTTGAGGCGACTCATGCAAAACAAGTATATCGGTATAGGGTCGTCTGCTACCGGTAACAAAGGTTTTGCATACCTCTCAGCAAGGCCGAGGCGAACCAATACTAAATTATTATTACAATATATTACAATGTATTACAATATATTACAACATATTACAATATATTACAATATAACAATAATTTCGTCGGTTACTCATGTAATTACAAATCGAACTAACTAGATGATTGGGTTTATAAAGCAACAAACATAACTGCGGGGAAAACACCGTGTAAGCGGGCCGCAGAAAATGGGAATACTTCCCAGTTACGAGAGTGAAAAATGTGGGGAACATAATGATTACCCTCTGGTGAACTAACATAGCAATGGAAAATGGCTATTTATAGTGGATTTTCCCATTAAGAATGGTGATTTTCCATTGCTATGTTAGTTCACCAGAGGGTAACCATCAAATTTAAGGATCCCAAACAAACACAGTTGTTAGTGTGGTCTGTCCCTCAACCTTCTCAAGGGGTGCGCATGGTCTGCAATGCCCTTGCGTTATCACCAATTTGACCTTTGAATATTCAATGTTAATAGCATGATTAATACAATTGAGTCATTCAACTATAGTTATTACTAACTATAACTATACATTACTTTGATATATAATGTAATTAATAGTTAATAGTCATGCTGGCTTTTGGGAAAAACACACACACACACATTTGTGTCAGAGTGAGCCAACTATAGCCACCATGAATTGTTCTGGTCAAATCATGTCAAATCACCAAATCGATACATCGATATATCTTCCTGTTTGAAACGATTAAAACATGTTACCACAGACATTTTGGAGAGTCGTAGGTCAAGGTTTGTTATCTTACTTTAAGAATCTCCGTATCCAGCCTTGTCTACAGAGTTGATGTCGTCAACTGAAATGGATCCGCCCATGTAGATTCAAGGTTTAGATTAGTTTCCTCTTCAGAAAAAATGATGTTTGGTTTCCATGACTCATGATACATATAAAATACGTCATTTCGAAACATGTACAGTAAAACATCAACTGCAGATTGAAGTAACAAAAACCCATTCCGTTGTTCCTGGTCTTCTGGAAGCCAGACTTCCACCAAGGACAGAGGTTTCAGCCACTGAACACTTTACATGCGCAATTTGCGCCTGTCGAAGACAACGAAAATCGTGGACCGGTCGGATTGTCACCCGCCTGTATCCGATGTCAAACTTCTCAAATGATAGATGCCGATCAAATTTGGGTACATGAAAATATTATATTATATATTATATATATATAGATTAAATTATATAAAATATAATAGATATAGAATATATATATAATATAATATGTAAAATATAATATATAATAGACATATGTATATATATAATATTTTATATAATGGATATAATAGATAATATATATAATATATAATGGCTATATTAGATAATATATATATATAGAAAGAGAAGAAAGAGAAGAGAGAGAGAGAGAGAGAAGAGAGAGAGGAGAGAGAGAGAAGAGAGAGAAGAGAGAGGAGAGAGAGAGAGAGAAGAGAGAGAAGAGAGAGAAGAGAGAGAAGAGAGAGAAGAGAGAGAAGAGAGAGAAGAGAGAGAAGAGAGAGAAGAGAGAGAAGAGAGAGACGAGAGAGAAGAGAGAGAAGAGAGAGAAGAGAGAGAAGAGAGAGAAGAGAGAGAAGAGAGAGAAGAGAGAGAAGAGAGAGAAGAGAGAGAAGAGAGAGAAGAGAGAAAAGAGAGAGAGAGAAGAGAGAGAAGAGAGAGAAGAGAGAGAAGAGAGAGAGAAGAGAGAGAAGAGAGAGAGAAGAGAGAGAGAAGAGAGAGAGAAGAGAGAGAGAAGAGAGAGAGAAGAGAGAGAGAAGAGAGAGAAGAGAGAGAGAAGAGAGAGAGAAGAGAGAGAGAAGAGAGAGAAGAGAGAGAAGAGAGAGAAGAGAGAGAAGAGAGAGAGCAGAGAGAGAAGAGAGAGAAGAGAGAGACGAGAGAGAGGAGAGAGAAGAGAGAGAGGAGAGAGAGGAGAGAGAGGAGAGAGAGGCGAGAGAGAAGAGAGAGAAGAGAGAGAAGAGAGAGAAGAGAGAGAAGAGAGAGAAGAGAGAGAAGAGAGAGAAGAGAGAGAAGAGAGAGAGGAGAGAGAGAAGAGAGAGAAGAGAGAGAAGAGAGAGAAGAGGAAGAGAGAGGAAGAGAGGAGAGAGAGAGAGAGAGAAGAGAGAGAGAAGAGAAGAGAGAGAGAAGGGAGAGAGAGAACAGAGGAAAAGAGAGGAGCGAGCAGAGGAAGAGGAAGAGAGAGAAAGAGAGAAACGAGAAGAGAAGAGGGAAAGAGGGAAGAGAGAGAAAAGAGGAAGAGGGAGGAGAGAGAAGAGGGACGCAATGAGAGGAGAAGGAGACAAGAGAGAGAGTTTAAGAAAGAAGAGAGAAAAGAGAGAGAAGAGAGAGAAGAAAGAGAAGAGAGAGAAGAGAGAGAAGAGAGAGAAGAGAGAGAAGAGAGAGAAGAGAGAGAAGAGAGAGAAGAGAGAGAAGAGAGAGAAGAGCGAGAAGAGCGAGAAGAGAGAGAAGAGAGAGAAGAGAGAGAAGAGAGAGAAGAGAGAGAAGAGAGAGAAGAGAGAGAAGAGAGAGAAGAGAGAGAAGAGAGAGAAGAGAGAGATGAGAGAGATGAGAGAGAAGAGAGAGAAGAGAGAGAAGAGAGCGAAGAGAGAGAAGAGAGAGAAGAGAGAGATGAGAGAGATGAGAGAGAAGAGAGAGAAGAGAGAGAAGAGAGCGAAGAGAGAGAAGAGAGAGAAGAGAGAAAATAGAATAGAGAGAGAAGAGACCAAGAGAGGAAAGAATAGACAAGAGCAGAGAGAGAGGAGGGGGAGAGGAGAGGCGAGGAGAGGAGAGAAGAGGAGAGGAGAGGAGAGGAAAGAGATATACAATAAGATATATATAATGTATATATATTATAATATATATAATATAATATAAATAATGTGTATATATATTTATTATATAAAATATATTATATAATATATTATATATAATAAATAATATACACACATATATGTGCCGTGACCGGCCTGCCGCATGATTTTGTACCGACCGTACTCAGCTTCCATTTTCAGCGCCTGCTTCACCACAGCACCGTGTGAGTGGTTGGACAAGGTTGATAGTGATGTCCTCACCCTTCTCCTTCTTGCGGATGGTGACTTGTGGAGCATCTTGGGCTCAGCAATTCAGTTAGATCATCCCAGCATTCAGCGACATTTGTGTTGCCGTCTCTTCATGTAAACTCCAAATGTTCTTGGTCAAAATCCCCATTCCAAATCTCCAATAAAAAGGGCCCGATCCAAACCGTGCCCGAGATTCTGCGTTTGAATGTTTCACCATCCTGAGTTTGACTGCTATTTTAAGGGATGGTTCCCCTGTAAAAATAGATGGAATTCATCCCTGTATCATAAACCATATTTCGGGGGTTGGTAAATGACCTCATTCTTCACATCATCAACTCTTGGGAATATCTGCAAGAATTCCTTGAAAGTGATGTTCAAAACCCCCAAAACAAAATCATAGTAGTTAGTTCTATCTCATTCAACCCCATTCAACCCCATTCAACCCCATTAAACCCCACCCATTCTTTTTTGAAAGGCCTAAGAACCACGTCGTCCCACCGAGCGACGCCGTGCTTGCGTAGTTGCAGCGCCTCGGAAGTTCCATTGGGCCAAATAAGGGCCTCCGGCGTGTCGAAGATAGGGGATATACATATACCCTCTGGAGATTTAACATAGCCATGGTATAGATGACTCATAGAAATAGATGGTTTACCTATTAATAGCATGGTGATTTTCCATGGCTATGTTAAATAACCAGAGGGTATATATATATATATATATATATGTATATAGATAGATAGATGTCTATGTAGTAGTGCGATAAGTGTATTAAGTGTATATATATATATATGTATATGTATATGATGTAATAGTATATGTAATTAGATTTGAATATGTAATTAGATATGTAACCATCTGTATGTGATGTGTATATGTATGACAATATGTATCAATATGTATATTCAATCATATGTGTGTGTGTGTTTGTATTAGTTTGCTTACATATGTTCTATGCTGAATGCATACTAACGGGTGTGTGGTCAGTCAATAGAACGGACGTATAAAAAGATCAATCGGTACAGTATGTTGAAAAAATGAATAAGCTGCTTAGAGCACAACGTTTGGATGATATCAATATGAATGCTCGGAATTTGTACAATATTGTGTAGAGACTGAGTATATCACATCCACCCATGCGTTTCGAGTGTATGTAGAGGATCTGGAAGATTTCAAATCGTTTATCAACTTGAAATACAATGGTGTTCAAGTGAGTCCCCTGACAAAACATCATTTATCGTGAGAACATAGTAAGGTGGTTGAACCTCACCCAAACCAATGTGTAGTGGGTACATCAATGGGTAGAAAATTTATTGAATAACCATGTTTCTATTTTTCACCACATGGAACCGGAGTAACCACAGCTCTGCATGCACCAAAGCTGGGATATGATATATGGGGGCTGTTCTAAACCTAAGTAGTTTTTTGCGTTACTTTATCCATCTTGCGCTCGCCCTTGCACCTTCTTGCGCTTCCCAGGGTTTTAGCGCAAAATCATATCCGAATACTAATTTAGTTTACTTTGCATTTCATGAGGCATGTCTGGCTCAAGTGACGTTTACAATAGATAGGGTCTTCATTTGTAGGCACTTATTTCCTCCTTTTCTGAATTGCTGCCACAATGTACTGGGAAGTAGTTTGTGCAAGCTTTGTAGTACACAGTAGTACTGGGAAGTAGTTTGTGCACGCTTTGTAGTACAAAGTAGTACTGGGAAGTGGTTTGTGCAAGCTTTGTAGTACACAGTAGTACTGGGAAGTAGTTTGTGCAAGCTTTGTAGTACACAGTAGTACTGGGAAGTGGTTTGTGCAAGCTTTGTAGTACACAGTAGTACTGGGAAGTGGTTTGTGCAAGCTTTGTAGTACAAAGTAGTACTGGGAAGTAGTTTGTGCATGACTGGCGACAAAATATCAACAAGCCAAAAACACAACGGTGGGTTGACTAAAGTTGATCAAGGTGGACCCAGAGGTTTGAGATAGTTTGCGCATGACCATGCTTGCCTGTATCAGCATCCAGTTCCACCTGGAAAAATCCGGGATTCGCCGGTTTTTTCCCTAGCTTAGATAAACCCATATGCTCCATGTATGTAATATTTACCAACATTTGCCCTAAAAATCACCCAAATGTAGGTAAATATACCATACATGGAGCATATGGGAAATGATAAATGATTGATGAACAAAAACGAGGTCAACGGAAAATCTCCAAAGACCAATCTTAAACACAATCTGAAAGATGATGTTTGCCAACCCGCAGCACTTCAGTCCCCGTTGGAGTTGGTTGACTCGCCGTTTTTCTTGTGCGGCTCACGAGTGTCACGAGCCACTCCCCATTCTTTGCTGGACAAACGCATGGTTGGTGAAATCCCAATTTTGATGCTTTTGCAGTCACCTTTTGCATTGGTCAACTCCCCCTTAGTTGCTGGATAAATCCATGGTTGGTTGAACATATAAATCCCGAATTTGATGGTCAATCCGGGTTTTTGCTTCGTTAAATCAACTTGTCTGATTGGAGAAATCCCAACTTTGCTCCATCAATGGCCTGAAAGCCGCCAATCTCGAGTTCACCATCTGCAGCCAAACTTCGCTCTGGCTCCTGTGGATTATGTAGACTTCTAGTTGGATGTGCATCCTAACGTATGGTTTACAAACATGCTTACAACATCTAACAACCATCTGCAAATGGGATGACCTCATATGTATACGGGTTGAAAAACGGTGAAAAAGGTTGGTTGCAATCGCACCATCGAACTGGGATGCACATTCTGGCTGACGCAATCCTCTGATCAATTGATCTTCCTCCAATCTTGCACTGTGCTGTGAATCAAATGCCATCAGGAGTAGAATTGGCCTTCTGCTGCCAATATTGATGTCATTTGGTGAAACTATTTAGGATGTGTTTGGAACCGTTATCATTTCAAATGATAGTATCCAAATTTCATTATCAACCATCCAATTCTTGGGGTTGGACACTGAAAACCAGCATGGAGGAATCCATGTTCATGTCCATGTTGAACTCCAAAAAGTCAAACATTCATGTTCCAAACAATCCAAACATTCCAAACCCGCTTTTTGGAGATTCCACGCAAGTTTTCTAAAGTAAACCATTCTCTGGTTGAGTTGTATGTACCCGGCCTGGTAAACGCTTACATAACTATGGAAAATCACAATTTTCAATGGGTAAATCCACTATTTCTATCTATTTCTATGGCCATTTTCAATAGCTATGTAACAAATTACCAGAGGGTAATTCCCTAACCTACAAAACTAGCCATGAGGCGATTTGGGGATGACTCTCCTAACCATCCTTCCAGCATGACGGTCACGGTCATCATCGCCTCCACGTCATAAACGGTCACGAGGAGATCTGAGACTTCCAACGGCTCCAAGTGTTGTGACTCCTGGATGAAAGTGGCTGACTCAAAACGAGAACATATATGTGACTTTTATGTGTATCATGATATATAGATATATAAGCTTGTATATTTGTTTGTATATATTCCCAGTTGGGCTGCAAATATTGAGAAAAACCATGAAAAACCATGAAATGAATCGTTCCTCGTAGATAGAACTTAGTATCAAACCCGAAAACTCAAGTTCTCCCTACGCTTTACGGATCTTTATGGTTTGGAATCCACCCCAAATGTATGCTCCATGTAGATATGATATTTGCCAACGTTTAAAGACCAAACATGTCCTTTTCATTTCGGGTAAATATACCCATGGAGCCTATAACAAGAAAAACAAATGGATTGTTTGTTGGTTTTTAAATGCTCCAAGACTCCATGTATTGTATATTCATGTATATTCACATTGTATATAACAAATACCTTGGTAAATATAGACCATAAATCAATGGGAGATCTTCAGGATCCAACAGGAGCTACTGTACCACAAAAGACCATAGAAAATGGGGATGTATACCCTTAATTCTCCTTACATCTTAGCCCATCTCCCCAAGAAAAATCACCGTGCCGTGTCCTCAGGTTTCATCAAGGAGATCTCCAGGGAGACGGAGGTCTCAACAGCCACCTCGCGGCGCTGAGGTGTCCTTTTTTATGGGTACCCCAAGTGTTTGATGGTTGGTGGTTTTTCGCCACCTACCATTGTGGTTTTCATATACTGTTAATAATGGTTAATGATGATGGTTAATGATGATGATTAATAATCTGGTTGGTGGTTGAGCCCTACCCCTCTGAAAAATGATGGAGTGAAAGTCAGTGAAGGATGACATTCCCAATATATTTCTGGAAAATAAAAGTCATGTTTGAAACCACCAACCAGGTTTGATGGTTTACAACGCAGGGGGTACACCGGGTACCCGGGTAGACTTCGGAAACCTCCACACCAGGGCGCCCCACGTTGACGCTGGCCCGCTGCCCGCCCATGCGGCCGTTCAACTCCGCGCGCTGCGGAGTGTAGGCGCTCAGGGCGCGGATCACCTGAGATGATTTCTTAACATCAATAAAACATTTAAAACAATTGAAAACATCATTTATGTAACAACAAAATACTAATTAAATCAATATTACAATATGACAATGTCTTAACATCAACTAACCATCAAGAATAGTGAAGCACATGTAAATGAAGCCTGAACAGTGGTGATTTAGCCATATTTAATCAATGAATAATGAATTTGGGTGTGTCTGAAAATGGTGATCCCCCATTTTAAGTTAAAACCCAAAATACAGTACCAAGTGGTAGTTTTTATGGTGATTTAATGGGATTTAATGGGCTATAACTGTAGACCCTTCAAATATCTCCAAATAATATTAGTGGTAAGAATAAAACAATCATGGGGTAACCATGGTAAGCCATCATTCTTATGGGTACTTGGAGGGTCTAGGTAGATGGTTGGAGGCTGGTTGGGTAGATTGGAGGATTTGTACCAAAATCTTGTCGCCATGAGGTCGCCGATAGAATCCTGAAGAGAAAAAACACTGCGTGCAAAGGTCAGAACAAAACCCGAGGATTGTTGTATGCAAGCGGACATCATTGTGCAGACTCCTGGGGGTCCGTTCAGAATCCAGGGAGTGGAAATAGAACTGTAGAATGTGTTCAACCCGTATACTCTGTGGGGGTACGGAATCCATGGTTCTCATGCCGCATTTACACATAACGCCTGTGTCTATTGGTTTCAATCATCAATAATACAAAGAATAGCAGCAACAACAACAATATAACGATTACAGATACAGAATAGGACGAATAATAATGATCATCATCATCAACAACAACACCAACATCATTTTTATTATCCATTCATATCCCCAAATAAATAGCATTTGAAACATACATATGTATATGTATATAAATATATGTAGTTCTATTTGAACACATAACAATCCCATTCTGATCCCAGTAAGTGATCCTAATCCCATTCTGATCCCATGAAAAAATCCACATCCTAATCATCTCAGAACAATCCGAATTTCCTGATGGGAAAAATGGAAGGGCCGCTTTGGTAGACTGTCTATGTTCAGCTACCTATTGCTTGTTGAATGGAGGGAAGCCTAAAAATAATCCTCTATTCATTCACCAACCAGTAGGATAATAATCATGATAATAGATCATAAATATTAATAAATGGTTATGATAATCTATATTAGATCATAATCATTCATAATCTAGTTATTGAGATGATTATGATCTATTCATCATCATCAGAATCATAATGATCCTGTTGGATCCTAATCATCTCACAACCATCCCATCCACGTTCATTCTTAGTATCCCATTTATCCATTTGATGGTTAAAGCAGCTTAAATCAATGTCAAATCCCAGAATATCTCAAAAAATAGTGCTAGTTGTAATCACAAATCCCGGAATATCCTACATTGTAGTGCTACGAGTTTCACTATGCCACACCATAAATCATAATGATCCTATTGTGATCTTTATAATCTTAGCAATCTATGATCCAACTGATCCAACTATGATCTTTAAAACAATCTCACCTAAAAAGACACATCCCATGACCACCGGTCCAAGTGACCACATCCACCTGTGACCGCTCTCCACTCGCTCCCGCCACGGTGGAGGCGCAGTTGTCGAAGCGCAAAATCGCTGGCTCGTCCAAATGCCCCGGGCCGTGGCCCCCGAGGTTGTTGAAATGGATCTGGGGTCGCAGAGGTGGAAAATATGGGATTTCAAACGGGGATCTAAAAGAATTCATGAGGATGTACCACTACAAGATGGGATCTACCACTAAACTTGGGATTTAAAACGGGGATCTATATCACTAAAAGATGGGATTTCATAGGGATTTAAACAGTCGGAAGAGCTTGCCATGATCATCATGACTAGAGCATAAAAATGTATAAAACATTACAATTCTTACTATAATATGGCTGTTTTAGCAACGCAAATTTACATAGGTGGTTTTGACCAACTAAAAATCCAAATTTGACGACCTGGCGGCCTCATTTTTCGGTAGGAAACAAATCAGGAAAAATCTTTGGTAGGGAACATAGTAAATACATGTAAATACGAATAGTAATGTGAAAACCCAACAATAAACCACCCTAAAAATCACAAGTTCTATTATGGGTGCTATAAACCATCTCCATTTAGAATATGTTTTTGATGGTTTATGGCATTCGGTTTCCAACATTAATGCCAATAGGTGTTCATTCTACTTCAACAAACTGGATTCTGTTGGCAACCCATATATGTAGTTTCACTCGATTTCACTCGGAGCTCGCCATGTTGCAATTCACATTGAGATTTCATGAGCACGCTTGAGGCACCGACCAAGACTTGTGTCACCATGACGATCTATCTGAGATGTCTTTGTGAATTAGGTCATGTTTTCATATGCTTTCTGGGAATGCAAAATCTAATTTTCTAGGGACTAGCATCCGTGTCGAAGCTTGGTAAGGAAAACTGGCTATAGCTGGGTTGATGTGAGTGGACTACAGGAAACTCAGGAACTCATTCCAGTGATGTTCTGACACATGTGTTCTGTAAATCCAAAAACTAGGAACAAAATCCCGGCAAGAGATCCCGAACAGTGTGGGGGACTGGGAGGATAATGTATTATATATCCGCCGACCCCTGCCGCCAGCAGGGGGAGCGCGTCAGAGGAGGCCTTGCTAGCAACAAGGGGCGAAGAAAGAAAACTGGACAAGCAAGAAGAAGAGAAGCAACCAGAAGCGGCTAGAAAGTTGGCAAAGCAGAAGGGGGCAAAGTTCAAGGTTTGGAGCTAGTTTCTAGGCAGTTCGGAAAGCACGAAGGCCAGCTGCAAGAGGACGCAGGCAAGTTGGCAGTTGGCAGTGCCGGAGGACAGGTAAAATCAAGCTAGTTTCTAGGCAGTTCAGAAAGCAACGTTTGGCAGTCTGGGCTGCCGGCCGCGGGCCCGCTCCGTCCTTCATTGCCATGGTGTTTAAGCCCTGCGACAGGGTCCCTTGACCGTAGCCGTGCAGCACAAGGCCAGCTGCAAGAGGACGCAGGCAAGTTGGCCGTTGGCAGTGCAGGCAAAGGCAAGGTTTGGAGCTAGTTGCTAGGCAGTTCAGAAAAAGCAACGTTTGGCACTATGGGCTGCGGGCCGCGGGCCCGATCCGTCCTTCACTGCCATGGTGTTTTGGCCCTGCGAGGGGGTCCTTTGCCCGGAGCTGTGCAGGATGAAAGTTGGCAGGCAAAGTCAAGGCTGTGTTCCGGAGCTGTGCAGGATGAAAGTTAGCAGGCAAAGTCACGGCAGGAAAAAGCAAGGTTTGAAGCTAGTTTCTAGGCAGTTCAGAAAGCAACGTTTGGCACTATGGGCTGCCGGCTGCGGGCCCGATCCGTCCTTCACTGCCATGGTGTTTTGGCCCTGCGAGGGGGTCCTTTGCCCGAAGCTGTGCAGGATGAAAGTTGGCAGGCAAAGTCAAGGCTGTGTTCCGGAGCTGTGCAGGATGAAAGTTAGCAGGCAAAGTCACGGCAGGAAAAAGCAAGGTTTGAAGCTAGTTTCTAGGCAGTTCAGAAAGCAACGTTTGGCACTATGGGCTGCCGGCTGCGGGCCCGATCCGTCCTTCACTGCCATGGTGTTTTGGCCCTGCGAGGGGGTCCTTTGCCCGGAGCTGTGCAGGATGAAAGTTGGCAGGCAAAGTGAAGGCTGTGTTTTGGCCCTGCGGGGGGGTCCTTGGCCCGGAGCTGTGCAGGATGAAAGTTAGCAAGCAGAGTCACGGCAGGAAAAAGCAAGGTTTAAAGCTAGTTTCTAGGCAGTTCAGAAAGCAACGTTTGGCACTATGGGCTGCCGGCTGCGGGCCTGATCCGTCCTTCACTGCCATGGTGTTTTGGCCCTGCGAGGGGGTCCTTTGCCCGGAGCTGTGCAGGATGACAAGAGGACGCAGGCAAGTTAGCCGTTGGCAGTGCAGGCAAAGGCAAGGTTTGGAGCTAGTTGCTAGGGAAAGTTGGCAGGCAAAGTCAAGGCTGTGTTTTGGCCCTGCGGGGAATCCTTGGCCCGGAGCTGTGCAGGATGAAAGTTAGCAAGCAGAGTCACGGCAGGAAAAAGCAAAGTTTGAAGCTAGTTTCTAGGCAGTTCAGAAAGCAACGTTTGGCACTATGGGCTGCCGGCTGCGGGCCCAATCCGTCCTTCACTGCCATGGTGTTTTGGCCCTGCGAGGGGGTCCTTGGCCCGGAGCTGTGCAGGATGAAAGTTAGCAGGCAAAGTCACGGCAGGAAAAAGCAAGGTTTGAAGCTAGTTTCTAGGCAGTTCAGAAAGCAACGTTTGGCACTATGGGCTGCCGGCCGCGGGCCCGATCCGTCCGTCACTGCCATGGTGTTTTGGCCCTGCGAGGGGGTCCTTGGCCCGGAGCTGTGCAGGATGAAAGTTAGCAGGCAAAGTCACGGCAGGAAAAAGCAAGGTTTGAAGCTAGTTTCTAGGCAGTTCAGCAAGCAACGTTTGGCACTATGGGCTGCCGGCTGCGGGCCCAATCCGTCCTTCACTGCCATGGTGTTTTGGCCCTGCGAGGGGGTCCTTTGCCCGGAGCTGTGCAGGATGAAAGTTGGCAGGCAAAGTCAAGGCTGTGTTCCGGAGCTGTGCAGGATGAAAGTTAGCAGGCAAAGTCACGGCAGGAAAAAGCAAGGTTTGAAGCTAGTTTCTAGGCAGTTCAGAAAGCAACGTTTGGCACTATGGGCTGCCGGCTGCGGGCCCGATCCGTCCTTCACTGCCATGGTATTTTGGCCCTGCGAGGGGGTCCTGTGCCCGGAGCTGTGCAGGATGAAAGTTGGCAGGCAAAGTCAAGGCTGTGTTTTGGCCCTGCGGGGGGGTCCTTGGCCCGGAGCTGTGCAGGATGAAAGTTAGCAAGCAGAGTCACGCAGGAACTTTGCTTTTTTGAAGCTAGTTTCTAGGCAGTTCAGAAAGCAACGTTTGGCACTATGGGCTGCCGGCTGCGGGCCCGATCCGTCCTTCACTGCCATGGTGTTTTGGCCCTGCGAGGGGGTCCTTTGCCCGGAGCTGTGCAGGATGAAAGTTAGCAGGCAAAGTCACGGCAGGAAAAAGCTAGTTTCTAGGCAGTTCAGAAAGCAACGTTTGGCACTATGGGCTGCCGGCCGCGGGCCCGATCCGTCTTTCACTGCCATGGTGTTTTGGCCCTGCGAGGGGGTCCTTGGCCCGGAGCTGTGCAGGATGAAAGTTAGCAGGCAAAGTCACGGCAGGAAAAAGCAAGGTTTGAAGCTAGTTTCTAGGCAGTTCAGAAAGCAACGTTTGGCACTATGGGCTGCCGGCTGCGGGCCCGATCCGTCCTTCACTGCCATGGTGTTTTGGCCCTGCGGGGGGGTCCTTTGCCCGGAGCTATGCAGGATGAAAGTTGGCAGGCAAAGTCAAGGCTGTGTTTTGGCCCTGCGGGGGGGTCCTTGGCCCGGAGCTGTGCAGGATGAAAGTTAGCAAGCAAATGACGGCAGGAAAAAGGAAGGTTTGAAGCTAGTTTCTAATCTAGGCACTCAGAAAGCAACGTTTGGCACTATGGGCTGCCGGCCGCGGGCCCGATCCGTCCTTCACTGTCATGCATGGTGTTTTGGCCCTGCGAGGGGGTCCTTGGCCCGGAGCTGTGCAGGATGAAAGTTAGCAGGCAAAGTCACGGCAGGAAAAAGCAAGGTTTGAAGCTAGTTTCTAGGCAGTTCAGAAAGCAACGTTTGGCACTATGGGCTGCCGGCTGCGGGCCCGATCCGTCCGTCACTGCCATGGTGTTTTGGCCCTGCGAGGGGGTCCTTTGCCCGGAGCTGTGCAGGATGAAAGTTGGCAGGCAGAGTCAAGGCTGTGTTTTAGCCCTGCGGGGGGGGTCCTTGGCCCGGAGCTGTGCAGGACGAAAGTTAGCAAGCAGAGTCACGGCAGTAAAAAGCAAGGTTTGAAGCTAGTTTCTAGCCAGTTCAGAAAGCAACGTTTGGCACTATGGGCTGCCGGCCGCGGGCCCGATCCGTCCTTCACTGCCATGGTGTTTTGGCCCTGCGAGGGGGTCCTTGGCCCGGAGCTGTGCAGGATGAAAGTTGGCAGGCAAAGGCAAGGCTTGGAGCTAGTTTCTAGTCGGTTCAGAAAGTGAGGTTTGGCCTTCTGGGCTACGGGCCGCGGGCCCGATCCGTCCTTCATTGCCATGGTGTTTTGGTGTTTTGGCCCTGCGCGAGGGTCCTTGGACCGGAGCTGTGCAAGACGAAAGCCAGCTGCAAGACGTCACACGTCAGTTGGGGGTTAGCAGTGTTATTGGTGCAGCGGTGCCGTGACGGTCCACCTTTCCCGGCGGCAGGCAGGTTGGGCATGCGTGCTTGTGAATGCGGCCGGTGACATTGCCGCCAGCGACACGGAACTTATTCCCGCACGCATACCGATGATCAATTTGTCCAGTTTCGATAGTGCTGTTCACATGTTGCTGGCAGAATGGACATTGGTACCCGCGCATCTGTTTGCCGGTCTTCGTTGTCGCAGCCGGCTCTGGCGGGCACGGTTCGTCCTGGCTGGCGGCGTCTGCAGTGTGGCAGCCTCAGGACTCAAGGAACCCGTTGCGCAATCTGGCAGTCGCTCTTTGCAGCTTTGCATTTCTGGGGTGAGTGCAATCGTGGTTTTCTGCTTGGTCCTTGCCAAAATTTCTTGACGCACTTCGTCTATGATGGCCTGTTGCCGTCGACTTTGCTCGCGCCGCCGTAGCGGTGTCAACCGTTGGTTCGCGCGACGCGCAATTTGACACACCAAGGCCAAGCTGATGCACGTGTTGCAAAGTTGCGTGCTTTGAATGTAATCGCGGCTTTCTTGCCAAGCACTAAACTCTGCATGTGGTTTTCGCTCTGAGCATTCGGCGCAGGACCAATACCCCCGCAGCTTCAGGACACAGTCGCGGCAACAGCGTCGGTCAGCATTGCGAGCTTTCCAGGTGGCAGGGCCATAGTCTTTCTCTGGCTTGGGAACCCCACATTTGAAACATGGTTTCTTGACTTCGCATGTCAAACACACACGGAAAAAACTACATTGCCGTTGCCGATGTTTCTCTGGAAAATTGTTTTCGACATGCCACAGCTTGCACACGTTGCATTGCCACGGGGTTCCAGCATCTGCATAATGTTTTGTGCATTCGCGACACACCCGGTCCGTGTCGCTGCGCTTCCATTGGCCAAGTGTATACGCTGTGCTTTGTTTTCGTTCAGCACAAGTTGAACACACGCGTTCTTCGCAATATTTTGCGAGCAACGCCTGCCAGTCGATGGCGTCGCCGCGGAGGTGTCGCAGAAGAAGGTCCCGGCCCAGACCGATTCCCTTTTGGAATGGCGCGGCGTCGAAGGGGTGGAAGATCAGCAGCTTCTCACGGCCTTGGACGCTGGTGATTGCGACGTAAACCGTGAATGGGTTGCCCATTGGGCCGATACAAAGATCGGTCAGCACGCCTTCTTTGATGGTTTGCCCTTGCGCTGAGATTTTTCACAGAAAAAGAGGCCGCCATGACCCTCTCTCTATCTCTCTACGGGCTTGGAAGCTAGAAGAAGTCATTGATATGTGTTGATGCACTCTTTCAGCTGCCAAGATGCCCAATATATATGAGATGATAAAATGTGCTGTTGCATGTAATGTCGACTAATGCATTGAATCAGTTTCGTCTTTTCATTGATGCTTTGATAAAATGTGATCTTGAATGTCATGTCGCATAATGCATTGAATCAGTTTGGTCTTTTCATTGATGCTTTGATATGAGTTCATATCCTTTTAAGAGGCACTCCCATAAGCAAAAGTCCACAACATGGCGCCGTTGCAACAGCTTTGTGTTCGTCCAAACTTGCATTCACGCTTCAGATCGCCTCAGTACAGAGGCTTAATTGGAGTTTCTGCCCAATATGCTTACGACGCAGAGGCAGGCATGACCCTCCAGTGTCCAGGGGTCGGCGGCAGAGGGCGTAGCCCTTTAATAATGTATTACATATAATGTTGTTGATGATGATGATGATGATGATGATTGAGAAACGAAAAGGTTCAAATTCCAAAAAAGATCAGGTGCAAGTCGCGCTGCCTTGCTCAACCCGCCAGCGCTGCTGAAACGGAATTTGTCGCCAGGAATCTGGGACCGTTGCACCCGGTGCCCCCGGTGCGGAGTATTTCCGCTGGAACTTCACGGGCGAGGTCTCGAATCAGCGCTCGATCAGCATCGAAATCCACCGCCATTGCCGGATCCTTCAATGTCCGATGCCAATGGCCATGTTCGACTGCGCCACGAGTTTCTTCAGAGGCCGTCCCAAGCAAAATTCCTGGCCACCGTTGCTTAGTTGCTTCCTTGCACCAAGTCATGACATCCCCGACCCCTGAAGCAATGTCCTTTAGCTCCTAGTGGAATTGCCTAGAAACTCATGTTCATTGGACCTACACTTGTAACTGTACCTATTCTGGATTACTTGGGTATATATTTATTGTCTCAGTTAGAAAGTGATTGAGTAACCACGTCATTTGAGTCACGACCACTATCCCATCCCATCATACTGGCATTCAGGGCAGAAATATATGGTTGTTTCTTAGTCGGCGGCAAGTCCCTGCCATCCTACAAATTGCTGGTATTTCTTCTGTGTGTGGCAAGCAGGTGTCAGATGTTGTCAGGTGTTTTTTTGGCCAAGCTTGTACGCCCAGCAACAAACACATGCATTTGGCTTAGGGATTGATATCCGCATGTATAGTCGACAAGTAAAGTATGAAACTACAAGGTGAGCCCCTTAGAAGTTGTTTTATAAACCATTATAAAACCCTGTCATAGTTGTACTTGCAATAAAACATCCATAAACCATCGAAAAATCGGCGCTCTAAAGCCAGCAACTTCGCGGTTCCTACCTGTGCCCTCACCAACCTTACCCTTCCCCATGTCAATTTCGGACAACGCCAAGCCACGTTTTCGTGTCCCATCTTCAGCATGGTGCCCATCTTACTGGGCAACATGGGCGCCTGCATAGGATCCATGGTGCTGGTATATATGCTAACATAAAGGGGGAATATTGATGGGATCCATGTTACCATATATAGCATACATGGATCCTATGGGTTGGTGTTTTCTGAACTTACATCGGATTATTCAGAAGCTTTGGGGATGTTCCCCTCGCGCTGCAGAGTGATTCATGTTCCGGCAGATCTTGGTGAGGTGACGGGAAATGGGGGGTACCCCTGTTTTCAGCTATAGCACCCCCAAAAAGATACCGAAAACTTGGAAAGCTGGAACATATGAAGAAAACATCATCTATACAACCTCCTGCAAACACATGTCTATCCTTTCTGGGGGTTGCTATAAACCTATCTTTCTCCAGGTTTCCGTTCGCTCAAATGCCCGGCCTTGCCGAGTGCGGCAGCGTGGTGCAGGTGATGTGGCTGCGGAACAGTTCCTGCAGGACAGGCGGATGATGAACTGCAAATCATGGAAATATGGGATATGACTTATATGATTTGCATCAATGAATTATCACACATGATGATGAATATATAACAATAAAACATTAATTAATTACTGTATATCAATATTACAATATGACTATTTCTTAACATCAATGAACCATCAAGAATAGTGAAACACATGTGAATTAAGCGTGAACAGTGGTGATTTAGTCATATTCAACCACTGAGCAATGAATGTGGACCAGTGTCTGAGAATGAGACACCCATAAGATGGAAATTGAATGTCCGGAAAATGATGATAAACCAGTGAAATCGTTTGTTTTTTCCATCTATTTTCAGACACATCCATATGACGACTGTCACTTTTATGACTTTTATAGGCAACAAAGGATGGGGAGAACATAGGACTGAGAGACTACCCTTGATCCCAAAGAGGGGTCCCAAACGAGATAAGCTAAGCATTGTCGTGTCAAGTACGTCGCATCGAAGGCGAGGACAAAGCGGACTCTTAGGGTATCTTTTTCTAAAACACAACAATCCTTGGATACCTGCTGTACAGTAGATAGTAGAAAGTGGGAATGACCTATGGGAAACTGCAAAATGACCCCACAAGCGGCAGGGTCCACCTCTTGGATGATGCCTGCAAACTGATCTTCAATTGGGATGAACCCTTGTAAAAGGGTGCCCCAAAATGGCTTAACTCACAACTGACCACTGAACTTTGCCATCAAGAACCTGGGATGAATTCACCAAACCAAGACTTATTGTGTATATATATATATACATATGTATATATATATTATATATATTATATATATATATTATATATGTATATATTATATATATATATGTATATATGTGTGACTTACAGGAAATGATTTGGTCCATCATTTCCATCAATCTTGTTGTGCGTTTCCCTTGTAAATGTCCAATATCCACACCCCAGGCACGAGGAAGGAAATTGGCAACAAAAGCTGGAGGTACATGATTAATTTCGCGAAAAAAATACGCAATCATTTGCCATGGGCAGGAGCAACCCTGTTCATTGGAGGTATTCAAAATGGGCGACGGAAACTGGACCTTTGCCATTTCGCGATGGGTAGGTGATAGAAAAAGAGACCTCACAGTGCCCGGTGCCCGAAAAAGAAGTCCTGAGGAACTTAAAAGCCTAAAAACTGGGGGGGAACTTAGTGAGGAAGCGTACTATAACTAAATATAGATAATAGTCTTTAAGTTTTTAAGCGTTTTGGGGAATATACAAGAACATCATGGATTCGCCAGCCATTCGCGCTTTGGGGAATCGAATTCTCCTTCTCGCCCCAAAACCATCCACGGACCTCCTGGCTTTACCGCCTTTCGATGTTCCTGCCGTGTGTGGCGTGTGGGATGTGGGGCAGCCGCCGTTGAATGTGGGAAGGGAACATCCATTGGAGATGAGATGTCCTTTCCATATCAAGTTGTCTACGGTTTTACTGCCGACCCTCGAACAGAACAAAAAACATGGGCTTAAACTAGTTCTGTACCGTCGCAATCATAAACATTTACGATTTGAGACTTTTGAAGTGCGCATATGTGAAAACCATGCATTTTGAAAGGTAATTCTCTGAACAGTTAGAAGTCACTGCATGTCGCTACAAGGGTACTTATGACCAATCTAGGACATTCAGGGGGGTTCTGCAAAAGACACTCATTCTTTGGCCCAGTAAGATATTAACAGATTCACAGTACAGTACCCAATTATTCTACAGGAACTACCACAATTCACCAATCAAAAACCTGAAACATCAGGTCCTGTAGCTCCCCCTATCCAATTCCAAGAATGTAACATGGTGACGTCGGTCAATGAGATCACGATACTTCACCCAGAGATGCCAAATATCTTCAGCTGGATATACCATGATACACCCACCATTTTGTTGCTTGATAAGAACACGTTGCCTGTTTAGTTTCTTGAGAAATATCATCACATATGATTACATGCTTAATACATGTTCATATATAATCAATATATATAATTATATATTATATACATATATATATATATATATACATCATTTGAAATAAGCAAAATCATATAAGATCTGATCGGCATCTTCACCTGCGTCATTTAGCGTTGTCTGTGAAACAGCCCACCTTCACATCAGGAGAATGTAGTTGCAACAAAAAGCGTCGTCCGGGGCCCGTGAAGGGACCTAGCGACGGATGCTGCTGGAAGTTACCATGGAGGTTTTGACCAGATTACGGAACTCACTCGAGGTTGTGCAATTGGAATGGATTATATACGAACCACTAACCGTTTATGAAGTTGATATGATCCAGGTACCACTTCTGCGGCGATGGGGTGTATTTAGCTAATGGAACCAGTTATAGAGTCACTCTCCTACGGACTTTTTTTGCAAACAAACATCTACCATCTGGTTATTTAACATAGCCATGGAAAACCCCTTATAAATGGAGGTTTCTCGCTGGGAAAATCATCTATAGATGGGCCATGTTCAATGGCTATGTTCAATAACAAGAGGGTAATTTCTGCGATTGTTTTCTTCAAACCGAGGATGATATGCCAGAAATTTCACCGTTGGGATGGTCCCCCAATCCTCCGAGGTCATTGAGTTTGCTGTGGCCCAAGTTCTGCTCCCTTTTTGACTAAGTTTTCGCTCGAAAAACCGCAGCATCCATGTTTGGATGTTCCATTTCATGTGGTTGGTGGTATACCTACCCCCCTGAAAAATAAAAGTTCGTCAGATTGGATCATCATCCCAACTATTATGGAAAATAAAAGATGGTCCAAACCACCAACCAGACCAACCAGTCATGGTTTAGGACCCAAGTTCCAGGGGTTGGAAAAAAGGACCCTGAGAATGAGAATGGTCTAAGATCCAAAATTTTGGACCTCCCATTCCAGATGGTTTAAAACCGGTCAAAACATGGAACCAATGGCCACAGCTGGCCACAGCTCCCACTTTGGACCATGTCAAAAACACTAAAGCCAAGATAATACTATAAAATCTCTAGTTTTCTAATAAAAGATTCCGAGATTCCCATTGTTTTTCACACGTCCATCAAGTTCCATCCCAGCCGTTTCATCATCAAACTCCAGTTGGTTCGCTTTGTTCCCTTCATCACCGAGCCTTGAGGCTTCGCTCGCAGGGTCACCTTGATCTTCCCCTGCTTGCGAAAGAGCACCACCGGTGCTGGGCCGCTGGGAGCCACCCATTCCTGATGTGGTGAAGACACAGTCGGGGCCGGGAAGAACAATGGGAAAGTTACCCTCTGGTAAACGTTTACATAACTATGGAAAATCACCATTTTTCATGGGAAAACTCACTATTTCTATGGCCATTTTCAATAGCTTTTTGTATGTTTCCCAGAGGCTATGGGAATTTAAGCAACAAGTTATCGGGGCATTGATTGGAATAGTAAGGGATTCCACGAGTCAAAATGGTGATTTGACCAACAATTTTTTGGATTGTTGAATCGAGAATCACCACGAGAGAATAATGGATACCCTCTGGTGAACTAACATAGCTATTGAAAATGGTGATTTATAGTGGATTTACGCATCAAAAATGGGGATTTTCCATAGCTATGTTAGTTTACCAGAGGGTAGAGGACAATAACAACAAGTGATACTATAGTTCAAAGAAAATGTTTTTTTTAGGATGTGGAAGGGATAAACAAAAAAGGCGAGCAGGATTATAATTCCCACATATAGGGTGTTTCCATCAGATGCTCCCTATATGAATATCCCAGGTCATCCCATGATTTTCCGATTTCTTCGTTGATGATACCGATTATACCTTTTTTTTCACGGTAACAATGAACCCCCATATTTTGAATGGTGAAGTCCCAATTTTGCCCAAAAAAGATGCCAACAAAAAAGTCCCAACTTTAGAAAAAGGTACCCATCCCTTTCCCATCCCTTTCCGCCCTTTTGGGCTCGCGAAAAACCGTTGTTTTTCGTCCTCCCGGTCCGGGGTCCCCGGGGTCCCGGGGGTCCTGGTCTTCGTCACTACCACTGGACGCCAACTTCGAGGCTTGGATCCACGACTTGCCGGGATATCGAATGGCCTGGCTGGAGTCACCCCTTGGCTGGTTGGTACACCTCACATGAGGAAAAGATATGCCAAAATAGGGAAAAAAATGCAGCAAAAGAACCGAATTGTCAATCTTAACCAACAAAAAGAAGGAGTCGGAGTTGTTGTATAGTTAGCTACGTTGCTTTGGGTAAGCAAACCAAAATTGTATTGTTGACGTAGACTAATTAGATGGGTGAAAATAAATCAACTTACACCTGGGGGTGAGTTTGCAGGCGTGCTATCGCACCATGGGCCGTTAATATTCAAGGGCTAGGGCGACTTCATGTTGGACAGGCCCATCATCTTTCCAAGGAGCCAAAGGACATAAGTCTTTCGAAAGCAGTAACAGAGGAGACGCCAAACACCCAACCTGGAAATGGAACCCAGTTGATATGCATTTGTAAACATGATATGTATATGTATATGTATATGTATGTAGTATGTATATATATATATATATGATATGTATGTATGTATGTACGTACGTACGTACGTACGTAGGTATGTATGTATGTATATATATATATATACATTGTCAACAAAGCCCGGGACCTAGGAATCTCAACTCAAAAAAAAAATGTGTTTTTCCAATTTGCTACATTTCTCCGGGTGTAACTGAAAATGCTCACGCCAGCTTGAAATCAATTCTCACACTAAAAGTATGATCATGCGGGGCGACACACGGCTGACTCGGCTGATTGCACCGACGAAGCTTTCCTCTGTTTGGCATCAGCGAATGGATTTTCAACTGCCACCTGCTTTGTCCACAACTCCAGAAACTGCTGGACCCACTGAAGGTCGTGTGATTCAACACGTGAGCCTTGCAGATAGGAAATGCTGGGCAAGCTTCTTGTATGCCAGATGCTCAAGCCCAAAAAAGGCAATGGAAGCCCTGTTAGCTGCTGCAAACATATCTGTATATATATATGTCTACATATATAACAATTACATGTATAGTATGTGTACATATATATGTACAGTATATATATAAAATATAATATACCATCTTTCCATTTGACTTTGTTTGTTCAACAGTACACAAGACCTCCAGCTGCCTTGGATCCTACCAAATCCAAAAAAACAATCCGTGGTACGTATCTTCATCTACACTTTGGGGGATTAATGCAGGTACAAAAAGAAAACAATATGGATCAACTCATCACTATAGTAACACCCCAAAAATAGCACTGCTATTGAATTGATCCCTACCGTAATAGGAGTTTACGTCTGTCTTCTTTGGGGCTTCTACACCTAGAAAATGGGTAAACGTACCAGTTTGCTGTGATAAAATTGGACGTCTCTGAATTGTAAGTACGTCTACAATAACAGGGGCTTTTAATTTGGTTTGACACTTAATTGTCAGGAAGTAAAAACTCTGGGATATGATCCTTATGGGGGGTATTTTTATCTCAGGTGATCACCCAACATGGATCGAAGCCTCGTTGGGATACCCATGGCTTGAAGTTCCGGCATTTCCCAGCCATGTTGGCAATTACCCCAACAGCAACTATGATTAGTGGATCCAATCATATCACAATTATATATATATAGATATATATTATATATATATTATGATATATGTATATATATATATAAATATCATATATCATATATTATATATTATATATTTTATATGATATATCATTGTTATATATATATATATTATATTATATTAAATCTATATATATATTATATTATATTATATTATAAATATAAAAAATATAATATAATATAATATAAAATAATATAATAGAATAGAATAGAATATACTATAATAAAATATAATATATAATATAATATAAAATAAAATAATATAATATAATATAATATATAGTATAATATAACATAATATATTTTTTATCTTATATTATATTATATTTCATTGTATTATATTATAATATATTAAATTATATTATACTATATACTATATTATATTATATTATATTAAATTATATTATATTATATTATTTATTTTATTTTATTACATATATATATATCATATATATTATATTTGATAATATATATATATATACTATTATATTGTATGTATAATATATATATATAATATACGGATGTGGCCCTAGGTTCTCCGATAGATGATCGGAGTTGATGATCAAACATGTGAAAAATGTGCGTTTCGCCATAGCGAAACTAGCATTTTGACATGAAGCATTTTGATGTGGAATTGGGCATCAAAACGGATGGAAAAAATCTCGTCCGTTTTGAGCACTTACAAAGTTGCGATTTACTTAATATGGGTTAGGAGGGTATAGTTGTAAATCCCCTTATAAATACAGCACAGATACGTTGCAATGGTATGCAACATATGTTGAAACATCTCATTTTACCCTGTGTTTTCACAAGCAAAACAAAGGTAGCCTTATTTTACATGGTATTTGCACTACATTTGAATGTTGCTTGAAAGTGAGGAACCCTGACAGTCAGCATGTTTTTTGTTTTTTATCTTCACACGTGCCATCGATGTGGAAAAAAGATCATCCATGGTATGTTCCTCGAATCTCTCAGCGATGTTCTTTTTTTCACACATGCCATGGTGCCACTTCGAAGGTTTTGGACACCAGTTGCATGGACTGCATGCACAGCGTGCGATACCTCTTCAAGGCATCCAAGACAGTCTGCAACCCAGGTCTCTTGTTTACATGGTGTACCGCGAGAACATTGCGATTATCTATCGAATCCTGTACTGCAGCAAGACCATGGCGACGAAGCTGCTTCTTCGTCACTGCCGCTAAAGATTCAGCGGCGTTGTCGCCACCGACAACTCTGAACCCCAATCGTTCCTCCCGAGCACAACCTTGTTTCACAAGGTTGCGAAGAAGATTGAGTTCAGCTTGGACCAAACCTTTCTTTGGGATCACAGACAGAGGAGTAAACAAGTGCTTGATGTGACTCATTCCTTTGAGTGAAGGGACTTTGGTGAGCGAAGCCGCAGACTGCAGTGCTGGCGATCCATCTGCTGCTGCTAAGTGCAAACCCTACCGAAGTTTCTTGGGCACTGGCAACACATTCTATTATTATCGCATTATTATTATCGCATCACTATTATTATCCCATCAATATGCAGATAGAAATATCTTACATCGCTTAACAGTATATATGTACATATGTATACATTAATATCCCCCGGGGACCAACTGCGCATCACCTGCAACCAAACAGATTGAACACGGAGCAACAACAACGTGATCAACATCCCACGAACGCGACTACACCCCACCCCACCCCACACCCCACCCCACCCCGCCCTGTCGCGGAGCATGATACAACGTGATCATCTGCAGCGGAGCAACACACTACACACACACCACCCCACCCCACAACGTGCTCATCTGCAGCACCGCTACCCACCCCACCACACCCCACCCCCCGCCCTGTCGCGGAGCATGATACAACGTGATCATCTGCAGCGGAGCAAGAACCGGTGTGCGGTCATCGGAGAACCTGGGTCCCCGAGGGTATGTATGTATATATATATATATGATCATTATAGTCCCATTATGTTTGGTTTGCCCACTATTTCCCTACGATATTCCCCTGTTTTTTTAGTGACCTAGATCCTTGAGATCTTCACCGGCGGCGCCAGGCTTCGCCTCGAACCCTCGAAAAATGGCTTCACCATCTGTTGCCAACGAGGCTTCACCGTTCTCCTGGCGCCGGTCTTCTCCGAAATCCACTGAGTTGCTGGACGAAAACTTGGGGAGATCGAGATTTATCCATCCATCCATCCACAATAAAACATGACATGGGAATATCATGGGAATATCATGCCATATAACAAACACAAGACAAGACAAAACAACACAACACAACACAACAACACAACACTTTGCACTACATTGCATTGCATTGCGTTACATTGCATTACGTACTCATAAAAATAAACGTGATCAGTATTGCCATTGTCATCATATTCATCATCATCATCATCATCACCATAATTATCATCATCATCATCACCATCACCATCATCATCATCATCAATGTGGAATAGCTGCCTGTAGTTGTGCCAGACAGGTACCGTTGAGAGCTTGGTACTTTAGCAAAAGACCTGATACTTTCTACCCCTGTATCATGTAGCTGCACCTCTCCCATTTGATGCAGTCCTGTTCCAGCACTCTATCCTAGCAATGAAGGACTGGTTGGTGGTTTCAATCTCTCTGAAAAATATGAAAGTTAGTTGGGATGATTATTCCCATTATATGGAAAAATAAAATTAATGTTCCAAACCACCAAGCAGAAGAAAAATATGGTGAAAGGGCCCTGCCATACAAGGGCAGACTTCCATCTTGTCGACCTCCTCTTCCAGGTGTGTTCCATCTTATCGACACTGCCTTCGCCAGCTCTGACTCGCACCGTTCGCTGCTGAAAAATAACGGACTCGCAACTTTCCTCATCGCCTTCACCAAACATCTTGGCCTCATCCGTTCGCAGACCCCTTTGGTGTCCATGACGAAGTCAACATAGACATGCCGTAAGTAACGGGATCACAGAGGTAGTTTATCAAGGTTTCCTGGAACGTCTCCGCATCGGATATGGAAAATGTATGGGGTAATGTATGGGATTTCATGGGAATATCATGGGAATATCATGCCATTTTTTATATATCTGCTTGGTGGTTGACTCCTACCCCTCCGAAAAATGATGGATCATAAAATTCCCCACATCATGGGAAAGTCATAAAAATCATGTTCCGAACCACCAACCAGACATAGTCTGAAATTGCAAAACAATGACGTCTACTCAACAGGTACAGAGTAGCTGCAGGTTCAGAGTACCTGCTGAATCCATGTTGTTGCAATGTGACCAAAACGGATAGACGGATAGTAACTGGATCTTATTCTCTTACAGCAATCCCAAAATAGATTGAAAACCATTGAAAAAACAATTGAAAACCTGGAAATCTGAGGAAAAAAGATCATCTACTGTACCCTCTGGTAAACTAACATAACTATTGAAATGGCAATTTATAGTGGATTTTCCCATTAAAAATTGTGATTTTCCATAGCTATGTTAGTTTACCAGAGGGTATACCATCCATCCTGGAACAAAAAAAATCATCTTTGTGAGGGTTACTATTTTTGATAAGTAGCTGAGATGTGGCCAGAAATTACTTGACTCAGGTTCCAAGATGAACCTGGCCTGGTCATTTCACATAGCGGAAACCATGGCACTTTTAGTTTGATGACTAAAAAATGATTTGCCTGGTAAGTGGTGTTTGTTCCCTAGCAAACTGTACCAAATTAACACAAAATAAACTCAGTGTATGTTTGTTTTAGCGGAAGGAAAATCCTTCATGGCACCTTCCCTTGGTTCTCATCGTGTTTCCCCCGTTCTCCTGCAGATCCGACACCTGCAAATAGAGGTGCTCCAGGGCAACTGCCGACTCCTGCGAGTCGTAAAGCAGGAGCTCGTTTCGTCCAACGAGTGATACCATGTCAAGTATATATATATATACATATATACTATATAGTATGTGGTTGGGAAACTCTTGGTAGCTCCAAATCGCTCCCCATTTAATAGGGAATATGAATACCCATAGCTCCAAATCGCTCCCTCCGTTCACCACTGGATTTTTTTACCTTAAGCTCCAAAATCCTGCAGTGATGCCCATTAACCTGCACATTGCGGTGTCTGCAAGGCATCTCAGTTGCGGAGTTGCTACTTATCACACATTGATACATATTGGTTGATATTGTACCCCCGTATTGGTCGGTGGATTTTGTATGTTTGGTCGTTGCGTCCTGTTACGTCCTCACTTATTGTCGGTTGCTGTTGCATTGGTCCATTCCTGTGTGTGTGGTTAGTCAAATCACACGTTCTTTGCTTAATTACCCTCTGGTAAACTAACATAACTATGGAAAATTGCCATTTATAGTTAATTTTCCCGTTAAAAAAGGTGAATCTTTCCAGTTCGTTTTCTATAAACGTTTACCAGAGGGTACTCGTTCTTGGGCTGCTGATATCATGTTGGCACCATCTTCTGTCACCAAATGTGTCTTTTGTCTAAGGCATGTTCCACAGGAAATCATAATGATGACATGATTACCATCTGGTTATGACTAACAGTTTGCCATGGAAAGATCCACCATGCTATGGATAGTTAAACCATCTATTTCTATGGGCCATCTATACCATGGCTATGCAACAAATAACCAGAGGGTAACCACTAAATATAGGGGTTTGTTGCAAAATTTCCTGTCATCCAATTCAGTCACCTAAAATGTTATCAATGGGTTCCAATACCACATGTACTATGTTTTGTCACAGTCAAAGAAATACTGTATGTATAAAACACTAAAACACTTATACAGTGTAGTGCAAAATGGATGGCACATATATATATATATAGAGTGAAATAACGGTACATGGTATATCCTTGTATATATATATATACATATGTTTGGTGTATGTACGTATATACACTGTATAATGATGCTATATCATATTACATCATATCGTACCATGTCAGTTCTCACATCAGGTCATGTCAACTCAACTCGTATCATATCATGTTTCTTGGCATCTTGTATATCAAAAATGATCTTAAAATACCCTCTGGTAAACTAACATAACTATGGAAAATCACAATGTTTAGTGGATAAATCCAATTTGAATGGCATCTTGAAATACACAGCATATCTACCAACCACCGGAGGACCCGACCCCTCCTTGGATGTACAAAGGTGGATCTCCAAGTCCGCCGCAGAGCCAAAGGCGACCTGAGCATGAACCCCGTTCGGTGTTGAACAACAAAAACATTTGGGGGTTCATGGCAGATCCCCTTTATCGCTGGATGGTTTATTTCATGGAAAATCTGACAATAAACTGGATAAGAATTTTGGGGTACCCCCATGGAAATTTTGGAAATCTCTATGTGTCTCTTTAATGTTCTCTATTTTCATGGTCTAACATGGGTCACTAAATGTCCCCATTGAACATCACCCAACCATTAGGTATATGGTCTATAATGGCTACTATAAGGTGATGTCCAATATACCCAAAATGGGACAGTTACCAACCCCTGTCTAAGTCATGGTCATTCATGACTTGGATGATTTGGGGTACCCCATTTTGGAAACATCCATATGGATGGGCAGAAAATGGGAGATTTAACCATCAACACATGAGGATTCAATGGGCGTTTATTTTTCCCAAATATAACAATAGAGTTTGACCCATAGCCATATATGTAGTGTTGGTAATGGTGGATAAAAACAATCATCGAACCATATACATATGCACATGTAAATATATAATGTATGGTTGATCAACCAGTATCAAACATGGTTTTTACCACGAGTATATAATGTATTACTAATATGTAATGTATTATACACATAATATACTGTGTGTCCATAGGTGATCTGTATAGATGGTGAGTGAACGTGATGGTCATAGCTGGCGAAAGTAATTTTTATGGACACAATTTTTCGTCAACCGGTGGAGGGGAACCCTTTTTTCGGTGGAGATTTTTTCACGTCCGACCGACCCGGTCGTATGAAAAATAAAAAACACTACTATGACTGGCCGGGAATCTCTGATGTTCACATGGGAATAGATTCGAATAGATAATAAAAATATACATGTAGTTCATATATAATAAATCCCTGGTTATTTCATCTATTATTTATATACATTTAAATTCAGGCAACTTGCTGCACTGAAAGAAGCCTCTTTCTCCACTCCATGCTGCACCTGTCAAGTTTGAGAAGGTCAAGCTGACCTGAAATTGTCGCAGCTCTGCGCTGCGGGATGAGCCGGCTCCATCCAAAAGAAAAGGTAGCTGGTGCTTCAAGGCATCTCAGCTATGGGAGGTGGGTCTGGGCCCTCGAAACTGCAATATGCCGCATGTAAATGAAGGGTCATTTAAATTCAGGCAACTTGCTGCACTGAAAGAAGCCTCTTTCTCCACTCCATGCTGCACCTGTCAAGTTTGAGAAGGTCAAGCTGACCTGAAATTGTCGCAGCTCTGCGCTGCGGGATGAGCCGGCTCCATCCAAAAGAAAAGGTAGCTGGTGCTTCAAGGCATCTCAGCTATCCACCTTGCTCAGGAGGCCTACAGCGAAGAACACAAAAAGAAAAAGCAGCAAACATCGGTGCGCTAAGAGCTGTGCGCTTCCTCATCATGAAACTAGGAATTCAAACGCATCCCTAAGCAGCTGGATTCTGGATCTCGTTTCGGCAGTCAAAGAAGGTAAGATCGAAGCAGCTGTTACTTCTTGCAAGTAATAGCCTAAAGTTTTCTGGTGTTGCAGCCTCATGTTCCACAGCAAGTCTTGGATCGGCTGACCACGCTTGTGTGCAGCTACTGCTCCACCACCTCTCAACGACCCTGGAGTCAGCCTCAACTTTTTGTCCACACCCAGATGCTTCAGCAAAGCGTCCCACCTTCTCCGAAATGAAGAAGGCGAGCTTCCGCACAGAAGCTCCTCAGAACTCATTCTTCGCCAGGTCTTGCAAAGCAGCTTCACTACGCTTGGAACTTTGCACGTAGCATACTGCACTTTCGGACCTCTGCCGCGGCTTTTGGGCACATTGATGCGCAAGTAAACAACATCAGGATCTTCCCATAGCAAGTCTTCCGGTGTCAGCAAGTCACAGCGCTTCGCTTTGAGCACTTCTCCTATCCTGCAAATGCCGTAGAAACAAAGCAGAATTGTGGAAGCAAAACGTCGCCAGCCCCAGAGAATGCTGAGACTTGCCATAGCTCGAACCAACGACTCCGGGATCGGAGTCCTATGCTGAGTAGGTTCAGCTATTTCCCATCTGCTGATCAGCGCCCAAAGTGCACTAGCATAAGCTCGAGTTGCTGGAAACTCTGACTGCACATGTACTACCAACTGCCGGAAATAAAGGAGAGGCATGCCTGCAGAAAAACTATCAGCACCAAATGCTTCAAGGGCGGAGACTAAAAGCCCAGGATTTTCCGCAAGGTTTCCAGCAGCTCCTTCACCTAGGTTTGCCTCTGCCCATTCCTGAAACTTCTTCCAAAAACGCGCCCGCATGAGAATAGTCCCAGGCTCAAGCAAATTGAAGTCATAGATGTTTCTATCTGCTCTGGGAACCCGGTTTCTAGGTCCCGGGTTTTCAGCTTCTCCAATCCTGCAGTGGGTCACTTTTGCACATCCAGCTAAATCCAATTTTCTGCACTTTCCTTGTAGCTCCAGGTCAATTGCAAAAGCACCAGCTAGAAAACTACACAGTCTACGTGGGTAGCTCTCAGCTAACTTTGTGAAGTTCATGCCCTTGCTCTTGTCCCGGCCTCGCAAAACAACGTGAGGCTTGTTGCAGCAACACATCTCCTTCTGACCTTTTAAGTGGCAGCTAGTTCGAAAACGCGTCCTCTTTCTCCACAGCGTGCCAAAGCGGCACTGGTCGCACCTAAAATCACCCAGTTTGTCACCATAGTTTTCGCTCAGTTTATCCCAGCTAAGCTCGCCCTGTTGTTTCCAAAACCAAGACTGATCTGGATTCTCAACCCAGAACAAAATTTCAAACTGCAGGCAAACAGAAACCAGTTCCAAAACGAAAGCAAGCTGTTCTTGCCCCAGCTGAATTTTTAGTTGTTGCACCTCAGTCAGTCCCGGCTTGCCGCCTGGGTGAAGTTTCGTCCGCCATGGCGGGGTGATTGCAGTGGAGAAGCTCGCACAAACCGGCGACGCTGCCATGGCTAAAAACCAACCTAAACTAAGGCCTTTCAGGAGAGTTCTTTGGGTAAGTGGGTTGCTAAGGTCCTCACGTATAGAATGCTTCAAATCGAAGCAAACAGCCCAGGGGCAGCCAAGACGCACCAGAGCTTTACTGAAGCCTCTCGCACCTGAGTACAAATCTAGGAGACCTGGCCCGGAGGAAACTGCTTCTGCCAAACTCTCAAAACGCGTCTTGTCATACACAAACTGGCTGTGGTCGAATAGGCAGAGCACATCTAGCCTTGTTCCTGTCAACGCAGCTCCTGCTCGGCTGCTACAGGGGTCCTTTGAATTGTCTGGTGGAACCCTTCTCTCAGCGTTCCCCTCTGAGCCCCGACCCGCTCGGCCGCTTGTGGTCCCCTCTTCACCGGAAACGGCAACAGCAGTACGCCTGGACGATGACGTCTGCTCTGACGAAGAAGAGAGCCGCGCCGGTTCGGAGGGGGCACTGCTGCACGAGTCTGGAGTCAAACGGCCGGAGTCGCTGGCTCCTTTCCGCTCTCTTTTCCTCAGGTTGCGACCTCTGTCGCTCTTCAACTGGCGGGAGTTCCGCCAATCGAGCTCGAGATCGGGCAAGAGCTCATCAGCGCTGGGCAATTCAGCGCTTTGAGCCGTATGGACACCGTGCTGAAAGAGGAAGTCATCAAACTGCTCAAAATCTCCCTCAGCTATCTCACCCCACCACGCTGGCAAACAGATGGAGGGCTTCCGCAATGCTGCTTTACGGGTCGGGTCATCTGCAGGATTCAAGCTGCTCCTGCAATACCCGTAGTACCCTCTAACATTGGTTCCGCAGTGCTCCGGCAAACTCTGCCGAAGCAACTCATTGACCGCTGCTGAAGAGCTGCGGCCTTTGACAAAGCAGGCCAACGAGACCTGGCTGTCTTGCAAGTGGACATAGTAAGAGCTAGGGCCAGGGCTCTCTCGCCCCATTCTTCTCTCAGCCTCAAGCGCCGCACTTATCTCTTTCAGGTTTATGTGCCTGCGGCTTTTGGTCTTTTTCGGCCTACCAAACGTCCTGAACTGACAACCTTTGACAACAACCTCCCAAAGTGGGTGCATGCTGTAACTCACCTCGCCTGGCAGCTCAGACTCTTCACCTCCTAGGCCCTTCTCTCTGAGATAGGCTTGACTCGGTGATGTCAACCTATTCCAAAGCCCTTCTGCAGACCATGTCTCTGAAATTCGGTCGTTCTTGCCTCTCCTACTTCAGCTTGAACTGCTGCTTCGCATTCTGTCGAAGCATCGCTGCAAACTAACTTTGCTGACGGCCGCAGTCTCATGTCTACCACAGCTAAAGGCAAAAGACCCAGACAAACAAGCAGTTCTTCCTTAAGCTTCATGCTCATCCTGACGACCTCTGCCCTGCTTCTGCCCCTCTGAGCTCTATAAACCTCTTGCAAAGCTGACATCAGTCTGCGGCGACACTGAAAAGCTGCCACGAGGGCTCCTGCGATAACCTCAAGCAGTCCTACGCTGATCTTCCCAAGTGCGACAACTCTGCACAAGATGAAGCAAAGTGGGATCAAACGCTTCAGACTGGGTCGAGCCAACCCTCTCTTCCCATCGACCTCGTAGCCCCAAAACTCGCCTTTCTCCTCCTGTTCAACTGCTTTGCCCTCATGTCTTGGCAGACCCGCCTCAACGTAAGCCTCCCTCACCTTGAGCATGCGCTTTCTGCCCTCTGTCTCTGCATCCTCTTTACAAGGCGCTTCTTGTCCCTTGTGGACCTCCAAAACTACAAAATCGTCGATCATCAAGCCACATTTGATCGACTTGCGGTTAGGCCGCTGCTTCAAGGTCAGGAAATCCTCAAGTTCAAAGACGTTGGTCCGAAGGATGACTGACAAATGTGCACACTGCCCAAACGCTACAGCATTTGTGTCTCCCATGGCCATTGTGGCTAAACAAGGCACTAGATGATCCTCAGCTGCCATCCAAGCCTCAAAACACTGCAAATGCTGCACCTCTTCGGGCTTGACTTTCATCTGAAGCCCATTCCGTCTGCAGCGCTGTTCTGACACTAGAAAGCAGTGGTAGAACTCTCGAAGGTCCTCAGCGTGGATCAGCAAAATTTCATCCTCTTTCAAGTGGATGTGGTTCAGTTGGCATGTCGACCCCAAGCTGTAGACCCATCGACGTTCAGAAGCTTCGACAGCATTGGGTCGCCTTGCATCGAGGATCATCCTGTCTCGGTGCTGATCCTTTGGCAAACAAAACATGCCATTCAGCAAATGCTCCCGCACCTCCTTGAGGGGAACTAAAGCCAAACGCTTGACACTGTCCAACTTTTCTAGAAGCTGCACGCCCTGACCTCTCTTGCAACGAACCTTCACTCTAGGAAGGTCCAAATCCTCCAGACTCTCCTCAAAACTCAAGTCCAAAGGTCTGTTGTACTGCTCTCTGTTGGCATAGTCTAAAAACGGCGTCGGGTCAAAACTAGGCTCTCCGACAAACTTCAGCCTATGAGGTTCAATATCCTTGGCGACATGCTCCAGATTTGAACCAACCCGCCCCAAGACCTCAGCCTCATGTTCCTCTTCAAACGAAAACGCTGGCTTGTGGCTTCGCCTGCATCCCTTGTAACCTCCAAGGCCCTCTTTGACCTCCTCTGCAACCTCCTCAAGCCTCGCTAAGACGGCCTCAATTGACTCGACTTTGGCTGCTGTCCTGCCCATATCCTCTGGCGTCACAGTGCCTCCATCAAGCCAAGTGGAGAAGAGGGGCTGCATTCTGTGTACAGCCTTCCACTGATCCCTGTTTAGCTTGGTTCCAAGACCCAAGCCCAACTCCTCAGTAGGCTTACGCTTCTCACCCAAGTGCAGCCACGACAAGACCGCCACTACATAGTTTGTGCACACTTTCAATGGCCCACACTCCTTCAACCTGGATCTTCGAGAAGTGTGCACTTCTGGATAGGGCAGCGGCATCGGCCAGACCTGACCCAAAGGCGCCGCTCGTGCAGCAGCGCAGGAAGCAAACATGGAGCGGAGAAAAACTGAAAAAGAAGTCCGGCTCTTCAGCAGGACTGTAAAGCACTAATCAAAAATATTGGCATGCACAGTCGAAGCCCTGCTTCCAGGGAGGTGCTCCTCTTTCTGCAGGTCGACCTCAGCGCGCTCTTCGGCGCGCTTCTTCAACCTTCTGGCTCCTCGTGCCCGGCATCCAGGCCCGGGCTGGCTCTGCTTTTCGCCTTTGCCTTCGCCTTCGGCTCTCTCTTTCCTTTTGGAGCATCCCTCTTTGTAACCCTGGCTCAGCCTCTTTCTGCTTTCTAAGAAGGAGTCCCGGTCTTTCAGGCGCCAAAGGGCTAACTCCAAAAACCTCTCGTCTGCCAAACGAGACCACGCTTGCTCGCTGGGCTCCGGTGCTCGCTTCCCCTGGAAGGACGAGTAGGGAGGTGGAAGCTCGAGAACAAGTTCTTGGGCAAGCTGCCAACTTCCTCCATCCAGGGCAGCTTGGTCGTAGGCTAGAAGAGCCACGGCTGCTCGTGCTCTGGCTTCGCCCACTTGATTCCTTCGCAAGCAATCGTGGATGCCGGCAATCAGCCAGGCAGCTCTGATCGACGTAGGAAAGTTGAGAAGGCGACTGCGGTGCTCCAGCCACGACCGTGATGTCACCGGGAGCTGTTCCAAACCAGGCCCCGACTTCAGAGTTGTGAAGTCCTCTGCCATCTGGCTTTCCACACTTCCCACAGCCAGTCCGGATTCTCCTTCAAAGCGCTCTTCAACTTTTTGTATGCTGCTGCCTTTGACCTCGAGCTTCCCTGACTGTTGCTGCTGGAGGGTGCATCTACGGCAGCTCCTCCTTCTGCTCTGTCTAAAATGCCGTCTAGCCCAGCCCTGCCTTGCTTGCTCTTTGCTAAAGTCTTCACGACTTTGGTGAGCTGCAAAATGGCTCGCTCGATAGGGGGCCCTTCTGCTGTGGCCTCCTCGTCTTCTCCCTCCAAATCTGCCTCGGCCTCCTCGCTCTCTGAAAGGACGCCCCGCTGGCGCGGCTTCTTCGGAGGCACATCGTCCATGCGGACGGGCTTGCGAGCCAAAGCAGCTAGTTTTTGAAGCTGATCTTCTGGAAAACCCGACTGCCTCGCGGCAGCCACGACTGCCGGGTCTAGTCCCGGACAGAGGTTTGGTTCTTGCTTCTTCGCTGCTGCTCCAGCATCTCCTCCTTTGCTCTTCTGCTTCCGAACAAATGAGACCACCTCTGACAAGCCTCCCAGTGAAAAGCCGTCTCTAGCTTTTCCAGTCTCTCCTCTAATCGCCCTCCTGCAGCTGATCGCAAAGACGGAGAGGCAGCCACTGATGCAGGTCCCGACTGGGCCGACACAAAACTGAAGTGCTCGTCGGCAATGGCGACCAGAACTAGAGCTGAAAGTTGAACTCGCACTTCCAACTCTTCTCCAAATTCTGCAGTGATTGCTCCTTCTTCGGGTTCGCCAATCACTGCGGCTTGCAAAAGCTCTGCGCTCAAAAATCCCACCCATGCCTTGGTGGTTATATCTATACTCTCCTCCTCAGCAGCCTCCTCAACAAGCGTGCCCGATACTTCGACCGGGACAGGCTTAGACAAAGCCCCTTTCGGCAACAGCCTCCTGCTCGCCGTTCTGTGCCAAGCAACAAAGGGGACTGCAACCAAAAGCTTGCCTTCAACGTGTACAATGGGAACAAAGGCTACTGAAACGTCTGCCCCCTCAGGACTCAGGAAATTCAATCTGCAGCGATGAGTATCAGGATGAATCTCACCGCTCGTCTGCCTGGCTACGCAAAGGTCAGCCAGGCTCCTCCCTTCAACTGCTTCACCTACCTCAGCCATCTCAACGACGAGACGGCCACTCGATTCACAGCAAGCTTCGCTTCCCACTGAGTTGCAAATCCTAGGAAGACAGACGATCCTGCGTCTGGGCCCCTCTTGCACAAATCTTTGACCTCACTGAACCTCTCAAAGACCTTGGGCTGGTCGAACTTTCTGCCTGAGAAGTCGGCTAGCACCACGTACACTCTACTGCCTAGCTTGAGGCGATCTCGCCCTGAAGTGCCTCGATACACTCCTGAGTAAGCTCTTCTTAGGAATCTTCCACACTCCTTGGCCAACTCAAGCCGTTCCTCGGTGTCCTCAGCGAGGATGTATCCACTCTGCCCAGGAGCAGAAGTGACCACACTGAATCCCTCAGACCCAGCGCTTGCAGTGGGGCTGGGACGCTCTGCCTCACGTGCAATCAATCGCTCCTCAAGCACCTGAACCCTCAGCCTCAAAACCTCGAGCTCACTCCTCAAGGCCGCTATTTCACGTGTGCTCATCCAAAACCCTCCACCCTCTCTTTGGTGCCACCTGTTGACCTAAGACTGCTCTGCGCAGGTAAATTGCAGCTAGGTGCCGGAGCAAACAGAGCACCTCAAGGATTGGTCCAAGGAACAAACCTAAGAAGATGCCGATGATGAGAGATTTTGGGTCTAAATCCACACCCAAAACAGTCCACTGATAGAGTGGGCCCAGGCAAGAGCGTTCAAGTTCAGTTAGAGTTGGTGATGCCCAAAGCGCTTCCTGCGCGATCGAAGCTAGCAACCCACTTAACCCTCCTGAGGCCACTCCAGCTGCTAGGGGGCGCATGAACTCGGGCCCTCGAAACTGCAATATGCCGCATGTAAATGAAGGGTCATAATAGATCTTAATAGATGGATAATAAACCTATGGGAATGGATTTATACTATGTTCCACGCATGTTTTTATACCCTTCCTTAGCTTAACATAGATGTAGAAAATCCACCCATGTGTAGGGACCCTGAACCTGGAGGTCATGGTATGGCCATCGCATCTGGACCAAACATCCTGGATACAGTATACAAATCTCACGCAGGGATTGAACTGACAAATGGTGATTTAAACGTCAAAAATGGGAGCTTAACCATACCCTCTGGTAATTTAACATAACTATTGAAAATCACAATTTATAGTGGATTTTCCCATGAAAAATGGTGATTTTCAATAGATATGTTAAATTACCAGAGGGTAACCATACCTATAACCTTCTATAACCAATAGTTGATTCGGGTCGGGTCTGTCTGAAAATGGGGGATGAATTAACCACACTAACAGACAGCGAAAATGATGATGAATCATCAGGTGTTCAGGTACTAAAGAGAATGGATTGAAAATGAAGTTGATATCAGTTCCCAACTACTGCAGCTTTCAGTTATCTCCGCCAGGCTGTTCTCCAGGACGATCGAGCATCAGCAATGGCACGAGAGATTCATTGGACCTTCAATGATGTCCACGAAGTCCGTGCCCGGAAGGCGCAGAAGGTGGAGACTTATAGCCTTGGCATCCTCTGCAAGCCCGTCAAGGCAAAAATCGATCTTGTAGTCTGATTCATTGATGATGGCCAAAACATCCATGAACTGCTTGGTGCTGCTGAAAATGACATGCAATTGCTTCGTTTTTTGTGACAACATACTGTAATAGTTTTATGCACAAAAACACACTATGTCACTCCAAATCAGCTCACCTGGCATCAAAGCGGAGTTCGTTGCTACTTTTTCTATCCACGTGCCCAATATATACAAAAAATACCTTGAAAACTAAAAAACAGCTGGTGAAGTCAATATTTCCACCACGATGGCAAAAATATTGTTTGTTCCCAAACTATCCATGCAGTTGGTTTATCCAGTATATATATCCCATTGCATGCATATGACATATGGCATATGGTCTAACTACCACTGATCATTATTGTTGAAAAACAACTACTATATTATTAAATTTCATTACATCATACCATATCACATTGCATTACAGTATATTCTATCGTACTAAATTACTGTATAGTATATGACAATATGATATATATATATGATATGATATATATATATATGATATATATATATATGATATATATATATATATATTATCACATTATATTCTATCCTATCAAATCATATGTTTCTATATATCTCATCTTTTTGTTGATTACATACATCCCTATGTTTGAAGCTTCAATTCCCGCCATTCACCGTGACCTTTTTCCGAGGTCGGCGCATTCACCAGGATTCCGGAAGCGTCGACCTCGTTGATGCCGCTGGGTTCGTAAAAGTTCTCCCCTTCCAACAGCGACAGCACCTGGGAAAACGATGGTAGCGCGGGCATGGCAGGGTAGCTGGGAAAAAGAAAAAACCCTAGAAAATATTCATCTATCATGTATCGTATTATGTATAGTATTATGTAAAGTATTATGTAAAGTACTATGTATCGTATTATGTAAAGTATTATGTAAAGTACTCTGTATAGTATTGTGTATAGAATTATGTATGTATTGTGAATAGAATTATGTAAAGTATTATGTATAGTATCATGTATAGAATGATCTATAGTATTATGTATAGTATTATGTGAAGTACTCTGTATAGTATTGTGCATAGAATTATGTATGTATTGCGTATAGTATTACGTATAGTATCATGTATAGAATTATCTATTGTATTATGTATAGTATTATGTATAGCATCATATATGGTATTGTGTAAAGTATTATGTAAAGTACTATGTATAGTATTGTGTATAGAATTATGTATGTATTGTGAATAGAATTATGTAAAGTATTATGTATAGTATCATGTATAGAATGATCTATAGTATTATGTATAGTATTATGTAAAGTACTCTGTATAGTATTGTGCATAGAATTATGTATGTATTGCGTATAGTATTACGTATAGTATCATGTATAGAATTATCTATTGTATTATGTATAGTATTATGTATAGCATCATATATGGTATTATGTAAAGTATTATGTAAAGTACTATGTATAGTATTGTGTATAGAATTATGTATGTATTGTGAATAGAATTATGTAAAGTATTATGTATAGTATCATGTATAGAATGATCTATAGTATTATGTATAGTATTATGTAAAGTACTCTGTATAGTATTGTGCATAGAATTATGTATGTATTGCGTATAGTATTACGTATAGTATCATGTATAGAATTATCTATTGTATTATGTATAGTATTATGTATAGCATCATATATGGTATTATGTAAAGTATTATGTAAAGTACTATGTATAGTATTGTGTATAGAATTATGTACAGTATTGTGTACAGTATGATGTATAGTATTATGTATTATGAAAACCCTATGTATTTAGGGAATATTATTAAAACCCTTCGTTTCCCTGGATAATTTGTATTATAATTACATGTGGTATGTAAATCCATGAATGGATGGATGGATGAATAGACCGATTGAGCAACAACACATATAAATATATTTAAAAGAGCACAACACATATAAATATAGAAACATATCAAAATATTGAAAACATAGACAATTCCTTCACATATGCACAAATATTAGACAACACACAACTATATAAATATATAAACATGTACTATCATGCACACATACAATCATTAAAATATATTATATAAATATTGTGATATGTGAATGATTGCAAATGGTTTCTCCTCTATCCCTCTCTGAGAACGCCAACCAACTGTTCGGAGCAACTGTGTTCGCTTCACCTTTTGATCCTTTCAGATCCGTACTCAGTACATTCAATGGTTCATGGTTCTTTTTTTAGCCATAATGCAAACGATGTAGAAAATGTTAAATATTCAGAGAACAATTCAAGATATACCCATGGTTATCCAATGCCACTTGTTCTTTGAATCTATTTGAATGTTTGGTTTTGACCCATTGCAAGCGAAGCAACCAAGATAGAGGTCAGTTGGGTTGCAAACATGACAGGGATATGTCGTTCAATGACAAACAAAAATAGATACACAGACGGCATCAAATTGTATTTTTTCACACACGGGGTGAAATCACCATTGATGGGGCGGCAATTTTTTGGTGTGAAATGATGGTTGCCAATTCCTGCATCAAGATGCGGCTCAAAAGAAATAGGTCGACCCCAAACTGCTGGTTCTATACAGATTTTGTTTGGTAAATCACACCCTAAAGTTTGAGGGTTGTAAAATGTGGATCCAACAATCAAGAGATTTGTAGTTTTCATTGATCCAGCTACTCAATGAACATTCCTCAGACTGAAGGGTGTCTCAAGAGTTCGGACATCATATGTTTTGATTGTTTTTGATTGAAATGGTAATCTATTGTGTCCAAATCCCTAATTTTTGGAGATGTCAACTTCTGAAACATGTTTGATTTCAGCATGATTTTACCCATCCACAAATATTCAAAGCAGTTCCAAGGGATTCCAAGGGATTCCATGTTTCCAGTCCCGTTGTCGGATCAAGTGGATTTCTCTGAAAATATGGTATTTCGGTATCTCTAAATCTATTGAGTCTATTGAATCTATTGAACGCATTGGTTACTCATCATTTTCTCCATTTAATTGCCATTTGGAAGATATATAAGTATATACAGTATACCCCATGTTCATCATGTTCAGACACAGCCAAATCATCCAACTCCATTCTTCATTGGTTGCATCTCTTTAAATCTCCATTCTGTGATGGTTTCTTATAATATCAAATCCCACGTATGTTCACCATTTTTCAAAGGTTTTCCAATGAAATTTATAGCCCCATGGCCGTAGCCTTTCACCATCGTTTCGAGCCGCGCCGCCAAATCCAGATGTCGTCCATCCGTTTCGACCGTGCTGTCCAACCGGATCACCGGGGGCTCGTCTAAATGGCCTGCCGACTGAGCCAACTGGGCAACAACGAGCTGGTTGGTGGTTTTAAGCATCTTGAAAAATATTAGTCAATGGGAAGGATTATCCCATATATTATGGAAAATAAAAAATGATTGAAACCACCAACCAACGAGTTTTTTTCCTTGGTCTTTTCACCAATAAACTGGTTGGTGGTTGAGCCTACCCCTCTGAAAAATATGAATTCGTCAGTTGGGATTATTAGTCCCAATATATGGAAAAATAAAAAATGGTCCGAACCACCACTTTGAAGCGCTTTGTGCGTCGCGCTGTCTTAGGCCTCGGAGACAGCACGTTGGCCGTAGAAGAACACTACTAAGGTTGTGACATGGCAGTCACTGGCACTGGCAGGCTGTCCATCGCCGTTGATTGCCGCTGAAAGGGCTCGGGGGCGAACACCTCTTTGGAACGGAGACGCGTCTCACTCATAGCCCAAACACCACCATACGACATGAGCTCTGTCACATACATTGCTTTGCAACGTAACCCCGTTGGGTTGGATGAACCCAACACAAAACTAAACACTTCAGCATCAGGACCAGAGTGGGACACCTCCCCGATCCGACATACAGGGAGCACAAGCACCAGGACAGACATCCGAATCTTCGCAGAACTGAAAGTCTGAGCCTGTATCAGTGCAGATGCAAACCCCAGAAAAGTCATCAAGACCACGGGCGTCAGAGCCATCACAACCCAAGTGGCAAAACCATGCACAGCATCATTACCACCTTTCGGAGGTGACAGCGCCCGCCCACCCCGTCATTCAAACGACAGGGCGCCATGGGACATTCCCCCAATCCCACAGCAAGCATCGATCAGCAGAAAGTCATTCCAGGTGTGTGAAGTGCGAGACAAAACCCTAAACCCTAAACCCTAAACCCAAAACCTTATAACCTGAGCCAATTTCCAACATGGGTATCGGATCCTGCTTCATCACAATCACCACAAACAGGGTGACCAAACCAGATCCTCCATCCACCACACCAGAGTAGGTCATAAGGCAGTTCGCATGCACAACCCTCAGCAAATGACGCTCATGCTTCGGGTCAACAACCTCCACCTCGGCCACAACAAAGATCGCCTGGCCAGTGTCCACAGGCGCCATGTCCATGACAAGATCTATGGCAAACAGCGCGCAACCCAACGCTCAACGTTCGGCATGGCACGGCCGCACCAGCTGGTAGGTGTTGAGCCCACGGCTTGTTCCAAACCACCAACCAATAAAAGTTGTGATTCAAACTTCAAACATGATGAAACATTGTGGTGACTAGTGGTTTTAACACCCATCTTTGATGGTGATATTAGTGAAATGGTGCAAAGCGAAATGGAGGGTTAACTCAGGTTAACCAACTGACATTTGGATTGTAACAATGCCTATTGATTGGGGGCTTTAGCCAACATTAACATGACTGGGGACTCAAATCGAAATGAGGAAATTGAGCGGTGTTGTCAACCAAACACGTTTCTCCTTTACCAACCCAACCCGGGATTTTAGCCAAAATGAGAAGTCATCATCAATGGTGATTCTAACTATCAAAAATCACCCTATAGTAATTTAACGTAGCTCTGGAAAATCACCATCATTAATAGGTAAATCATCTATCAATGGGAAATGTTCCATAGCTATGTTACATTACCAGAGGGTATGAAAAAATGTTACGTATTGACCCAGCAAAACATGTATTTGATCATCTACATAGTATTAGCATTATTAGCATTTGGTAAGGGGCACAGGGATAAGAAAACAACACATCTAAACCACTTGGCACTGTCAGTCCCTGCGACCCGTACATGTATCCTGAATGGTAGTCCTGGATGTATTACAATATCATATCTATGAAATATTGCTAACTGAGATGCATGGGTTGGCTGATGGCTCTTACCTTTCCAGCAGCTCAAAGAAAATCAACCCCCAAACTGACAATCGGAGATGTTATTGCGTAGGAAAATCCCACCTGTGCCAACTCCCCAGCGAAAGACCGGAAACAAGACGCCCGGGACGCTGCTTGTGACGCACCTGGTCCTTTCATCCCCAGATTATTGTAAACGACCTGAGGTGAATCATGGGCGCAAACCAGGCTGGAAGCTGTGAAGTTCCGACAAGACTGATGAACATTGTGAATGACAAGCGAAAAAAAGAAGAGGTGAAAAGCGAGTGTTAGGGATTGGTGGGATGCAATCCTCTCTCATTTAGGCTGAGATTAGGTGATTAGCTTCCCTGGCGAACGAAAAAGTAAAGCCGAAGGGAAACCATTCAAAACTGAATTACCGCGACCGACTATTACAGTCAAACTATGCCAGAAGATATTCTGAGTCCTGTGTTTTGTATGCATGGCCGTGTAGTTGAATCCGTTCTTCTTGGCTGGTGATTCTGGTGATGACACTCACATGTTTGCTGGTTGTATCCCATGATTCTGGCCCAACCAAAATGACCACCTAACAGCCAACTTATAAAACCCTTATTTCATCATAGTTAGATGCGTCACTCGCATTCGGGTTTGTTTGAGAATGGGCTACACCCCGAAATGGCAATTAAAACGTGGGGACGATGATGTTCTCGGCCATGTGATTTTGGGCTCTATTTTCAGACAAAGCCGTTTTTCTCTAGTTCTTAGCCCCTAAATGAATAGTTACTGGGTTTACCACATTATTTCATCATAGTTTGATGCTTCCCTCCCGTTTGAGCCATTCAAAATACCCCTGCCCCAGTCTCACTATACTAGTTGGCAATTGGTTGACAGGTTTCCCTACCCAAAAATCTAGATAACTCCCAAAAATAACCAATCAACCGAGGTAGTTATATGTTCCAACAGCTCAGTTTTCTCTGATGACTCACACAAGTTCCCCCAATTTTTTGCGCCCCAAGCGGCATTTCCGGAGCTCGTCAGTGAAACACCCAGGTCCGAGATGGGCGAGACAGCCGTTTCCGACTGCGGCAGTGAAAGCATCCAGTGGGGTACCAATTTATCAACGAATCCCCATGAATAAAAAGTTTATCCTCAATAATGGACAGTCATAACGCATCTATTTTTGGAATACTCTAGTGCAGCCTATAGTTAGCCCCAATCCTGGTAGCTATAAGTTGGATAGTTCAGGGCCCACCTTGTGGTGGTTGGTTGGTTGGGACAAGCCATTTTTACTGGCATAAAGATATTAATGAGATACGCTCTGGTACATACACTAACATAGCCATCTAAAATGACCATAGACATAGTTGATTTACCTATTAAAATGGAGATGTTTCATAGTTATGTTAGTTTACCAGAGGGTAACCCTATAACCGACAATGGTGATTGATTGGATTCTTGGGGTATCCAATGTCTGCCACGTTCACAGCACCATTCGAAATGAGCTACAGCCCTTCATGGTTTGTCATCATATCATGAATCAGGCGCTTGCGGGCCCTGATCAATTGCTCACAGTAATGCATCACCATTTCTTGCCTCTGCTTCTTGTTCCAGTGCTGTTCATGATCATCTCCGCCCCATTGATTGTTCCTTAATCCCGAAAAAAATGAGGATCTACCGTACATCACCGGCTTATACATATAACTTAACATGATATGGTTGATTAGGATTGCTCACAACACCCCAGACACTGTTCAGGGGAAATTTGTTAAGTATAGCAAAAACATGACCATGCAGAACCCCCCTTCCAGCTACGCTCCTGTAAAGTAGCATAGGTTTGGATTTTATCCACCATGTATAAACATTTGCCGAACGGGATTCCCCATGCGTGCGCAGGTCTGTGTTGGTTTACAGGAGGGTAACCATTCAGTGTATCCCGCCAAAAAAGACAATATATCCCTATGATATTCCCGATCTTTTCAAAATTTGTCATATTCCCATACAAAAATACCCTCTGGTAAACTAACATAACTATGGAAAATCACCATTTTGACTAGGTAAATCCACTATAAATTGCCATATTCCCACAAAAAAAAGTACCATTTTATCGCATTAAAATGCATTAAATACCATTAAATCACCATGATCTCCCCATGGCTTTTCCACATCTTTCTGTATCTTCCCCCTTAAAATCGTCCATCCTTGTCGGCATGGTGAGCACCTGGCGGTGAGCACCAGGTGCTGGGTATTGGGGGGTGCCAAGTGGGTACCAAGTAGAGATAAGCAATTTGACATGATGCTACGTGTATACAAATGTATATTATATATGTGTCATTTGTATGTCCAATAACAAAGATTTATGCTGGATGTATTTGCAGTTGAATGGGTTGTGAAACATCTGATAACTATGGCCCCCATGATTTGGGCATGATGAGTACCATGAAATAGAAGGATAGATATATCATTCTAATCAGGCAAATACATTGGTTGCTGCTTTGCGACTGAGTAACTAAGAGTAAAAGTATAAGAAGTCAAAATATGTCAACACTAGCGAACAAATGAATGTGGATCTAAGTCGAAATCTAAGAAACATCGACAATGATAAGTCCAAGGTTGGTACTGAAAAATGTTAAGAAATACTAGTGTTTAAATCCATTTGAGACAAGTTCTCACAGACTCCAAGGTCGGTCGCTACAAAACGCCGCTGCTTACAGGTCAAAGGGACAGTCCAGAATCAAGGTCATGCCATCATGCCGGTCGCAAGTCAGAGATGGGAATGGTCGGAATGGAGTATCATGTGTGGCCCAGGGAAACGCACATATTGGTCATGTGTGGCCCCTTACTGGTCCTCAATCTGCAGGGGATTGTCCATTGCCACGTTTGAATACCAGTCTTTGTTCATTCATGATGTGACGCTGGGAATGCCCTGATCAGATCAATAGTACAATGGTCATGTTGAATGATACAAACTGGCTGACTTGGAATAATTCCCTAATCTGAAAATAGCTGAAACTTGCAGCCATTTGGGGATGATTCCCCTCACTAATTACTAATCATCATGTCTGTGACCTCACAGATAGCTTATTGTAATTCATCCAGGTATAACATGGCAGTGTTTTTTTATTCACAGTAAAAACGAATGTAATCACTAGTATATAGTGAACCTTACCATTAACCTTTACTCATTAAAAGTGCCATCCTGGATGTTCCTTCCCGGCGGTCCATGGTTTTTCCCAGCGCTCAGAAAAAGCTCAAGATCTCCTGAGATCTGAGATCTGAGGAAGTTGTGGCCGCTGGAGATTGAAAGTAATGAAGAACTACAAGGTTGTGCCCCCCAGTTATAAGTTGCTTTATAAACCCCATTAACTAGTTCGATATATCTACCATAAACCATAGTTATTGAAGTTATAAATCAACTTAGCTATTTATAGGGCACCACATTGTACAGATTGAAATCGATCATCGCACCATATATTTCCATATGGGGATGGGTCAAAACCCTGGTACCTTTTGTTCACCCCCAAATAGCTGGGATTTATGGATGTGAATAACCCACTACAAATGTATCTATAGGTATTGACCCATACCCATATATTTCCAAATTCTTATAAGTTGGAACAAAATATAATCGTACCAATATTGAACTATATTAAGTATTGACATGTACCAATATTGAACTGGTTGGTGGTTGAGCCCCCTGAAAAATATGAAAGTCAGTTGGGAGTATTATTCCCAATATATGGCAAAATAAAAAAGTTCCAAACCACCAACTATTGATCAATAATCTCTATCATAACGGATATTAGCAATAAGTACTATATACTCTTAAAAATACTACCATATGAGAATATTTATCAGTAACTCCCATCATCCCAATTATCATACCAAGTTAAAATGATACCAGTCATGATAATGATCAAAAAACAATAAAAAAAGAATGATGACGACAGGAATGATAACTATCATGAAAAACCAACAAACATAATGAACATAGTGGTGGCGGAAAGAATGCTCATGAGAGCACGCGAAGTTTAAAGTCATTTGCAATGATATTAATTGGGGTATAACAATAGTAAGCCACTCATTTGGGAATGGTTGATACCACCTGTTTATGGTGAAATTGGGGATCGTTTTTTATTATTGTTTTACCAACAGTATTGACAAGTAATGAACATTGAATCAGAACCAAAAGTCAGGGCCAAAATTCTTGGGAAAACGACTGACCTATGGGATCAGCACTCAGAAATATGTCAAATCCTCTGAACATAGGCTTGAAAATTAAAAACCCAAGGCTGAAAATAAGAACAACCAAAAATATAATACCCTCTTGTAATTTAACATAGCTATTGAAAATGACCATTTATAGTATATAGTTGATTTACCAATTAAAATGGTGATTTTCCATTGTTATGTTAGTTTACCAGAGGGTAGTTTGCATTAGTTTGCCCACATTCAAAGAGATTCAACATGATTCAACCATTTGCACATGGAGTCTGAACCCTACCATCATGATTCGCAACCACTCAGATTTCCTGGGACCATGTTCAAACTTAAACTTAAACCCATTCCCAGACATGGATCCAGTCATGATCCAGTTTCGTCACTGCCACTGATGGTCAAGACTCCTGACATGACCTTTTATATACGCAAAACTATGGCTATGGCTGGGGGTTTCCTAAAAGGCTAACACCCAATAGCTGGATGGCTCATGGAACATCCCAAACAAAAATGCCATGGATTTGGGACATAGCTATTTGGATGGCAAGATCAAGTCAGGTACCCCAAGAAGATGATCCAACATACAGTAGCTAGAGAATCCGTCACCAAAAAAGAATGGACAAAAACCAGCCCGGTTTCAGATGCTAACCGGTGATCTTAAGTCGTACCTAGTGGGGTCATGCGTTCTTTCTTCATGGCTGTAGAAACCTACAGCACATTTTATTAGTTCTAGAAACCTACAGCACACTGAATTAGCTGTATATATATATATATACATATAATTTATATAATCAGATATCAACAGGTTCAAATTTTGGTATAGATCGAAATGAATCAGAACTCCCTACTGTTTGTTTTTTTCCCCGTTCACTTCGCGGGTTAGTTCCACCAGCCCATTCCCTTCGGCAAGTCCCTGGTGATGGCAAGTTCCAGTTGTTTCTGTTTCAACAACCCTCAAAACAAAAAATCATGGAGATCGAAGAAACCACATGAAAAAAAAACATCTACTTCCCGAAAAATCCGCAAATCGAAATGTCAACCAGGAATTTAAGTGACATCGCCCCAACATCACTGAAACATGGCTGGGCGTCTGCATTGATCTCCACACTTTGACCTTTTTGCAGCTGCCCCAGCTTTGGCTCCACTTCCTGACATCTGGGTACAAGTCGGCAATCATTAATGGGCAAGTCATTTATTATGTTGATACTTCATGATACTTCTCATGGATATTTGCCATGACTTTAGTAATATTTCACTGGCCCGAAAACAGGACATTTGGGGATACCCTTCTAATTACGATTCCAGTGAAGTCACAGGGTCACTATGCCCAAAAACGTGAACCTCTACATAACTGGGGATATCCTACATACAACTGTAATACTGCTCATCAAAGTGTGCGCGCTTGTAAAACTAATCCGTGAAGCTGCTAATGCGAAAAAAGGGTTCAATCCGAACAATCCGTAAACCGTTCTTAATCCGTACCTGTGAACCTGGTCGTTTGCGTTTCTTTTTTGCGTAGCACACGGTATGAGGTAGGCTGTAGAGGTTTGTTTTCTGCTTTACCCAAGGCCAGACGTGGCAGCACGGTCAGCAAAAGGAAGTGCATCATGTGAGAGGAAGCAACTGTTCGTCTGAAGCACGTGCAGGTGCCTCCTGTCCAGCCCTTCTAATTTCCACTTGGGACCTTACCTTGTAACCTACATTCAATAAAATGATGTAAACTGCTCAGAAGTCAGCCACAGGGGCTGCCACAGCCCGCGAATTAATAGCTAAATCTCGGGAATTTGCAACATTTTGGGGCAGCGCAACAGTCACTGCCAAAACATGTCCGTCACCGTGTGCCGCAGGCTCCAACAACACTTCACGGAAATACTGGTCATACCGAAGTGGCATAGTAACTGTGACTGGAGTAAGAAAGCGTTGCAACACACGAACGAGTGTGTCGGTACGCTTACTCTTGTGGTTGGCAGCTGTCGTAGGGGGCTCATTCACCTACTTCTAGATGTATTTATTTTATTTGCGTCCAGAAGACCGGTAGACAGGTTCCCACAACCCCCGAAGAGCAAAATCTCGGAAATTTGCAACTCTTGGGGGTTCTGGTTGGCAGCAATGGTTAAGGGGGTACACTGGGTTTGGTTCACCTGCCTCCAAATGTATTTATTTCATGTGCGTCCAGGACGCAGCTACAAGATTCCCACAGCCCCCGAAGAGCTAAATCTCGGGAATTTGCAACTTTTGGGGTTGTGGCTAGCACGTTGTGTTGCAACCCAGACTTGCAAGGCATTGCGCTCAAGAAAGAGAGGGAAATCAAAACACGGAGGAGCCAAAATGAGCCCTGATAGATCGCAAAAACGAATCCAAACACCACACTCACAAACGAAACCCAAGGAAAACTTCCTCAAATCAGCATCCGGTCATCATCCTTTACGGGGGTTGTGGCTTTCAACCCGCAGTCCGTCCAAACCACATAATCCGAAATTTTGGTAATCCGTAATCTGGCTAAGGATTAAGGATTACGTTTGTTGAGGCCAGTAATATGGTTGTATAATGTGATATATCCACTTATAAGTGGAACTACACTCCCAAGTTAGGGTTCTCAACTTTTGGTTGTATTTTTCTCTATCAAATAGCAGACTGTAGACTGGATCAAGAATTGCGTGGATAGGGGTCCACAACAAAGAACACATTTGTCTACGGCCTGGAAAAGAACTAGGTGGATAGGATTACTTCAGCATTAGGCAGGACCTCCTCCAAAAAAAGAAAGTACCATGAGTAGAGATGCTTCCCCAACGACAAGAAATAAATGCTTGTTTCAGCATGGTGCGTCAGTTTTCCTAAATCACAAACACTTGCATCTGCAAACTACTGTTCATCAATAGTTGTTTGGGGTTCTTGGTATTGCCTACTGTTTTTGTTTTGACTAATTATACTAGTTGTTCCTATACATCTTTTCTGGGGTCACTCTGCAACTGTCCCGTGTTACTATCTAGGAGTTTGGTTTCTGTATTGAAGTGCCAACATTTTCAGGTTAGCAGCTAGAAGAGAATATTGAAAAGGATCAGATTGAGATGAACGAGACATGGGATCATAAAGAAAAACAAACCAGCTGGTAATTTCAAAAACTACATTTCACTAAAAAATACCAAACTACAATAGACAAGCCTCCAAGAGAATATGAAAGCAGTCATCAATTGCCAGTTTGTTTCCCGAATTGATCTAATCCAGTCGTACACTGAACTGCTCACAAGAACACATATCTACGAAATGTGAATATATATATATACACCCAATGATATCATATAGATGTGAAAAAACAATGAGGAAATTGAACAAACAACGAATCAATCAATCAACATTCAACTTCACCAGCTTAACCAAACAAGAAAATTGACCAACAGAAATCACAAATTTTCAACAGTTCACATCATCTGACCTTGACCAAATTCAAAAAAAACATCCCCGAAGCGGAGGTTTCCCCATTGAAACAAGATGTCAAGATGTTCCATGATTTTCCACTATAAACTATAAACCATCCATCTTGGGAATCCATCGGAATCCCTCATTGAAACAAACACGTCACAACTCCAAACTCGCCCCTTTTCCCCTGTCCTGCCACAGCCTCACCGCCAAACGCTCCGCGCTGTCGGGCGTGGCCAGGGCCAGCAAGGCGCTCACCACGAAGGGCAGCAGCAGCGCGGAACGACTCAAAAAAGGCCAGCCGAAGTCGAAGCTTAAGGCGGCCAGGGCCAAGCATAGGAAACCTGGGAACTCGAAGAACTGTTAGGTTTATGGGATGTTATATCTAACCAGTTGTTGGAGTTTATTCGAATTGTTAAACGAAAAACTTCTGAATTCTATCCAAAAAAATGTTGTAATTGTTTACAGTTCTGAATATAATAATGTCCTCTGTGGCCCATTCTCTATAGTTCATGGGACATGTAAACCCAACCTATAATTAAGTGGGATTAAGTGGGGGTGCCACCGCTGGTTTGGGTATGCTGAGCATGTTTAATTAATGGACATTGGGATTTGGATGGAAGATGTGCAACAAATGGATTAGTTCCAGACCCCGGCGAAAAGCTGGTGGAGACATGGCGTTTATAAGAATGTGGTTCTAATATCACCACCGTTTTAAGGAGGGGGGACGTACCCAAAATGTAAGCTACATTTTTCAAGGTGTTTTTGAAGGGGCCTTGAAAATGTAAGCTTACATTTTGAACGTATTTTGAAGACCCTCCCCACAAAAACGACACCTCGAGGACGTTCAGCAACCAATTAATTCTACATTTAAGGGGGGGTCCCCAAAAAATGTAGCTTACATTTTGGTATGGTCCCCCCCTGAAAAGTGGCCTTAAAGGGGTGGTGATGTTCTATATAATTAAAAACATTTAAAAACTGTGCAGTGCAGTTAGTAAGTGTGGATACAAAGATATTTCGGTCATTTCTAGAACTAGTCTTAGCATTTCTATTTGTTTGGTTTAAGTACATATTCAATGGTTAAAAAAAACCTTGGTATAATTGTACTTGTATAATGATCATAGAATCCTCTCGGCCCCAAGAGGCCAATGGTTTGACAAGTGATGTTGGATAAAATCAAAGCTGGTGAGTATGATTATTCGGATAGGTTTTTAGTAGTTGGAAGATATTGGAAGTACAAAGTTCAGTAGACTGATGGTTCGATGCCCTTCACATGATTGATTTTAAGATGTTTTTAGATGTCGGTGAGTGGGCAGAAACCAGCTATACCCTGTATTTCGCAGTGAAGAGGGGTTGGAACCAATTGCTAAGCAAATTATATAATGAATCCTGTGGCCAATGGTTATACCAACACAGCTGGACATGTGAAATTTGCATGTCACCAGCAGAAACCACACGCACTGAAAACCTCCGGGGCAATTCTTGGAAAAAACGCTGGGAAGGGAAAATGACTGGGCAATAAGGTGCTGGCATACCTCACCGAATTCTATCATGCCACCAACCCACAAGTTTCCACCCCAAAAAACATATGGTGTTGAATTGGGCTCAAAAACAAAGTCCCAAAAAACATAAACAACAATAAATATTGTGCCCCGATTTCCAGTTCTTGGGAAGGATCATTTTGAACCTTTTTCAGGGACTGAAGCGGCGGCCATCCCATCTGATCCATCTGCAGCTGAGAGGCAACAACACTGCAGCGTATTCAACTGGCGCAAACAACCCCCGAAAGGATGATCATCAGCTGATGGCAACAAAGTCAGGTTGGTGGTTTTTCGCCTACCCCTCTGAAAAATGATGGAGTGAAAGTCAGTTGGGGTTACTCTTCCCAACTGAATGGGAAAATAAAAGCCATGTTCCAAACCACCAACCAGCTAATAAGTGCATATAAGTGCTAGAATTCACCCTAAACCAGGCCTGCGGCAGCAAGTACGGCTGCACCATTCCACTGATGGCAGCCATCGCCAAGGTGATTGCTAGGGACAGTTGCAACGCATCGAGACTGCCTTGCAGTTCATGGTGGCACAGAACAGCAATTCTTTGTTTTTTGAAGCTTTGCCATACATTGCCATACGGTATAAGGTAATTAATTAGCCATAGTTAGTTTATATTCGATCCCAGCAATACAGTCTATGCTAGAACTCCACGCCCTAAAATTGCAATGTTTCAGCGCAAACGTGCTACCATGCGTCGCGTTTGGGGCTTGGTCAACAGAATTGACTCGTAGCACTGGCCTTTTTGGTTTTAAGGGCTCCTGATTTAATGTGTCCCAACGTGCAACCAGATGATCCAGGGGCAACAAGATGAAACGAGCAATGAAAGCATAGAAACACATTGCAGAAGCAATGATACAAAGAGAGCAGCAGCATACCGACGGACGTTGACGGAGGGTGAACAACAGATTCAATCCAGGCAACATACTCATTGCTACACCGCCACGCTCCAAGCCTACAAATTTCAGTGCATATGTTACCAAGTGCAGCCGTCGGGGTTTGATTTTTTTCGGGGCCAATGCACCTGAGCTGACATTAGCATTGAGCTCTTGGGGCAGGTGGTTGGTATTGGATACAAATCATTTTGAATACTTTGTCCATCTATGGTAGGCTAACAATTGGTTTTATAGTTGATATACAGTATCAGTATCTACAGTTCGATGGGCTTAAAAATCCTTAAATGCAAACTTATAACTTATAACTGTGCAGGGGGATGCCATTGTGTATCCCATGATGGCTGTGACCCAAAATACGGTTTTTGGTTGTTGATGCTGGTCGGGTTTTTGAAAACCCTCGTGCTCCTGAGTAGAATTCCAAGTTTGGAAAGGCAGTGGCCGGTATTAATGGGTAGAGAAACAAACACACGGCAGGGCAAAGAATGGAAACATGTAAACGTACACATGTCACATGTGTGTGTGTATTATCTACAGATATATAATATGTGTATATATATATACTATTTGTATTTTAAACAAAAAAGTGTAGAGGTATCAGTGAGGAGTTTCAATGAGGAGTTATGGCCATTGGATATCCACATGTGTACATCCAGTAAACTGACGGGTTTATATGGATTGATGACACGCATTCGATGAGCCATGGGGATACATCGGTTAACATGGCCAACATCAAACATGGTTTGCTGGAAAATCCTCCGTCTATAATTAGATTGAATTAGCTCGATGACAGTCCCAGCGAACTAAACCTTCACGGCTAGAACGCGGGGATTAGCAGCCCGACCTGTTTGATGCTGCCCAAGAGTATGGCAAAGTGGGCAAAATAAATTCTACAAAGCTGCAATCCGAACACCCTGCCAACTGTGGCGCTCACGGAGCCAAGTCAGGGACGAAAACGTGGGCAACGGACGCAAGGACCACACCACTGAAGTTGGTCGTTTCTAGATTGAACACTGACTGGGTTGGCTTGAATGATATCGTCAAAGTCAAAGGTTTCTCGTCGATGTTCAAAAATTGAAGGAAACAAACATAGTTTCAGAAAACACGTGCAGGGTGCCGCCCCCAGTTATAAGTTGGTTTATAATGCCCTTTAACCATACTATAGTCAGATTCCCCATGTTGGAGTTCTAAACCAACTTAGCGATTCCAAACAGGAGCCCCAATCCACTGTCTGCTTACCGCTTACCCCTTCTAGCTGCCAGGGCACCGACAACTGAGACCAGGCCTACCGCCACCAACTTTTGGACGATTTCCATCCAAAGGTTGCCACCTGAGTGCCCAGTAATCCCGTTCCCCGACATGGCGAGGGCGATCATTTCAATCCCCCCAATTGAAAAATGATGGTTTGATGGTTGTTAGCCATCTTCAGTGGGAGTTAGAGTGGCAGTCATAGTCATAGTGGGATTTACAATAGGATTTAAAATGATCATAATGTGATTTACTCCTGGTTGACATGACACACGTTTCTCAAATCCAACCCCTGCAGGAGACGGCAATATCGCGACCACTTGGCTGACTTGCTAGGGTGGGGGGCACGGGTAGCACTTGACCTAGGTGGACAGGCTCGCCATCCTCACATCTGACTATAAGTTCAAACAGGTTTCGACAGTTTTGAATCACACCCACATAAGATCCCACTAGATGAAAGAAATGATGTGGCGGGTCCGCCCCGAATTTTGCAGCACGCAGAACATACCAATGGAGAAACGGCGAAGATTTTGTGATCATGGCCCTATTCAAGCCAAAGACGGATCTACTTTTGAGATCATCGGATCTACTTTTGAGATCCTCTGCGTTAATTTGTCCCAGCTGCAGGTGCAACCCACCTGCGCCAAATGAGTGCGCCATTGTCGACACTCGCTGAGACTCTGGCCCATTTCAGAATATGAGAAAGGTCTTCCATCTGTTGGAGAGCGTCAGCTTTCCTCCAAGCAGCGAGCAGGCCCACGTTCCCATCAAAAAGCAATTCTTGCAGTTTCTTGTTACAAGTCATCTTGTTTGGGATCTTTCTCAAATTTGTTGAACATCTTCAGGACGGCTGGCCCTCATATTCTCCACCTGCAAACCTTGCAAAGTGCCTTGCCTTGTCATTAAGGTGGCCTTGTTCCTCAGGAAAAGTTTCTGAGCCATGCCCAAACGATGCGCTTCAGCCAACTCAGCAACACACCAGGCACGTTGGAAGAGGTTCAATGAATGAATGAATGAATTGAGACATACAACCTGCCAGCCGAAGCTGTGGTTAAGTAGCCATGAGAGCCACAGAGGCTCTAGCAAATAAAGAAAGTGAAAACACAGAGGAGCCGAAAAGCTCAGGCAGTCAGAAGTCAAGCTTCAGGATGGCACTGGAAATCGATGCTTCGCTTTCTGCAATGCAATGACAGAATTATGAAAAGGTCGAGTAGTCTTCCACTGTCTAAGAAAGACAGAGGCAGCCCACAGGTGAGCATCAGTGAGAATGTTCTTGCAAAAAACAAAATCATCTCGCTTGGCGTCGGTTATTTGAGCGGCCGCAAGGTCAGCCAACTCGTTCAACGTTCTGCACTCTTGAGCGGAAAGGTTCCAGTCAACCCACAGGTGTCCACAAGGGCTTTTTGTCATGGGAAGGTACCCACATCACTTCCACACCATGAGTGGCAAGCATGGCGATATAGGACCAGAAACCAGCAGCATCGCCGTTCCAGTTGCCAAAACGCAATCCTCGGAGGAGGCGCTTGACAATTGCCTCATTGTCGATGAGCAAACGCACAGGCACAGCTGCAGAATGTGCAGCCAGCATGGCTTGCACCAGAGCTTCACGCTCGGCAGCAGCCGGGGTGTGAACACAGCCAGTCAAAAGTCCGTTGAATGAAAGCTTCGTGGAGGTGACAATCCCCCAGGATGCCCATTCATATAAATCATTGCCAGGGTTGACCAAACAGCTGCCATCCAAGGCCAAGACGACAGGAGAATGGTCGACAGCGTACAACTGTCGTAAGCACTGAACCAACTCAACATTAGCAGTTAATGCGGAAATGATTGGAGTGTTTGGCAAAGGGACTAACGGCTGCAACAGCCGAGTTTCATTGTGAGTCTTAAGTACAGGCTTCTCAGCGGTATCAGCATTGCAGTGAAAGGTGAGATGCTCGCGGTCGGGAGAATTGATGCCACAAGCGCACACTTCAGGCGCACCCATTCTTTCCAAAATGCGTCCATCAGAGGCGGCGGCCATGAGAACAGTCATTTTATATCGCTCACCACATTCTTTGATCATAGCATTATGAAAACCAAAGTATGGATTGAGGTGGTCTGGCAAGTGTTCCAGTGTTTTAGTGTCAGACTGGAAGAGGACTCTGGTCCAGGAAAGTCGCACAAGCTTGGCCAAATCAGAGTCTGAAATCCAACCAACACGAATTTGGCCAAAAGGAGTTTGCCAAACATCATTCTGCAATTTTTTCCAATTGAGTAAACTGAAAGTGTCAATCGCTCGCGGCGAGGCGCGCGTCACTGTACATTTTCCAAGAAAAAGATTCACCTGGCGTCTCCATTCATACATGATGGCTTCAGTGGAGAGAGCACATTCAAGATGACAGCGAAGTCCAGCGATGGCGGTCCAGAACAAATAACCGGAGCGACCAGGAGGTGTGCAATACCCCCAAATGGCAGTTTCGATGGCCCTGGCCCAACCCTTAAGCGTACCTTTGTGAAATCTTTGCCAAGGACCCATCCACCTGAGCATGGCCACAACAAGAATGTGGACAAGCTGACGACGCATGTTCAAGTTGCGTGTGACCATACGGATCTTTCTGCACCTGGAAACGAGGGTCTTATGCAACTTGTGATCTTTGTGGCATCTGAAATGAGAACCAACGAAATATTGAATTCCTAGAAGTTTGAATGAAACTTTGGCAGGCCCAACTGTGAGGGCACGATCATTAAGATATTGGCGGTCCCCGGCTTTCAGGGCAAAACTTTCAAGCTTGTCTGGGTGGAGCGCAAAGCCTAGCGCTTCGTCAAGACTCTGGGCACACAACATGGCTTCATGCACGTTTGCAGCAGCCATGCGATCGGTTGCCCAAATTGTTCTATCATCTAAATAAACTGCAAGTCGAACTGTAGGGACTCGCACTTTTATGGCATTGACCCAAACTGTCATGAGGCCATTAAGCAATGCGGGGCTTGCAGGACAGCCTTGCAAAACACTTCTGCGAGCTGTGACAGGAGTTGGAGCAACACAATTTCGGATGGAAAACCAACGAGACTGATTTTGATAAAAATCATTAAGGACGGAGAGGACACCAGGTGGAGCCCCCAAGTGTTTCCAAATGCGAATGGCAGTACTAACTTGTACGGGGTCAAAACATTTTCTCACATCAGCTTTACATCCTGCGAAGTGTGCAGCCCTGCCACGGCACATTTGCAAATCGCTGAACAGATGAGCATGAACATCATGGATACTTTTCTCTGCTACACCCCCACAAAGTTCTGGAGAGAGCCAGGAAAGAGTCCATTGTCTAAGTTCCCGCATGACAGCTGCCATGCCAAGTCTCCAAGCCATGACAGCTATAGCCAAAGGGCGCATGCCGCCATCATTTTTAGGAATGAGAGCGATGCGGACATGCTTCCATTGTTGTGGAAGAGTGGCACCTTGAAGGCACGAGTTCCAAAGATTGGCGAGTTTATCGAAAAAATCAAGCGGCAAACAGTCCCATGACTTAGCAAGCCAGCAATCTAGACCCGGGGCCTTTTTGATGGCTTGATGGCACAAATGTTGCAATTGGTGTCCCTGAAGGGACGGCAAAGGCCAGGGATTCGGGCAAGCAGGAGTAAATTCCAAGAATTGATCAAGCGCTTGATCCACAGGCAAAGTCTCCGGATTCCACAAATTAAACCAAGACCTGGCACACTTTTCCGCTTGAAGTTGAGGGTGTGGACTGTCAGAACACCAACTCCCACTGTCATCCAGTTCGGAGCGGGCTTTAATGCACCTAGCAAGGCGTGGCACATCGTCACTGATTTGGTCTTTCCAGTCGTGGATGCGCTGACGCGCAGCCGCTTTGGCCTCTTGGTCAGCCAGGTCAAAAAGAAACCGCACAGTGGCTTCAGAATTCCACTGGCACTGCGTTAAAAGCGGAACTTGGTCACTTAGAAAATCAATGAATAAGAAAAAGTTTCTTTTGAGTTTCACATCGTTTGGCTGGAGCAGGCTCTGCTGGGCCTTCCGCGCCAAGCGCCGAAGTTGTCGCTCCAGAAGCGATTGCAAATTTGGCGCCTTGGTGGAAGTTATCACTTTTTTAACAGTAGGCAAAAGTTGGTTATGTCTGGCATTAGGTGCCTCGGGGGTTCCCCCCAAAGCAGTTTCGGCTGCCGAGCTCAGTGCTTGCCATGCAGCATCTGAGTCTCTAGCTTCGAGAGCTGTGTCAAACGATGAGCTGAATGCATTCCACACATTAGCCCACTGCTCAGAACTGACCTTTTCAAGGCGGAGGCTTGGACGGGCAGGCCAGGAAAATTGAGTGACATCGTCTTTCCAAGGAAAGTCGTATAAAATCAAATCATGGTCAGCCACACTTTGATGTTGAACACGAGAAACAGGAAAAAACTCGTTGGTCGCAAGCATGAAATCAATGACACGGCCAGTGAGTTCACCGGCATGGTTTCGATGGGTGCCTTGCAAAGCATGGGGCCCCGCTACATCATCCATATCGAACAAGAGCCCAGTGGCCAGAGCTGCTCCCATAGGCCAATGTTCCTTGGTCAAATTGAAATCGCCAATCATGCCCCACTGCTCACCAATGGATGCAGCCCACTCAAATGCAGCGGCAGCAGTGTCCGCAGCTTTGGCAGCATTAGAGGCAGGGAGGTAACAGTTTAGCAGGAGAACAGGCCTGGCACGTGGCTTGTGAATTTTAACAGCCATGAGTCTGCCGAGAAAAAGTGGGTCCTGAGGGACCTGAACTTGTTCGGTGGGCCAACGGCTAAAAATCACAGTACCAGCATAAGGCTGGGTGGCATCATGAGAAATTTGAGTTCCGAAAAAGGTATCCCATCCTGCCTTTTTGGCAGTATAGCGGATACCAGCATAACTGTCAACGGAAACACGGGTTTCTTGCAAACACAAAATATGAACATTGTGAGTATGAGCGGTTTCCAAAACTGCACCCAATTTGTGAGGCAAAGCCCTCACATTGAGGCTGGCAATGCGTAAGGTATCCGAAAGAAAAATTTCAGTCATTATTCTGTTTGGTGGGAACATTGGCTTTACCCATAAGGATGTTCTGGGCAATCACTATCTGGTCACGTCGATGTCCTCGGGCAGTCTTATGTGCTGTGTCCAGCTGTCGCAGCAATTGCACATGGCGCGGACTTTGCTTAGGCTCGCCACAACATTTAGTGTTGGTCATGGAAGCTCGCCGAATGTTGACTTGTCGGCAAACTTTGCAAATGTACAACGACGCTGGCGAAGGCAAAGGCCAAGGGAATTTGTCAATTTGGTGGTCAACTGCAGGATCGGACGGAGCGTCGATCCACGACAAAGTATGTTGCAGGTCTTTTTTCAAAGCATCAGGTAAAGTGACGTCATTCACAGCAGCACGAACACGGCGAATCAACAGCTGCCGACCAGGGCCGCCGCGTCGGCTAACGTTGCATGGGATTTTGGCAATTTGCGCAATGGACACCGCTCTGGCGGAGCACTTCTTGCAAAATGGATGGATCACAGTTAATCGTTTGACTTTTTCCTTGAAAGGAGGAAACTTCAAGAAAATGACATCATGGTCACCCTGCTTGCCTGCTTTCAAATCCAGTAGCCTTTGGGCTACGCCAGCACTGATCTTGGCCAACGTAGCTTTGGCAGAATTGTTGGGAGTCGGAAGAAAAAAACGGCTTCTCTTGGCAGTTGGGTGTTGCTGTTGAGCATGTTCCTTTCGAAGTCGATAGGAAGTGTCGCAATCAGTGATGTTGGGCGGCATGCCCATGTTGCATAGCGGACATTTCCAGGTGCAATCGGGCGTCCACGGCACTAATAAGGGCTTGTTTCTGAGATTCCAGTCATCCTTTTTGTCAGGATGCCAAGTAACAATATGCTGCCGACGGCGTTTGACCCAGTCTACCCGGTTTTCTGTGCAATAGCCACACTCAGGGCAGGTCCAGGAGGAAGCAACTTTGGCAGCGTCAGTGTCGTGACAGTCAACGTTTTTATTGGAAATATCTTCTTTGTGCAAAGATGCATCATCCGAAAATGCAAGAGACGGAGCAGGTGATGCTTCTCTTGTGGCAGGAAAGCAACTTTTGGCCAAAGTGGAGCAGCTTGACTGCGGCAACCAACTTTTTAAATTATTCCCAATGGCTGGCGATCTGCTTTTGGCAGAGCTGGAAGCCGGGAGCCAACTTTTGAGACTTTTCTGTTTACGCTGGCTTTGAGTCACGGTCCTACTGGCGGACTGCGTGCTGGCAACACTGGCAGAACTGGACGGAAGCCAGCTACGGAGGCTTTTGCCACCACCGCGATGCAGGTTGGGATCCCATTTCTTATCTGCAGGCGAGCTCCAGGTAGCAGGCCAGCCCTCTTCTCGTGGTTCCAATGTGAAATAATGGTTGTCTTTCAGAAATAAAGGAAGAGGTGGAAAGGAAGCAGCAGTGCTAACATCCTTGGCATTGGATTCGAGTGGAGTGATCAAGTCGGCTTTTTCCCATTTGTCATCCGCAAAACGAAAAACAACAAGATTGCGTTTAAGCCTGGTGGCAATGCCGATGAGAGTGGGGCCACAAACCCACCGGCCTGGACGAGCCGTGCTTTCCAACCACTCATCGTAGGTGGTAGGCACTGTGCCGCCTTCTGTTGATTCTGTCCATCGATCATCAGGTGCCCATGAGTCTTTCCAAAGCTGATGCTTTTTTAAATGGCTTGCTACCTGAGCCCGTAATGTAGCCCCGAGGGTTGGAGCATTTTCTTTGGTCTCTTTGAGGTCGCGGCCGTCTGCAAGGGCATAAGCTGCCGCCGCGGCTCGGTAACCACAATCACCATTGCCTCCACAGTCAACTCGTTGGAATCCAAATGGTGTGTCAAAATTCGTACAAACAGCTTTGGCCCTCTTTTTTTCGGGAGAGGCACCTTTGGTTTCAGTTTGCCTTTTGGCGGCTTGACCGGAAGTATCCATTTCCTCACCGTTTGAACTGTGAGTGACCTCCACTTCCATGGCATCCTTTGGTGGTGTTGCTTCAGCTATTTTGCCGCTAGCCACCGTTCCACCGACCGCCTTGGACCATTTGCTGACAGCAGGTCGGATGTCACATCCCGCTCTTGCGATAGGCTTTTGTTGTCTTTTGGGTCCTCTATGGGCAGCCAAATGAAGAATGATAGGAGCCGCATTTGGCAGTTCAAACACATGACACAACCCATTGTCAGGAGGAGTAGCACGAAGGATCCAGCCTCTGTTGCCCTGAGGCTTGCTGATTGGCGCCACATCTGTCCATTTGTTTTCAGTGAGCAAACTGCAAACATTTTCCAAAGTCCAAAACTTTGGGACTCCATCAAGCTGCCAATTTGCAGCTTTGGGAGTGTCAGTTGGCCTGGATGGCGTTCGGATGCCCAGGGCTGCACCAGAACCTTGCCTCAAAGCAACACCACTTCCGTCAGCGTCACTCAGCACCCTAATTCGATAATCAATTCTAGGCTCATCGATCAAAGGGGTGATCCACTCAACATTGGCTTTTGGTCCGTGCTTGGCAAGGGAATCAATGAACCATCCACCAATTCCGGAAGCATGAAGAAACGCGTCTTTGGTAGAGGAAGTCACTTTAAGGAAACCTGTGACTTGATCAGAGCAGCGTGATGCAGAGAGGATACGCCAACCATAAGTGGCAATGATTTGTTGAGTAAGTCCTTTCTTCTCAGTCATTGCATGGAAAGCATTGGCGGGTTTCGAGACAGTTCTTTTCCATTCGTCTTCAGAAACATACTGCTTGTCGAAGGTAACACGGAGAACAGCCGCTTCAGCAACGGCAGGTGCTGTAGCTTGCGTGACTTTCACCGTAGGCAGTTGACTGGCTTGGCTACCCAAGCAAAGGCACGGGACGAGCCTCACCGTAGGAGGTGCCCCACCAGCAGTGACATGCAGCCACTGTTTCTTGGCTTGTGCTGGTGCCTCACTGTTGACAAAAGCGAGAGTGATGCTGGCATTTTTGATGTCATGAGATTGCCACAAGTTTCGGAGATCATCCGCTTGGGGCCCAGTGACTTCGACAATTCTCGCCTTTGGTGGTTTTCCTGCCTGCAAATCATTGGAAACAGCTTTGTAGGAGCTTACATGATGTGGAAATGTGGGATCTCTCCAAAGATGGAAAACAGGCATATTTGGCTTTGGCTTCGCAGTGTCATTGCCTCCGCCAACTTTGTCAGGTTTGGGCTTTCGCCGGGTGACCCGGGTCCAATCTTCAGTATCAACAGTCTGATGACTCTGCACTGATTGCTTGGCATCCGTTTTGGTCTTTGTCATTGGTTTTGTCTTGATATCAGGTTTCGATCCTGGCTTTGTGTCTTTGGACTGATCCAGAATGGGAATTTTCCCATCGTCAGCAGCTGCGACAAGTTTGGCTAACTTTGGCAATAGGTCGTCATGATTTTTTCAGCTCTGGCAATCAATGTTTTCAAGGCCCCCAAGAGGGATTGGTTCTTTCGACCTTGATTCTTTTCCCCCTGGCTGGGAGGTGTGGGGCAAAAGACTGCAGCAACTCCTTGAGTCCTTTCAGCAAATCTCTTTCATCCCTTTTCCGGCGTGTGGCCGCAGAGCCACCCCCACCGCTGCCCCCTCGCAGCGCAGGTGAATTGATTTGGCTGAAAGTTGGCGAATCATACTTGATGTTTCCGCCCGTCTTCTCATGCAAAACTGTTGTGTCATTTCTGGGGCAAACAAAAATGCACATGTCAAAGCAAAACCTGGCACGCAAAGCAAAACGTTTGCCCCTTGGCGGACAAATCCTTTGGCGTGCAATCTTTCTAGCTGGCAAAATTTTGCGAATTTTCGAAGTTCGCTTGTGAAGGATCCGTGCTACCCACCCCGAAGCAAAATCGCACAACACAGCCCCAGAGAGGCACAACCAGATCCACACAGAATCAGGGTGCAAAAAGTGCAGTGCAGTTCGGGTTGCTGGCACACCACAACGAATGGCAAATTGGTAACTGAAAGCAAAACTGAAGTGCAAGACTTCACTGACAGCGACCTGACTTGCAATGCTCACACTGCAAATGAAAGAAACAAGGCAGGCGAGACCGCACACAACAGCAAAACTGTTGGCCCCTTTTCTCAACCAGCCAATGCAGCAAAACAAAATTGGGATGAGACTCCAGGCAAAATGAGAAACATCACATGGGTTGGCATCAAAATTGTCATCTTTCAAAGCTCCAGCACATGTGAAGCAAGAAAAGAGAATCAGGCACATCATTTTCTTTGCATCGAACCGCAGGGTTGAACCTGGTGTCTGCGCTCGTTTCGTGCCTTGAGTAGCCAAGGCCCGTGTGGACTGCTTGGAAGTAGAGCGCTGGTCCACACGGAAGAGGTTCAATGAATGAATTGAGACATACAACCTGCCAGCCGAAGCTGTGGTTAAGAAGCCATAAGAGCCACAGAAGCTGTGGTGAAAGCACAGAGGAGCCGTGAAGCTCAGGCAGTCAGAAGTTAAGCTTCAGGATGGCACTGGAAATCGATGCTTCGCTTTCTGCAGTGCAATGACAGAATAATGAAAAGGTCGAGTAGTCGTCCACTGTCTAAGAAAGACAGAGGCAGCCCACTGGTGAGCATCAGTGAGAATGTTCTTGCAAAACAAAAAAATCATCTCGCTTGGCGTCGGTAATTTGAGCGGCCGCAAGGTCAGCCAACTCGTTCAACTTTCTGCACTTTTGAGCGGAAAGGTTCCAGTCAAGCACAGGTGTCCACAAGGGTTTTGTCATGGGAAGGTACCCACATCACTTCCATACCATGAGTGACAAGCATGGCGATATAGGACCAGAAACTGGCAGCATCGCCGTTCCAGTTGCCAAAACGCAATCCTCGGAGGAGGCGCTTGACAATTGCCTCATTGTCGATGAGCAACGCACAGGCACAGCTGCAGAATGTGCAGCCAGCATGGCTTGCACCAAAGCTTCACGCTTGGCAGCAGCCGGGGTGTGAACACACCCAGTCAAAAGTCCATTGAATGAAAGCTTCGTGGAGGTGACAATCCCCCAGGATGCCCATTGGTATAATCATTGCCAGGGTTGACCAAACAGCTGCCATCCAAGGCCAAGACGACAGGAGAATGGTCGACAGCGTACAATTGTCGTAAGCACTGAACCAAATCAACATTAGCAGTCAATGCGGAAATGATAGGAGTGTTTGGCAAAAGAACTAACGGCTGCAACAACCGAGTTTCATTGTGAGTCTTTAGTACAGGCTTCTCAGCGGTATCAGCATGGCAATGAAAGGTGGGATGTTCGCGATCGGGAGAATTGATGCCACAAGCGCAAACTTCAGGCGCACCCATTCTTTCCAAAATGCGTCCGTCAGAGGCGGCGGCGATTTGGACAGTCATTTTATATCGCTCACCACATTCTTTGATCACAGCATTATGAAAACCAAAGTACGGATTGAGGTGGTCTGGCAAGTGTTTCAGTGTTTTAGTGTCTGACTGGAAGAGGACTCTGGTCCAAGAAAGTCGAACAAGCTTGGCCAAAGCAGAGTCTGAAATCCAACCAACACGAATTTGGCCAAAGGAGTTTGGCAAACATCATTCTGCACAATTTTCCAATTGAGTAAATTGAAAGTGTCAATCGCTCGCGGCGAGGCGCGCGTCACTGTACATTTTCCAAGAAAAAGATTCACCTGGCGTCTCCACTAATACATGATGGCTTCATTGGAGAGAGCACATTCATTCAAGATGACAGCGAAGTCCAGCGATGGCAGTCCAGAACAAATAGCCGCAGCGACCTGGAGGTGTACTATACCCCCAAATGGCAGTTTCGATGGCCTTGGCCCAACCCTTGGGCGTAGCTTTGTGAAATCTTTGCCAAGGACCCATCCACCTGAGCATGGCCACAACAAGAATGCGGAAGAGGTTCAAGTCGGCATCCACGGCAACGACTTCTGTAAAATTTGGATTTTTCTTGGCCAGCAGCGCCATCATGTCATCAAATTTGTTCATTTCACACATGATGCTCTCACCCTGTTCATTCAATGGAGGGTCTTTGTTGAAAAAAAAAACTGTCTTGCAACCACACACTGGATGTGGGATCTTGGTGACCGGATCGGTGTCTCCGTCCGGGTTTGCTCCTGCATGCTGGTTGACAGAGAGGGCACAGATCCAATAGGTGTCCTGAAGAGGGTCATGGACCTGGAGGGTTTCTGTCAAGACCTTCACGCCTTCTTTGTCGCACAGGAGTTCCGCCACAAATTCAAAGGTGTGTTCTCCTAGTGCATCAGCAATGACTGTAGCCATCAGCTCTCGGAAAAGATTGGACCAATTGTGAGTGACCATCTTCCCAGGTGTCACCTGAATTTGGCCCAGAAAAAAATGGACTCACAAAGTATTCAACCCCGATTAACTCAATAAATTTGAGAGAATGTATATGTTAGTATTTTTGCAAGTCTTGAATGAAATTGATTAAACAATTTGGTGCCTTTTTTGAACTATAGCCACCTTCTTGCCATCGTTCACCAACTCGGCAAACGAGGTGCCTGCTGCAGAAGTCTGCGGAATAATTTCGAGTCTGACCACATCCTTGGTGGTGTGGACTGGTGGCTGGAAGGACACCCTTTCAGAGTCAAATAGCTTGCTGTAAAAGTCCACAAGGTTGCCTAAGGATATTCCACGACCGGCCAACTCCTCAGTCTTCGCCTCCCACCCTGAAGCAAAGTCAGTCACAGAGCGGGGCACCGGCCGCCGGGCACTCCCGTAGTTGCAGAGTCTGATAGGTCGAATCCAAGAGAGGGCTGGAGGTTGAAGAGAAGATCCGAACAACTCATTGGCTTTTGATAATATAGAATCACACCAACAGCATTCACCAAACTATTGATACATTGCACAGTTGCCAAAACAAAGGAGGGCCTGGGGCTCCAATGAAATGGATCATGCACTTGGTCACTACGTAGGTTTATTATCTACAGAACCGTATCAAGCAGCAAAAAAAAGGAACGCGGCGGTTGCCAAGCTGGAGGTGAGGCCCTTCCTCTGCAGAGAACTGGTCATTCTACATGCAATCAAAGCTTGCGTGGCAGCACAATTACATTCTTTGCGAGCCACCTGCTCGGCTGTACATAGAATATCAATCACTCCACATAGGGCGGACAAGACCCGGCAAGCCTAATACACAAAGACAACCAGCACAGCCAATGATGAAACAACACTCACACATTGTGAAATGGCCAAGGTCAATATTGCCATGACTTCTTCGAAGGCCTGTGGTTGAGGTTCCACTGGTTCTACCAGTTCGGGTCCTAGATCGGGCCCTAGATCAGTTGGGATCTGCGACTGCATGCACAACACCAGGCCAAGAGTGCAAGCAATGCAGCACAAGAGCACAGCTTCAATCCAAAGGACTCGTTGCAAGCATATGCCTCTTCGAGGCAAACTCAAGTCTGGGGCCAGCCAAATATTCTTGAAGCGATCGTGAATGAGATATTGCAAGCAAATAAGTTCGAAACACGCAATCAGATACCTCCACTGCAGCCCAAAGAGGCAAGATAATCCTCCGAACCAGTTGAGCATCAAGAAACGTGATGCAAGAAGAAGATGTTGAGTGGGGGCAATGATCCAGAGCCAGACAGCTGCCATGCCAGCTACTGCATTGCTCCCAGAAAGGGCCCAAATAAGAATGAAGGAACTGGTATCTTCTGCAAACAATGTGCCAAGCAAAACCGAACACTTCCATCCCACTGCAGCAGACACGCAGCGGCGAGAAGCATGGCAGCACGAAGGTAATTTGAAGCTTGTGACGGGGGCACTCCAAGAGTTTTCACTGCTTCCTCACCGGAAGCGGCACGTCCAAGCAGCACCGGCGCTGGCAACATGTGGCCAGCGCCAAGAAAAAGGGAATGATGGGCGAAAAAATGGCTTGACACAATCATGAATGAACAAAGATCGATAAAGATCGTCTGGTGGCTGCCCAGAAAAGATCCACCAAATAGTCGATCTAGTCAATCAACAATCTGAAAAATCCGAGTCGCAGAGGGTGTACTTCAGCAGTAGATTTTTGGCTCCAGATAAGACCCTGTCTGACTGTTCCTGGTGGATGGAAAACATGGGAAAACAAGAACTGATGAGGTTTGGTCGAGTTATCAAGATTTTGGATCATCGTTCTTACCCTCTGGTTATTTAACATAGCCATGGTATAGATGGCCTATTTATAGATGGTTTACCTATTTGAAATGGTGATTTTCCATGGCTATGTTAAATAACCAGATGGTACATTCTTTACGTAATTGTAATTTATGTATGGAAAGTGGAAGGAATGGCGTATATTGGCGCCTATCGAATGTTTACAAGCAATGCGCAAAGGACATATCACCACTTGACCACGCACAACACAAACATGACGTGAGCGGTTCGTCCCAAGTGGTGGGACATCTGGGAATTTGATGGAATTTGGGAAACTGAAAAACCTTCAACAAATCTTCAGAACAAACGCTTTGCTGTACAAGTTTCAACGTTTTCACAAACACTGGGTCTGTCTTAGCCCGAATAAATGGGTAGCCTGAACACATATCAATCATATACCTGCTGTATGGCGCCAAAAGATGTATATAGATGATTTAGATGCCGTGTTGTGAAGTTTCATCATTTTCTTTACGTGCATGTACTAATATATATATATATATATCCAAGATCTTTGCCCCAAATGGTGAACCTGTGCAGAAATGTGAAAGCACCTCTAGCAAATCCCAGGACATATAGAAAAATGGCGTGACAAATGGGGACTGAAACCACTCAAGCTGAATCCCGGCCATATCAAATAACACATCTTGGCTCTCGACTCTACTTATTATGAGACATTATGCAAAAAACAACAACCAGTTGATGACATCAACATGTTGTAAAAGACTGCCTTGCCGTGGATGGTATCATCTTGTGAAAGGTCGTTTTTTGTGCATATCGACACATACAGACACTTCAGTAGCTAGTTACTATGCATGTTGAGATCTTGTGAAAGCATCACGCTAAATTGGTCAGTATCATGATAGTGTTAACCTTCCATTTGTGTAGCAAATAGTGTTTACACATACCTAGATCGCAGAACAATGAGGATACCCCAAACCTTGCTTTCTTTCAGCAAACAATAGCAGATTGTGGATGTGAGGTGCGCGATATATTAACAGAGCACCTGTTTAACACAGCCTGTTTCGGATTCTTTGTTGCTTCAGTGTATGAAACCAAAGCCAAGTGAGTTTGGTTCTTGGGCACATAAAAAATTGAGATGATCAGTCCATCTGAGCTTCCCTTGGCGAAAGTTGACACATACCAGTGTACATACCCTCAATTAATCATGGCTTTCTGGAAATCCCCAGTTCATAGATGTTCCCATGAAAGCCTCCATTCAAAGTTCGGGCATGTCCCGTTGCATCGGCCCATTTAGTTCCATAGTTTTTTACATACCCATAGGATCCATGTATGCTATATATATATATATATATATGGTAAAAAAAAATACCATCAATATACCCCCTTTATGTTAGCATATATACTGTACCAGCACCAGTTTAGAAAAACATCCTGGACCGGAAAAGACATTAAGTATTAATGACAAATGGAAAATGATCACAAATACAATATCCCCATGGAAAAATACAAATACATTCATTACATGATCACAAAAAGACAATTCAATGACCATTTTTTATGACCGCAAAAAGATCAATGACAATTAAATGACCATAAAATCCCATCCAAACATCTCCCATCGAGGTTCCACTTCCTGCAGAATACATCTCTCCGTCAACATCTCTGTGATGCTGCGGCACTTCCTGTGGCGCTACAGCAGAATCCCAGGCTGAGAAAACAACAGATCATAACCATGTTTGATTCCCACAAGTATCCGGGTATACGGTGTACATCTCAGATATCTATATCCAATCATATCATATCATTTAGATCCATGCGATATTCCCCGTCCAGTTGCAATCTATCGTTGATGAAGAACTGTCCAAAGTTGAGCCCAAAGTATTATGGGGTTGATGGTTTCAATCACAAAGCTTTGATGGACTAGGGCGTGTTTCCTCAAAACCCATTAGGTGGGATACGCTTCATGCTTGGCAATACTAATCTTCTAACTTGGGGGCTTCAAGGTTAGTTATATCCAAACAAATATGAAGAGAAACTGACTGAGGGGTGCCTCCAAATCATCCAAATTCGAGCATTTTAGTCTTAAATTCAGATTTCATAGTGACTTGGGGGTCTCCACTTTAAGAACCCCCCAATTGGACTTTCAAACTGGGCATCTGTCACATCGGTTGTGCAAAGTTGGACATTCCAATCTGGAAAAAAACATTCAGAGTAATGCTTGGTACAGTGACATTTATCATGACATCTTTATGTCTATCCATACGGCTAACAATGGATTTTGTGAGGGATGTATCTTTTCTTGTGATAGCATGGACTACAAACTAATGTCTGGATGATGTCTCTGCCAATGATCCCTACTAACATCTAGCAACCCATGCGAGCCCCCCTTTGCTTGTCCCCCGTTGTTTGCAAACAGCCCATGGGTCACAAACTAACAGCCCCCCTCCATTGGGTTGGCACTTACATCCCAAAATAGACAGTTCTCCTAATGTGTGGGGATGCTTACTGCAAGGTACCACCCGGTTGATACATCCACTTCCACATCCTCAAACTATCAATGTTGGGGGTGACATGTTTGACCCAAACGCATTCATGATCCCTGAGTACCCCTTGGTATGTCTTGTCAAGGCCAACAAACTCTAGATGTTGCTCTTGTGAATGTGGTGCCCTATACCTAGCTACTTAACGAGGTGATCATGTGGGTTTATGGTGGATATGGGCTTATAAACCAACTTACAACTGGGGGGTCATCACATTGTATATTTTCCTGCAGAAAATGCGGATTTCTCACGTTCACGTGAGATTGCCACATGGCAAACAACCCATGGTCTTGGCTTACATGGATATGAAACCTCAGTTTCCACATTTGACGTGGCCATGGCATTGACAATCTTAGATGACCCTAAAAAAAGAAAAGCTTACTTTGGGTTTGCTAGGTTGATTTCCCCTTTACAGCGATAGATCTGTTGGTGCTATACTAAGCATCCAAGGTTTACCTAGATGGAGGTTTCCTAAGTCATGAGGGGAACCCCAAATCATCCAAGTCATTTGGCCCTGAATTAGTATTGAAAGCCATGGTGACTTGGGGATGCCCCATTTTTAGAGCCCCCCAAGCCATCCAAGTCATTTTTGAAAACCATTTTAATGGGGATTCTCAGACACTCCTAAATTCATTGCTCACTGGTTAAATCTGGTTAAACACAGATATATGGTTTACTGCGTCAAAATCAAAGACCTGAAGAAAAAAACATTTTATTGGTGTCAATCGTTAGTCTTAACCTCTCCAATTATTGAGACACCCAATGACTTGACCCATACCCATACGGGTTTGCCATCAATGAGGGTACCCCCAATAGCTGGATGGTTTTTGTTGGAAAATCCATCGATTTTAATGGATGAAAAAAATGGGTACCCTCTGGTAAACATACAAAAAGCTATTGAAAATGGCCCAGTCGAAATAGTGGGTTTTCCTATTCAAAATGGTGGATCTTTCCATAGCTATGTTAAATTACCAGAGGGTATCCTCATTGTTCTGCAATCTAGGTATGTGTAAACACTATTTGCTACACAAATGGACGGTTAAAACTGTCATCTATAAATGGATGAAAAAAATTGGTAACCACATGACTTAGGAAACATCCAAATGGCAAAAACTGCGGAACAAGTTTCAAGGTGATGCTCCGCTCTTTCACATCCGACGCCAGGAAATCCCAGAGATCTGAGTGAGATGCACCTCATCGGCGGTGAATTTTCGGGTTTTCATGGGGTTTTCATGGGGTTTTCATGAGATTTAACCATCACACATTGGGATTTCACATGATTTAACCATGATGGGTATGCCCTCGGCAATTTAACACTTTGCGAACTCGAAGGCTCGAAGCCATGGTCCATAGTTCTGTTCGATTGTTGCAGGGAAGAGTTACCGGACACCTCGGACACCCAGATTCTTCCCTCCCTACAATCCAGTGAAGTGTCATAAAATATCGCAATCCAAGCGAGTTGCAACCCTGCTAATTAATCATGTATCCGGGTACGGGTATGGTTCAAAACCATTGGCCCCTAAAAAAATCGCGGATTACTATTTAAGACAATATCCAAATACTATAATATCCAGGATAATCCCAGCCGAAAGGGTTAGAGCTACCCAGCAACCCATCATATCATCATATCTTTGAATCCATTCATTTCTCTCCGAATCACATCATATTTCCCATGGTTTTCCTTCAAAATCTTCCCATATTCATATTGTTCACCATGTGATTCCACATGTTTCCTCCATGTTTCGATCCATTTTTTATACTAATCCACCATCTTCCACCATTTTCTTAACATTTTCCACCATTTTCCCTGGTTTTCCCCAGCCCCCACCCCACAACCACCCCCACACCCCACCATCCCCGCCTTCCAATGGTCGCGCCAGAGCCTCCTTCGCCTCCAGGCGCAGCTCCACGCGGCCCCGCAGCAGCACCGCCACGTAGGCCGTCAGCGCGGCCAGGTGCCGGCGGTCGCTGTCGCCGCAGAGGTCCTGTGGATCCTGTGGATTGGTGGATGAACAATGAACCAGGTGGATTGAGAGATTTACCTCTGGTAGGCAAACAATGGGAATATCATGGGACAATGGTGATTTAATGGTGATTTAATGGTGATTTAATGAGTTTTAATGGGATTTAATGGTGATACCCTCTGGTAAACATACAAAAAGCTATTGAAAATGGCTATTTGTAGTTGATTTACCCATTAATAGCATGGTGATTTTCCATAGTTATACATATTACCCTCCAGTAAATTAACATAGACCCTGGCAGTCATCGGGGTTGGAAGATTAGTTTCCTTGGTTATTTTCAGGGTCTATGTTAATTTATCAGAGGGTATAGTTGGTACATAATTTTATATATAACTGGATTGGTAATTACAGGACTGTAACTATAATATTGTTATATCTGATTATAGTAAGATATGTTTGTTTATGTATGAAGTATAGAACAGTGCTATACTTATTGATTTATAGGTGGATTATAGATGATTCATATAATTTAAATATGATACCTATTTTTGGGGTATTTCCCTAATAATCATTGAACTTATTGAACAGTATATAATCAATTGGTAATCATTGCTGGTAATTATATCAAATATTGGATTATATAATATTGGATTATCAAGTGGATTGTTAACCCATCATAACTTATATATTAATCCATCATGATTGAGAGTTATGTGTTAATCCTATTGGTCCTATGGATGATTATTAATGACTATAACCTATAATGGTATAATCCACTTCACAATTATCAATGTTAAGAATAATATATGGGTTAATCCAAATGTTAATTAAACATTGTTATATTGATTGAGTTATAGGTGGTTTATAGACGATGAAAATAGTTGGAATAATCCTCATGAAGATATATGGGTTAATCCAGTTATTTTCATAATCTATAAACTATGGATTAATCATCAATGATACATTTATTAACTATGGGTTACTACTAATTACAATGTTGTAATACAGTTAGTAGTTATCAATAATGTTAATAGTGGTTGTTGATAATGGATTATTACCATTGTTAAAACATACATAATTATAGTTCTTTATCAGTAATAATGTAGCTACCGTTATTCGCTTTACTATCCAAACGGATTAATCCAATGATTAACCATCTATGAACTAAACTACTAAATTACAACTAATAGATGTTAATAGTTTGATCTATGATTGTTAATTGTTAATTCATTATAATGTGGATGATAGTTACAATTGCTATCCCAGGATTGACAATTATTAATCCATTTAACAACTGTTATTATTCGGGTGGTGGATTACAGTTAATAGTTTTACTTGTCATTATTATTGATGGATTATTAACATTGGGTGTCAATTCATGATTCATGTTTCTATTGGTTAAGATTACTAATAATTGATAGATAGTAAGATTATTAGTTCAAATATGAATCAATAATTACAATTGGTTAAATACTTGGTGGATGCATATGATCTTATTATGATTAGTGTGTGATAATAATAATCATTATCAATGAAAAATGTAGCAATACAAACATGTTATCAACAAATACGGATCATAAGATCATCACAATAAACTGATGTAGATTATCAATAATATAACATCGGGCTTGAATCAGTACTTAATGATCAAGTTGATTTAGTTGAATAATCAATCATCTTATTGCCAATAGGATTGATAATCTTGATAATATTGCATAATATGTTGGATTTTATCGATAAGATTGCAGTAGTATTGCAGTAGTAGTATTTATGATTAGCAACTTTGCCCTAGTAAGAATTGTGATATGATAGCAAGTCATAAACATAAAACTAACAATGATAAACATTAATTATCATGCCAATCGATTATTAATAAGAGATCATAAGAGTATGTTTAACTATACTATTAATTGTCTCAATAACTATAATAAATACTATTAACAACAAGTATCACTGATTATTAAGCATATAATAAGCATATAATAATACAATTATATATGGATACTATATATATATAAGATTACTGATAACATGTTTAAAACTCATGGAAAAAAACGGGAAGAGGATCATGTATTAAAAAAAAAAACTTCCTGGTGAAACTATGGATGGACAAAATCCTACACAAGTTGGTAGGTGTTTACGGTATTTGTTTAGGGTTTCCAAAAATAACTAGAACAGTTGGACAATCAAGCTCTCATATATTACTATTTATTCTGAATAAACCTTTCCACATGTAGAAATCCAATATATTCACAAATTCACATCTTTTCTGAGCAAATCACATTATTTCCTCCATGTTTTCATAGTAAATTCCCGTTTCTCACCAGCGTTTCAAGCCTTTTGCAGCCAGATATCTTCCAACCAAGTGGCCACTGAGGATCCTCTGACCTGATAGAGGCACACCCGTAGATCTCCCGAGTGAGCTGCAGCGGCGCCAATCATCCGGCTGCTTTGCAAGGCGATGTGCTGCCTCGGGTATTTGGAGGATCCAACAAATCGTAACTGGTTAGAAAAATTATGGGTAAGCCATGGCCATATGCAGGATTATTCCCTTTTCTACTTATTTATATATATATATACATACATATATTATGTATTTATATATATATTATATATGTATATATACATATATTATATATATATACATATTTATATATATATATGGCTTGTAACCATGGTTACTAACCACTTCGGATTCGTGGGATGCTTCCCACAAGTTTGGAAGTCAGCCCCTCTGGTAAACATGACATAGACCCGGGCAAGGCGGAAGTTTCCCAAACATAAATGACCTATAGTTCGACGCCAGCCTGTCCCGACCGTGTCCTTCCCTCGACAAGCGGCTTTTTTTTTCAGCGAGAGACGAAGCAAAGTCTTCACACTCCACACTTCGCACTCCACACTTCACACTGCACTCTTCGCACTCGAAACTTCACACTTCACACTCCACACTTCACACTCCACACTTCACACTTCACAGTTCACACTTCTCACTTCCCACTGCTTCCTTCTCACTTCGCACTTCACACTCCACACTTCACAGTCCACACTTCGCAGTCCACACTTCACCGTCCACACTTCACACTCCACACTTCACACTTCTCACTGCTTCCTTCACACTCCAAACTTCACACTTCACACTGCACACTTCACACTGCACTCTTTGCACTCCAAACTTCACACTCCACACTTCACAGTCCACACTTCACACTTCTCACTTCTCACTGCTTCCTTCACACTCCAAACTTCACACTTCACACTTCTCACTTCTCACTGCTGCCTTCACACTCCAAACCTCACACTTCACACTTCACACTCACTCTTCGCACTCCAAACTTAAACTTCACACTCCACACTTCACACTTCTCACTTCCCACTGCTTCCTTCACACTGTACACTTCACACTGCACTCTTCACACTCCACACTTCACACTGCACTCTTTGCACTCCAAACTTCCCACTCCACACTTCACAGTCCACACTTCTCACTTCTCACTGCTTCCTTCACACTCCAAACTTCACACTTCACACTTCACACTGCACTCTTCACACTCCACAGTTCATCTCATCTGAGCTCTTCTCACCTTATCCCAGCTCATCTCTTCTCATCTCGTCCCTTCTCATATGTCATCTATTAAGCTTTCATTAATCAATTCCCAGCACTACTACTAATCACTGTCGCAGCCTTCATGCAGCCACTCCAATACGATTTACGAAGTCCAGCTGCAAAAGACAATAGTATTACGCACGCAGCCGTGGCAAGAAGCAACCTTGACGCAGCCATTACTATGCGATCTGCAGAGACTGAGTTGCAAAACACAATAGAACTACGCGCAACTGGGTCGGAAATTGCAGCTCCAAAACCAATCTCGACGCCAGAGCGAAAAAAAGACGATTTTGAAGCACTTTTTAAAAGGATTTTTAAAAAGAAAATCGCTGCCAAAATGGAGAAAATCTGCTGACAAATCACTGTCGCAGCCTTCATGCAGCCACTCCAATACGATTTACGAAGTCCAGCTGCAAAAGACAATAGTATTGCGCAGCAGAAGCAACCTTGACGCAGCCATTACTATGCGATCTGCAGAGACTGAGTTGCAAAACACAATAGAACTACGCGCAACTGGGTCGGAAATTGCAGCTCCAAAACCGGATCTCGACGCCAGAGCGAAAAAAAGACGATTTTGAAGCACTTTTTAAAAGGATTTTTAAAATGAAAATCGCTGGCGCCAAAATGGAGAAAATCTGCTGACAAATCACTGTCGCAGCCTTCATGCAGCCACTCCAATACGATTTACGAAGTCCAGCTGCAAAAGACAATAGTATTACGCCGGCAGCCAAAAGAGGAAGCAACACTTGCAATCCCATTTACACTGCGGGAACGATCCTACAGTTGCAAAGCACAATGGAATTCCATCGGCAACTCCTCCACCAGCACCACTTGCAATCCCATTTACAGTGAGGGAACGATCCTAGAGTTGCAAATCACAACCCCATTACAATGCGGGAACGATCCTATACAGTTGCAAATCACAATGGAATTCTGTCGACCGCGCATGCACGAAAAACACTTGAAACCCCATTTACAATGCGGAACCGATCCGATCCGAGCATGATCCGACCACACACGAGACCGTCTCGCACCCGTCGCACCGCAGAGGTAGATCATCGAGGTTCGGGGACGGACTTTGTATGGAAAAACATAGGTTTCGTGCATCTGCTATCTCTCAAAAACGCATTTCGTGCGAGACTTCCTTCAAAACTCCATCGGCAACTCCTCCACCAGCACCACTTGCAATCCCATTTACAGTGAGGGAACGATCCTAGAGTTGCAAATCACAATGGAATTCCATCGGCAACTCATCCACCAGCACCACTTGCAACCCCATTTACAATGCGGGAACGATCCTACAGTTGCAAATCACAATGGAATTCTGTCGACCGCGCATGCACGAAAAAACACTTGAAACCCCATTTACAATGCGGAACCGATCCGAGACCGATCCCGATCCATGATCCGACCACACACGAGACCGTCTCGCACCCGTCGCACCGCAGAGGTAGATCATCGAGGTTCGGGGACGGACTTTGTATGGAAAAACATAGGGTTTCGTGCATCTGCTATCTCTCAAAAACGCATTTCGTGCGAGACTTCCTCCAAAACTCCATCGGCAACTCCTCCACCAGCACCACTTGCAATCCCATTTACAGTGAGGAAACAGTTTCTTTGCTAACTCTTTCCCTGACTAACTCTTTCTTTGACTAACTCTTTCCCTGACTAACTGTTTCTTTGCTAACTCTTTCTTTGACTAACTCTTTCCCTCACTATCTCTTTCTTTGACTAACTCTTTCCCTGACTAACTCTCTCTTTGACTAACTCTTTCCCTGACTAACTGTTTCTTTGACTAACTCTTTCTTTGACTAACTCTTTCCCTCACTAACTCTTTCCCTGACGAACTCTTTCTTTGCTAACTCTTTCTTTGACTAACTCTTTCCCTGACATTTTCCCTGACTAACTCTTTCTTTGACTAACTCTTTCCCTGACTAACTGTTTCTTTGACTAACTCTTTCTTTGACTAACTCTTTCCCTGACGAACTCTTTCTTTGCTAACTCTTTCTGTGACTAACTCTTTCCCTCACTAACTCTTTCTTTGACAAACTCTTTCCCTGACTAACTGTTTCTTTGCTAACTCTTTCTTTGACTAACTCTTTCCCTCACTAACTCTTTCTTTGACTAACTCTTCTTTGACTAACTCTTTCTTTGACTAACTCTTTCCCTGACGAACTCTTTCTTTGCTAACTCTTTCTTTGACTAACTCTTTCCCTGACATTCTAAAAGTCCGTAACACGGAAGTTTCTCCCCCTAAACTTCCTTTGATAAAAAGCTATTGAAAATGGCCATAGATATATGATATAGTGAGTTTTCCGATAAAAAATAAGGTGATTTTGTGATTTGTCCATATAGTTATGTGGCTGTTTAGCAGAGGGTAGTAAGTTGGTGTTTCACTACAGTTGGTGAATTCTATTTTCTGAGAGTAATATATCAAAGTTGCTGGAATTTATAAATACTAACTGGAGGGGCAAACTTCTGCTACCCCCAGAATCATTCAAAAGACATCATTCAATATCATCCCGGAAGTATATCTTTGGATTTTTTGGGGGGAATATGATAGATATACATACATAAGCTCCATTTCGAATGGTAAATCATGCTTTGTGTCGTTGCTATACCTTATCCTTACATGTTGCAGTGATTTTATAATTCTCATTAATTCACAATGTTTTAATACACAATAGATATAAATCATGATTCATATCTAATACATAACACATGGTCTATATTCCATACGTACCAATATACAATATTCATCTGCCTGGCAAGGCATTCCAGTGTGAAGGCAGAAGAATATGGTCCAGCAATTTTGGGCTGATCACCCAACAAAACAATCATTGTGTTGGTTAGGAGTCCAAAAACTCATCATTCCGGGTCGATTCGTAATCCATAAAACCCTCATTTTGGATTGACAAAAACCCCACAAAACCTCACAAAACCACATCAAAACCCCATCAAAACCACATCAAAACCACAAAAAAAAAACATATCAAAAACATATGGGGATGGGGGTCAATACCTATAGATACATGTTTAGTGGGATGAACATCCATAAATCCCAGCTATCTTGGGGTTCACTACCAGGGTTTTGACCCATCCCCATAACAAAACTCCAAAACATTCCCCCGTAGGTCGGGCCTAGGTCAAGCCCTAAAATGTGGACCTCACGGAACGGCGAAAACACGACGTGGAGCTGCGCACCTTGCGTAGAGATAGAGTAAGCAGCAAGGAATCACCAGGGCGTAGCAGAGTGCACTCACGTAGCCCACCAAGTCCTTGATCTAAGTCGTATTTAATGGGAGTTAATGGGATTTAATGCGACTTAATGGGATTTAATGGAGTTTAATGGGATATTTGGGATATATATATAATAGATATACCCTCTGGTAAACATACAAAAAGCTAGTGAAAATGGCTATTTATAGTTGATTTACCCATTAATAGCATGGTGATTTTCCATAGTTATGTAAACGTTTACCAGAGGGTAAGTCGTATTTTGTGAAAAAAAATGAACCGCCTCCCGAAATACGAATGTTGGTTGACAACGATTTCCCATCCCTATGGTTTTCTAATAATGCACATTAAACATCATTATATAAGTCAGGGAATACAATCTTTTACGACCAATCAACAAGGGAATTTTTCATGGCTCATGTAGTCATTGTCATCAGAATTCGCCGGTTGCGGTCAGCTCCATGGCTGGAAAATATCCCAGCAACCTCCAGCAGTATATCCATGCTGGATTTGCCATGTTGATTTATACCAGGGGGATCACTGGCCAAGCTATATACTCCATGTGTAGTGACTGGCCAAGTTATTGACAACTAGACTTTACTCATAATTATTCTCTCGCCATATTAGTGCCCGCAATTGAAGCCCAATCCATGATCTCTAGTTGGTTTCGGTCGTTAAACCTAGTGCTGTTGGACCTAGCTGTTTCCAAAGTTGGTACTTGTCCAAAGTGATCAGGGGAATCTGAAAGATTCTGAAAGTAACTCCCCAAAGTGGTACCCTCTGGTAATTTAACATAGCTATTGAAAATCACCATGCTATTAATGGGAAAATCCAGTATTTCTATGGCCATTTTCAATAGCTATTTTGACATAACCAGAGGGTACACCCAAAACAAAAAAAAAGGTCGTCCTGAAAGGTCCCCCAGATTTCAACAAGACTTGGGACCCAGCTGGTGTGTGATGTCAGCTTAATCTCACCATGCAGCTCAATCCACTCGTGGTACAGACATGGTACAGACATCTCATGGTACAGACATGGTCAGTTTTGGTTTAACCACATAGAGGTCAGTTGCGTCCCGCACATCTAGCTTTTGCCGATGAAACACGGCATGTTTGCCATTGAAAATCCTGACCCAAATGGCAACTTCCTGACCTTTCAATGGGCCAAATTTGGGGACTGACCATTACCAGGTGCCACGACATGGCAGGTCAAAGTGTCCACGTATCTTTTCACTTGCGACTCGTCGTTGCACCAGAAGTATGGCATGGCTTGGCGGAAAGCGAAGCCAGGAGGGAGAGCGTCCTTGTTCGCAGTGGATCAAATTTTGGCCATGAAATCATAAGGAAAATGATGATCAACCCTTGAAATGAAGGGGTGTCCAGCACAAGTGGGGATTACGGCTGCCATAGTTCATAAAATGATTTTATATCTGGTTGGTGGTTTTAACCATCTTGAAACATATGAGTTCGTCAATGGGAAGGATTATCCCATATACTATGGAAAATAAAAAATGTTTGAAACCACCAACCATATATATATATATTTATGTGTGTGTGTGTGTCTAGCCGAGTCTAACCTGCTAAGAATAAGTGCATGCCGCATCATGCCGCCATACTTCTGCGTTCAATTAGTTCAATGGGAATCGTTGTAGCCAATGATGGAAACCAACACAAGTTGGTACTCATCTACCAAAAAAAACAGTTCCACGGACAAGCAATCTGACATCCACCAAACAATGATGGGATACATGGTACACGTGGTTAGTCACTTCAGTTCTGATGTTCAAGCCAAAAGAGTTTTAAACCAAGGATCTATATACTTTCATGCATTTCCAAACACTGAACTTAGGACCAACTATGACCGATCTGTCGCGATCTCTCATTTCCGATATGGGTTTCTCCGAACATGTGCTCCAAAACAGCAACTTCAATAGGGAAGATCATGATAGACCATGGAATTTCACTGGTTCCCCACATCTTTTCGCCAAGCCCAGGGCCCATATGGTCCATGTTTGCCATGAAGAAAGGCTATGGTATACAGGCAACCTGGTCATCCCGCCATCAATAAAGATTCCTTATATCTCCTTACTGGTTGGTGGTTTCAACCATCTTGAAAAATCATGGAGTTCGTCAATGGGGTTGGGATGACATCCCATTAATATTTATTATGGAAAATAAAATTCATAATCCATTCATGTTTGAAACCACCAACCATATATATATATTTATTTATCTTATAATGTGTAGATGGGCATCCCCCAACATGGTTCATGTGGATCAAACCCCAGCCTGGGTGAACCATACACCCCTGGGATTTTTCGCACTGGCCATCTGGCAACTGGAAGCCATGGAAGCATGGCCCCGTTAGACGTGTGATATGTGTGATGATATACCCGGCCTGGCAAACGTTTCCAAAAAAATATGGACAGATCCACCTTTTTCAATAGGTAAACCATCTATAAATGGGCCATTTTCCATAGCTATATTAAATTACCAGAGTCCATGTTCAATAGCTATGTTAAATTACCAGAGGGTATCCAATTAAAATGGTGATGTTCCATTGCACACTCTTAAATTCTGTCAAATTACCAGAGGGTAATATCCCCATGATGTCATTCTGTTTATCCATGTTTATTCATTTGGGTTAGTCTGAAAATAGGGCAATTACCATCAATGGATTATCATCAGTTTCCCTACTCTTCAATGACCATTTAGGGATATCTCCTATTTTCAGGCAAAGCCAAATCCATTCATTGGATAAATGACCCCCATGAACTACACATGTATCTACCATGAATATCCATAAACCATAGAATCCCCAGTTTGCCAAGGTAGAACCCTGGGTTTATTCTTGTTTATCCATTATGTCAAATCTGTATCCATTTTTCCAGTGAAATCTGCGTTTTCCCCCAGCTCTAAGCAGAGACTCCCCTGCTCCGTCGGTCTCTTGACAGCTGAGCAGGTCCGAACAGCTCCGCGCACCACCGATGTAAAGCAAAGTAATGGCCTGCCGTTGAGTCGAGGTTGGAGCTGATCCCAACAACAAAAATGAATCTGTTCAGCAACGAAAATGGTGGCTTAACCAGAAAACTGGTGAGTTAAGATGAGTTGAGTAATGGAAATGTTGTTTTAATCAGCAAAAAAACTGAGTTAAGCAATGTAAATGGCGGTTTAACCATGAAACATGGTGAAACATTGTGACTTTGAACAACAAAACTGGCAACTTAACCATGTTTAACCAACAAAATATGCAAGATGTAATTGAATGATGGTCATGTTGGAGTATAACAAGCCTTTTTTCAGATAGACAACCAATAAAATACAGTGATATAGTGGGATATGTTGTGGGATTTATAGCCAGCCATCTGATATTTGGGTGTGTCCAAAAAACTTGACCATCAAACAGAAGAGATTTTGGGGGTGCCCCAGGACGAACCCAGTCAGCAACAAGAACCACTCTTGCTTACCTTACATGACTCATTGACAATGTGAGCCATTGATAAAATACCCCCATCCCATCCCATTATGCTGGTTGGTTTGTAATTATTCCTACTATGGGCTATAACAATCCCTGAACAATTAGGTAGTATCACCCCATATTAACCCGTCAACAGAGGCATTTTGTTCATCAGTGTCGCAGGTAGTGGCGGATAGACATGGTTACATTGTCCTCCTTTGGGATTTCAGATACACAACGACATCTGAAGATATTGACACGCGACAAACCTTTCGCAAAAAAAAAGGTGAAGCTATGTGTATGCATATATATATATATACATACATATCATGTACATATGTATATTTTTATGTATGTATGTATGTATGTATGTATATATATATATACAATATGTATATGTATATATATATATACAATATGTATGTATATATATATATATACATATATATATATATTATAAGTCACACAGTATACATGGATATATTATACATTTTGTTAGTGTAAAATATGTAAATATAGTTAGATGATCCTATTTGTTTGCCGCCTGAAGTCCCAAGTTGATCCCAAGTCCGTGGCGCCAGAACTCACAGACCTGGCAGATCTAAACATTTCACCGGGAAACGTGGGGATGCCAGCGAAACCATAGGAAAACCATAGGAAAACCATGGGAAAACCATGGGAAAACCATGGGAAAACCATGGGAACATGGGGGTTGAACATGATTTAACCAACCAAAATGGGGATTTGATGGGATTTCTAGCTTTTTATGATAGTCCAATGATAGCCAAGTAGATTTTGGATGATTCTAGTTAACTTCATGACAACAGAAAACCACCACCAAAAAAAGGTGACCCGGCCAACAGGGTTTATGAGTGGTTATTAAGGGCTTCTTGACCACCAACAACCACTAGTGGTCGGGCAATTTAACCTGCAATCCTTGGGAGGGTCACCTTTTGGTAAAATCATGTTAAATCCCCATGATATCATGGGTAGAATTGAATCTTAAGTTTTGAGTGGTGATGATGATGATGATGATGACGACGACGACGAGGATGATGATGATGATGATGATGATGATGATGATGATGGGCAGAATCTAGATTTTAGGTGGACTCTTATCGGTAGATATACAACAATTTTGGGGGATCAAAGTGATTTTAGAAACAGAATTTGGAGATGTCTAGCCCTCATCAGCGAACTTTAGATAATCTGCAGAAAAAACAACACCTTACAGTCTCTTAGGATTCACATCCCCTTTTCTATTAAAAACATCGTGCCTTAACGTAACCGTCCGGTTGATCCATCATCCCAATGCAAACTTACCGGTGATGGTAAAGCGGGATTTGGCCCATCTATTTGATAGTCAAGATACTTAAAACCCGTGTATTTGATGATACCCCTCCCGGCTCCCCCCAAGTATTTTCGATGGTGACTCTCCGGTGTCATCAGCTCCGTTCGATGATGTCCCAGCAATGGACACCGGAGGGTAAATATCCCATGTGTCCCCATTCTATTCCATTATATTCCCATGATACTACCTACCATGTTTTAATGATATGTTTTCATGGTTAAATTCCTAATTTTTGGATGGTGAACCCCAAAACTATCTTGGTATATCCACAAGATATTCACGAGATTTTGATTGTTAAACCCCATATACGTGAATGGTGAACAATAGACATATATATATATGTATACATATACATACAGTTTCTTATCATCAACTGTTAACACCTTAGTAGTATAATTATAACCCATATTCTTGGTAAACCCTAGGATATGGTAAAAGCCAATAAAACCACCACTAAACATATTGTGGATGGTTGCGAAATCCTGCACCAGCTGATGGTTTATCATGTTTATCCCCTTGTAATCCCATAAAATTGTCCCAGTGTTTCATAGGAATCCCAGTTTCGGTGCCCTCTGGTAATTTAACATAGCTATTGAAAATCACCATGTTCAATGGGAAAATCCACTATAAATGGCCATTTTCAATAGCTATGTTAGTTTACCAGAGGGTACCCAAAATCCTGGTGCATTTCGCAGCCAGTCACCGAATGTCACCGAGGGACTAAGCAGCAGAGCAACAGCAGCAGAGGAATCACCGGAGCCGCCAGTGCCAAGGCAAAACGTACGGCGGCTCCATCCTCCGGATGGGCGTGCCACGCGTTGAGCAATGGAAATGGTGGTTTTTAACCAGCAAACCATCAGTAACAAATATGAAACCAATAATAAATGAAACCCAAATACAAAACAATTGTAAATGGTGGTTTTACTGATAATTTGACCATTTAACCTAACCATCAGTAAACAAATATGAAACATGGTGATTTTTTCAGCAACAATATTGACAACTTAACCAAAGATGGAGGATGTCAGCAAATCTAAGCAATGACTAATGGTTATGTTGAGGTGTAGATTTCCAACAAAAGATGGGACTATGGTGGGATGTGAAGGGAGATGATGGCATATATTGCCAACCGCATTGATGTTCGGGTTTGTCTAGACATAGAGTATAATGTGGGTAAAACAATCATACTAACCATCCCCCAGTCATCACCACCAATCATGGGTGGTTTATGGCATTGTTTTTCCCACATTATTGCAATTTGAATCGTGAACATGATGATTCAACATGGGATGGAATGGTGATAGGATTTTTTTGTCTCCAGGTCGAGAGAAAACCTTTCACAAAAAAAGAGCGTTCGATTGCTGTCTACCCTCTGGAAATCACAACGGCAACAAGAATTCTCACATATATATATACACACACATGTAAATCAATGTTTGTGAAATAGTGCAATAATATACAATAATAGGAAGGGGGGTGGTTTCCATTGGCATGTTAGATTTTCTATTCCGGGCGATGTGTGGAGTATATTGGAATAATATCACCATTTAAAAAACATATGTCAGGGTCCCAACGACACAGAAAAGTGTTCCAAGGATCTTACAAATGATGCTTACTTTCTGGTAATTACACGCGGCAACTGAAAATCCCACCATTTGTAAATGATTTTCCCATTGACTCAAAACAATTGACCGTGGATGTCCCAGGTTTGATGACACCTTTGAGGCCGCTGAACGCCAGTTTCTCCAACTTCTTTGATTCATCCAGGGCCAGGGCCAGGGCCATGGTTCCGCCAAGCATCGTAGTTGCACTGCAGGTTGAGAGCACTTTTGAGGTTGGTCACCGACAGCTGAAGGGCCTGGGATGGGGTGAAACTGTGGGACAAGGGCCACCGAACAAGAATGGCTGTCCTACGTTGCGAAATCCTGCACCACCTTGGACCGGATGAAAATTTAGAAATAATGGGATGTGTACCATCTATCAACTGGTGATTTCGCTGGCCCATCCACAGTATGAAACACTGGGACTATAGCGGGAGTACAATGGGATAAACTATGTACCGACCGGTGCAGGATTTCGCAACCATCGACAGAATGTCTTGGGTCCAATCATTGAATTTCATGTTATTCTTGTTGATTGGGGACCTCAAATATTGGCAGGGGATTTATTATAATCAATGATTGTTTGGTAAGTATAGTTGTAGCATTGCGTTGCTGCCCAAATAAAGTGGAATAATACTGTTTAGGAACTTGCCAACCATGGTTATGAACAAGTTGCTCAATAGGAGTTTTGCTCCAAGTCAACCCTAAATCACGCTGAGCAAACTAGCTACTAGCTATATATAGGTTATCCATCTTTCATGATACGAGTTGTCAAACATAACTGGCTCTACACTAGTTCTTAACCCATCAATAACTAACTGACCACGTGACCATGGGCATATCTTGTCCAACAGTTGCCATCCAGCTAAGTGCCTGGTAAGTGGGTTGCAACCCCATGGCTAAACAGTTGTTCCTATTTAAACGGCCATTTAGTTCGGGGATGTCCCAGCTACAGTAACCATGTTTGCTTACCAGAGGATATATATATATATCCCCAAAATATTCCTTTAAGATGCCAGTCATCAACTGAGCCATAAAAACAAGCCCTACCCAATCTCATGAACTACTATAGCCATAGTTTGTTAATAGGTTTCTCTACCATAGTCATAGCTTATAGTCATCATAACCCAAATACTGGAGCTACAGTTCGTTAATAGGTTTATCTACCATAGTCATAGCTTATAATCATCATATATAACCCAAATACTGGAGTTACAGTTCGTTAATAGGTTTATCTACCATAGTCATAGCTGATAATTTACTTATAATCATCCCCAATAACCCAGGTAGTATAATTTCTTTTTATGATCAATCAATGGTACCCTCTGGTAATTTAACATAGCTATTGAAAATGACCATTTATAGTTGATCTACCCATTAAAAATGAGGATCTTCCATGGCTATGTTAGTTTACCAGAGGGTATCTTTAATGACCCAACTGGGTCAAGCTACCCCAGCTCACCCCCCCCCGGGGCCCCCGACCTGGACATAGGGCACTTCCCAAAACTCCCCCGCGTCCACGTCCGACTCGCCGCCGGCGTGACCGACGGTCTTTGAGCCACTCAAAGCGGCCAGCACGGCCCAGAGCTGGCCTGGGACACGACCCAAGATTTCAAGTAGATGATACAATGTTAGGTGAATAGGATCATTAATGGTGATTTAATTCACCTAAATGCCACTAAATGGTGATCTAATAGGATTACACCTAATAATAGGATATTTGGAGGTTTCCTAAAATGGGGGATACCCCCAAATCATCCATTTTAGTAGGGATTTTCCATGAAATAAACCATCCATTTTATGGGATGTCTCGATTTTAAGAAAGCCCCAAATGTGGCCAGAGTCTGGAAATAGAGTATACCCCCAATGAAATAGCCCATTGACTAGGGAAAATGATGATAATCCAATGGATTTAAGGGTACACGATTTTCAGACAAACCCATGTGACTTTGACAAGATTTGTTTAGCAGAAAAACACATGGATTTAATAAGTGCGGTTCATTGGGTAAGCAACTAAAATAGGGATTCAATTCTTTCAATGATGTAAAGGATGGCAGTTGCAAAAAGGATACAATCCACGAAGATGTACCAACGGAAATCAATCTTTTGGATGATCCTGGAAGTTTTCAAGTTATCTAATGTGGTTGAAACAATATCATAAACCATCCCCCATGGATGGTATAAACCATCAAAAATGGGGTGGTAATGGCATTGTTTTAACCACATTAGTAACAGTAGATGATACTCCATCACATCCCACTTTTTCAGGATTATAACTAATCCACTTTCTAACCATTCGCTGACTTCTATGATCACTCAACTCTGGGTTCTTTAGACTTCTAAGTGTGGCTCGGACAGACGAGACGTAGTGGTCGAGGTTTAAGCTTCTCCTGTTTATGCATATGAAAAACAATCATATGAAGTAGTATACATATAATTAGATATAATTATATATAATTAGACTCAAGAGTAGTAGTAGTAGTAGTAGTAGTAGTAGTAGTAGTAGTAGTAGTAGTAGTAGTAGTAGTAGTAGTAGTAGTTAGTAGTAGTAGTAGTAGCAGCAGCAGCAGCAATAGTAATCCAGGACTTTCGGCTTGAAAGCTGGTGAACCTGACGAAATCCTGAAGTTGCATCACAGTCTATGTCCACAGTCTGGATCGGATTATACCGCAAAAAAAAACATGTCAATGTCAGAAATGTATGTTTTCATATCACCAACCCGATCCATGGCATCATTCCATCTAGCCTCCAACCAACATACAGTAGACATGGAAAATCATGGAAAATCCACCATTTCTGTTCTCGGGAAACCCATGGATTTCGCGAGGATGTTTCGCAAGTCTTGCTGCGGCGACCCTTCGGTAACCATACTTGTAGCAACGGGAAATCTGTGCAAATGGACGTTTTCCATGTTAAAAGAATGGAAAAGATATCTATAAAGTGAAGATGTTCCATTGCAATGTTACATTTTGATTACCGACGGATAAATATCCACAAAGCCGCACTAAGTCTCGTCATCACTGGCAGGGATCAAGCAATACAATTGTATATCACTAGGCAGTTGCAATCTTGAGACGAGTAAATACTTATGACCCGAAGAATCATTAGACTGTCAAAAAAAACTCTAAATGAAAGTAAACCACCAATCTGAAAAGTTCGGTCAGTGGATGACTCCCCCGACACACTAAGTGACCTCCAGAGTGCCCCTCCGCCAAGGGACACATCTGCAGCAGCATCGGCCCCTGCGCCGAAATCAACTCCTTGAACACCGAAAACGACGTCGGCGATGTCGACAACGACAACGACGCTGCCGGTGTCGCGCTGCGTCGGGAGAACCACCAAGCAGCAACCTGCAATGGAAAAATGTTGTTGAATAGATTGATAAAATCTCAGACAATTTGTGTGATAGAAATGTCCAATTTTCCATGTTTTCCCAAGTTTTCCCATGGATTTTCCAGCCCAAAATGATGTTTTTGAGGACCGAATCTCTGGGAAACCTGTTGATCTGCGCCAGTTGTGGGCCAGGGACCGGTGCCACTCCGAAAAAAAGATCTCACCCCATAGAAAAAACTACGAAAATCACCCAAATTCCAACTTCAAAGAATCTTCCCCAAGCAAATCTCTAAAGAAAAAACCCTTCCGAAACTACACCGCAGAAAACATGGAAAAGCAACGCCCCCCCTCCCCCCAAAAAAAAACAAAAAAAGAGGCAAAAGTGCCACGTTTCCCAAACTTCATCAAGTCACCATAGCAACTGCTACCACCACCACGGCCACCAGCCAAGCAGACCAGCCCACTGCAGCTTCGGCCAAGCAGGGTGCGCAACGACTTCCAGTGGCGTAGTACGTGGCTGCGCAGTCCATGCCTCGCGGGTGGACTAAAATGGGGGTACGCTGTACCCCTAAATCATCCATCTTAATAGGATTTTCCCTTATAAACCATCCATTTTGGGATACCCTCAATTTAGGAAACCTCCATATGTTACCATACTTCACCATAAAAATTGGAGATACTCGAGCATGAACATGGTGATATATTGAACCAATCACAACATTTGGAAATGTCCAGAGATGACGGATTGATCTCGCTAGTCAAATGCCAATGCCCATAGGACAAGAGATGATAACGCCTGTTATTTGGGAAACAACATAAAAATCAGCTGCTTTTGGATGATTAAGCCACACATTCTACAGTATCCCATACGTAGGTTAAATCCATACATAAAGCGCTAAAGCTCACGTGTTCAAGGCTTTGAATTCCCGTGCCTGAAGGCAGCCACACAGAAAGAATTGTGCTTTCTCTGCCAACAAGGCGGACTTGACCAAGAACCTTTCAAATCAATTAATGATAGCTAGCTTGGTGGATGGATTTATGCTGAATGCATCTATACTTTAATGAGTTTATAAAACATAGCCTTTCTGTCAGATCATGGTTTGTTCTTGGGTTTACTATCTTACGTTAAGCCACTTCAATCACGAAAGCAGCAACATTTGAGGGGAAATTGTTGTAAACTAGCACCACTTAGCATCAGTTTGGGGGTTGCGATACTGTAAATGTTCAGTTGTGTTCTTTGCGGTTTGGAGGTGTTCAAA